AAAGATTGTTTTCACTTTACAAAAAGTGAAATGTTGACAATCAATAATATTATTTGATTACATCTTTTACTTTTCTCATTACTTTTACCTTCCATCATGCTCTTCATAGCTTCAGCTATCATCCTATTCAAAAGGCACTCAAAAAGTAGTAAAAATCATTGAAAGATAAAGTTTGAAAGATTGAAAAAAGTTCAAAATCAATCAACCCATGAACGATTAAAGTGAAAAGTTGCATCAAAATTAAGTCAATTGAATTCACTTCCTTTACAGAGTTAAACCTTACAATCAACAGATGAAGATGATATTATCTGTCAACGACAAGGAGCATTCGGTAGTCACTTGAAGGCCTAAGAAACTGAACATTGACTTTGAAAGAAAAAAAAACGATTGAAATTGAATTATCGAAGTGCAAAGAAGGAAAAAAATTCAATTGCAATATTAAGTTTATCAGAGTCAACAAAAAAGGACCAAAATTTTGATATAAACATGATCAACACTTCCGTATGAAGGACAATTGATAGCAGAAATTTAATTTAAAATCTAATTTAACATCTAATTTTAATTATTTTGCTACTGACCAAAATTAAAGCATATCATCTACTTTCATGGTCAGTGTAGCTTGAATTAATTGAGAGATGAGACTTGATGAGAATTGAGTTTGAATCAGAATGCAAGAAAAATCTGGTTAACACAAAAATTTTAAATTGAAATTTCAACCAGCAAATTAGCAAATGACAAACTTGGCAAAACCAGAAAAAAATGAATTAAATCAACTAACGATACAAACTACAGTTGACATCTCAAGCCAATTGAAATGAGCAACAATTTGTAACAATAATAATCAACTGTTAACGGAAAACGCACAATCAAGTTAGCCCAGTTAAGCACAAGAATTGTTCAGCTTTGGATCCTTTCCTAATTATAATTAATTATAGTTTGTGAATCAACTGAGATCTTATTTGGATGACAACAGAATTTCCAGCAGAAAATAACAAATGATCATGAAAAGATGCTTTAACCTGAAAGATGAAGATTTTATCAATTTACCTCAACTTGACCATAATGTTTATAATGCTTGAAACGATAACAGTTTACTTTATAATGAGAAATGACCAGAAATCGCTTGATGAGATTATCTTGGAATCTTCATAGATGTTAGAATCATGAAAAAGGATTAACATTATTATTTTGATAGAAATATTGAAATTATTTTTACGATTTTCATTATTTCACCTTTTCATTGTTTGCAAAACAAAAGGTGAAACAATTGCATCTGTTATTATATTCACGTTATTCATTATCATTATGTGATTGCAAGTTTCTCAATTGACCTTTCTTCACAAATATGATATTATTAATATTAATATCATATCTTTGATATCATCATTATCATTAGCATTTACATATTATACTTCATTTGCTCTCACTTTTTGCTCCATCTTCATCTTTTACCTTAATTTACCTTAAAAATCTACGAGTCTCTTCCGGGCAGTCAAATGATGTCTTCAACTTTAATTATCATGAAAGGTGAAAATCCATTTATATTAATGATGATGATGATGAAAATAATGATAATCGCAATCATAATAATAATGTTTATGAAAGAAGTTATTTTCAACAAAATGATTATATTAAGTGCAACAATAAGCTCTTTGATTTAATAACATCTCAATTCTGTTGGAATATTCCAACAATTAACATCTGAAATGAAAGCGTTTTCAACTATTAATTTTAATTGTTGGCTTCACTGTAAGCTCAAAATTGAAAAATCAAACCAAAATAATCCTCAAACTGTGAAAAAGATCACCTCAACGTGAACTACTCTTACTGAATAAGATTAGCAAGAGTTTGAAAGATTGTCAGCTTCAATAAATCATTGGATAATGTCAGACAATTAAAACTTGATTGAGATAATGTTTCTGATAATTTAAATCAATTTTCCAGTTGACCATCAAAAAAACAATAAACAGATTAAGTCATTTGATGAGCAGATTGCGAATTAACAGTCAGTTTTGATTTGGTGCTAATAGGTGAAGAGTCAAAGCCAATTGAAAATGGCAAATCAAGATTGAAAGGTTAAATTATCAATGAAAACTTTAATGGCACATTTATGTTATGATTAGTATTAGATGATCAGTTTGGATCATTAAAAAGTCAATGGATAAGACGTGAGCAGAAATCATGATAACCTTTCATAGTTAATCCTCTTTCACCTTATCATCATCATCTTCTTTTTCCCTTCACTTTACCTGGAAAAGTGTTTCATTTTGATAAATATTTTACTCACTTGTTGATTGAGCCTCACGACAGACAAAAAAAACTTTTATCAAACAGGTAACAACAGCAACAAAGTGCAAAGTGAAACTTATTTAACCATCAACTCATCTTGAAACAAACAAAAAACACAAACCAAACATTTTCAACCTTCACTGAACTTTGACATTGCCAAAAATGCTTGAGGCTAAAAAAGGAAAGTTGAAAGTTTAGCAAAAAGGTGATCAAAAGACGGATCCATAGTTTTTATCATATTATTAACATAGGAATAATGATTAATTTATTGAAAAAAGCGAAGAGAAAAGGAATTAACTTGATTGATTAACGTACCTTGGATACTTAATACAGGTTAACATTTAAATTGTAAATGCAAGTGTAAATTTTTTCACCCTTAATGATTAAAAATGGGCAAACTAATTAACATTAAAACGTAATCAAAATGATACCCAATGAAAGGTTAACGTTGACCTTGACCATGTCTATTAAATTACATTATTAACCTTGTTTCACCAACTAAATTGTTCATCAAACATCATTAACAATATCACTATTAAGGTTAATATCAATTATTGAATAGACAAAGACAAACATTACAATTTAACACTAACCCTGTAATCTAGTTTAATCGACTAGACAAACCTAAACTCAATCATATTTAATCATTAAATCGGGAGTAATCATTATCAAAATTAATATACAATCAAGTCAGGAATGATAATAATTGATCAACAATTAGAGCCCAAGTTTGGATGCAACATGAAATGGCATTTCAATTATCAAAAATACATTAACTTTACATTGTTAATCATTTAAATTGTCAATTAATGGAAGTAGACATTTATCATTAACTGAAGGAAATTGAAGAAACATCAGGGAACAAAGAAACACTTTAAGTGTATCAAAAATTAATTTTAACCTTTTTTTTGATTAACTGACCCTCTACACCGAGATTACATGATGATAATAGCAAATATTTTGAATCAATGCTCATGAAGGTGTAAAAAATGATTTACTTCAGATCGATGAACTTAATAACTTGTAAGTGCATTTTAATACGTAAAAACATCCATTGGTAAATCTTTATCAACTTTTCAACATTTTTCTTGCAAACTGTACTCTTCTGTAATCTTCTCATCCTCATCATCTTATAATCATAGTTTAAGTATTTATCATTTTCAACAACATCTTTCCTTGACCCTGACCTTCCCCTGATCGGAAGATGATGAATAAGAAGAAAAAGAAATATTGAAAGGCAAAGAAAAAGAAAATTCTGAGAAAATTCATTGATTATCAAGTGTTACCTTTATTTACTTAACATTATTATTATTCTGTCCAGTTATGTGAAAATTCAAGATCAACTGCCTTTTAAAGGAGCAAAAATTCATTTCTTTCTCAATCTTTCTGTTTTTTGGCTTGCCATTTCATACGTAAAATTAATAATAATGATAATGTTGCTGTTAAGGCAGCAATAATAATGTTGCTGATAGATAATCATAATAATTTTAATAATGTTGAAAATGAACAAATCAGTGCATTTTTGGGTTGAGTGTGTGAAAATGCAAAAGATTGACTGATATTGGGATGAAGAGAGTACAAAGGAAATAGTCAAAGTTGACAATCAACTTCCATGTTAATTTAATTTAGACTAGAAGTTATCAAAAGTATCATTTCTTGTTCACCAATAATGACAAAATAAGAGAGGAATGACAGAAATGAAAGTTCATAAGAATGAAATGAAACATTGAAATACAACAATGCATTAATTGATTGATTATAAAGGATGGAGCAATGACGGATGGTCATTGATCATTGATTGTACTTGAGTGAATAACAGCTAACCTCACGATTAAGTTTTCATGAAAATCAATACTCGAGTTTAATTGTTTGATTCTTGACATAGTCAAAGTAGGAATATGAAATAAAGGTAAAAATATAATGTGCATTGTAATGGAAGACAAATGAAAAAGGAAAACAAATAATGTAAAATGTTTACCTGTGCAATAAAAAAGATGGATAAGGATGAAGATAAAGTAAAATATAGCATTTACAGTTAAATAATATCCACCTACATCAATGATAGTTGCATAACAACTTTAATCAACCTTATAACCTTTTTCAGGGTCTTTTGTAAAAGCGTGAAGCACGTTACATCGTGCTAATTTTAATCAAAATAGACTGAAAAAACAGACAAGAACGAAAGATATTTATGCATGTCTATTCACACTATAAACACAATATTTTAGATGAAAACAGCTTTACCCACAGGAATCAAGTTCAAGTTGATACTTGTTTATTTGGTTGGTTTTGATGAAATGGAAACAAAAACCACAGGATAAAGATCACACACCAGGAAACTAATGGCAGTTGTTGGTAGTGATCATCCAGAAAAATTGGGTTAAAAAGGTTAAAAGACAAGACTGTGAATAGGAAGTCTGAAAGAATCCAAGGTTTGGTCAACAAAAATGTAACAAATATGCCTAATTTTGATTAGACAGACAGACACTTTAACCTAAAAAGGTTACAATGAAAGATAAACTATTTAAGTATCTTAATAAGATTCTTTAGTCTTTTCTGGTTTAACCAAATATTGGTCAATAAAAGCAACAAGGTAACTTCTTTAGGCATGCAAATTGGAAGGTGAAACAGCAAAAATAATGGAAAACTGTGCAAATAAAAAGAATATAAAAGATTCAAAATTCTGTTGGAAAAAATTCTTTATAACTTACCCTTTAGACATGATTTTTGAGCGTAAATGGTGAAGACTGGAAACTGCGAGGGCTGCAAGGATTCGGGTTTAATTGAGGCATCCGAGCGTAAAAGAACACAAAGTCCAGTTTCAAAGTTGACCGATCGACAGGTAACATTTTCACCGCATTTGCTTAAACATTCAGTTAATTGTAAAACTCCTGAAATGGTCTCCATTGTGTCATCAGCCGATGAAAAAACATATCCAGTAACAAGTTCAAAGGTAGACATGTAAGGTGGTAAACAGTCAACTGAAGATGACGAAGGTAATCCTTAATGGTTAACATAATTCCAAACAGAAAATAAATTGTTGATTAAACAAAGAAAAGGTTGAGAAAAATTAATAATAATTGATGGTAGAACAATTGAAACAAAGAAAGACGTTAAGATGAAAAAACCGTTGACTAAATGTTAAGACAATGATGAATGGAAAAATGAAAGGATTTTAATCCCCTCCTTTCCCCCACTTACATAAATTGGCGTCATTTTTGAATTTAATCTACCAAATTATTAAAAGTAAATTTTGATTGTTTCAATAATTCAAAGCCAATTAACCATGAAAAGTATTTGTAAATCAACTCCAATATTTACCTTTCTTTGTTACCTAAATTCACAAAAGATTCATTTTTGTTATGAAAATATTATAATAGCTTTTACCAAATGATTTAACACATGAAAATTGGTGTTAATAACAATTTAATTGTAACAACAATAACAATCATTTGAGCTCATCCAATTCAGCCGATGAATATTTTCACCATTTCCGTTCTCAATAAGCTGATGGTGAACAAAACTCTGAAACTTTAAACTCATTTGAATCTGTGTATTGCAATATTGACCTAAAAAGATGAACGAAATGTAATTTGGTTAAAATTGAAGGAATTAGGATTTCAATCAACACCAATTTAGTAATTGAATTTGCACTTCTCTGTATCAATCACAGACTAAGATGATGATGAAGGAAAACAATTGAAGTTTCTTGAGCTTCTCATTGAAATATTAATATTTACTTTGAAATGTCAGGAAGCAAATGATGATAATAATAATGTATATTTTTTTAAATTATATTCATCTTTACATTTCCCTTACACAAATGGTATAAAGTGCAACATAAAAGTGTTGTTGATGCGAATTCATTTCTCATGATATTTCACATTGAAAATGCCTACTTTTATTACATCATGGATGATTATGGTGATGATGAGCAGCAACAAACCCAATAATATGAAGGTAAGAAAATGTTAACTTGAAAATGCGAGTGAAATGATGCGAAACAGATTAACAGGTTCACATTATCATGGTGGCTTATATAATATATTTGATTGTGTTCAAGACTATTACGGAAGTCGTATGTACAGCCGTTATTGTACGCTTCATCAAATCAATTAGATTAAGTATTAAAAGATTCAACAATCTCTTGAATCGCAAATAAAACCAGATATTAGCATGAAATTTATCAATTTTGTTTCATTCCAAAGAAAATGTAATTTCTGTTCATTCAAAGTTGCCAATCATTTGAAACATTTTAACCAACTTTACATGACATCTTCATGACTCGATCTATGGTCAAGAATGAGAAATGTTGACAACTGCTTGAATACTTGAATAACTCGATGAGGCTCAGAATCACGGCTAATCTGTCTTGACTAGGAATAAAATATTTAATAGTTGGATGAAAGTTTGGGAAAATAAACTTTTTAAAGTTGGAAAAGTAAAAAGTTAAAAGCTAATAAATTTTCCTAAATTATGTTCATTTTTCATGTGAAATGAAACTCTAATCAAATTAATTCAAGTCACAGTAACTATTTGTTTCATAATAGATCTGAACAATTTTCTGTCACAATATAACCTGAAGAGTTTGAGTAAAACTTGAAATCAAAACTGAAAGTGAAATGTTAATCTGAGTCAATAAATTAATCCAATAATAGATTTATCCTGAGAAACTGGTTGAACTGCAGATGAATTGAACTTGACATGAAACTTGCCAACCAAATGAAGCTGTTTTAGGTCTGATTTAGTGCCTAACGATGAACATTGGAAAATTCAATTCAAGTTTCAATTTTTTGTCCAAACAATGAATCAAGTTTGATAATTAGTTGATTGCGATTGACTTGAAAATGATCTGAAAATTTTCATATGAATGTCCGTTCCATTGACGGTTCATGTTAATCACAGTTGAATATACATTTGCCTAATTTGTGAGCAAATATAACTTTTTTTTCCTTCCAATATCAACTGTCTATCACAATTTTCTTCACCTTTTTTTGTCTTCTTTCTTTACCTTCCTCTTTCCCTTGGTTACCTGTTTCGTCTTCATTTTTCTTGATTCTTTCTTCATCTTCTTCTAATAACATCTTTTACATCGAGACAAACCTTTACGGAATCTGAAGAAGAGAAAAGTTAACATAAAAAGCATTACAGAATTAAACTGTGAACCTTTCATCCGTAAAAAGTTTTTGCAACAATTTTTACTTTTACAACTGTCTGAATACCTCAGGTTTGAGGTCAACTTTTGGCTTTTTACATGATACATTTCATTGGACTTGGAAAGATGCAATTTTCATAAACTCAATTTCAAACTGTCTTTTTTTACCATCAACTGAATAAAATATTTACATTATTTTATCAACCCTGATACTAGACTTGAAAAGTTGATTAAAACCACAAAGTAAATTGTTGAAATGAAATTGATTCATTTTATAAATGGACACAAAAAAACTCAATTTACAGCCATGAACCGTTACAATTAGATGAAAAATTGTCGACCAGAAAAAAAGTTAACAATACGAATTGATGAAACAATCAATTCAATTGTTTTGACAGTGTGATGGTGATGTAAACAGGTTGAAAGAAGTGCTAAAAGGTAAACCAATGAACATGATGACCAATGAAGATGAGCGGTGAAAAAAGAAATGATCTCAATATGAAAATGATGAAATTATGATAAAAATGGTTGACAGACAAAAAAAGATGAATCTCTTTTTGAGATTGTCTTTAGTTGATCCATCAAAGCGAATCAAAGCTCTTGGACTTAACGGTAATTGTGCTTGACCCATGATAAGGGACTTTAACCTTAATCTTTCGTAACGATCATTAACATGATATTATTTTTGTTGTCTGAATATATCATCATGTTGAAGATGATATACACTTGAAAGACTTTAACCTCCTACTTTTCCTCACCTCCTTCTTATTAATCATTTTTCTTGTTCTTCCCAGTCGGTCTTCCATTGAGTCCGGGAAATCACTCTCACCATCAACAACACCACCAACCTCAACCCTTTCATCAGCATCCATTCAATTTACAACAATAAAGGTAAAAATATGAGAATCTAATCTTCTGTCCTCTGTCAACTTCACTCTGGTTGACTAGAAGCAAAAATTGTTGAAATTGTTAGTTAATAGACAACAACAAAACTCTATCATTAATGGTATAAAATCCTGTGAAAGAAAGGTAATGATGATAATGATGATGAAGCTCATGAAATTGCACCTTGTAACATTTGAATAATTATTTTCTTCTCGTTTTTTCTTCTCTTTTCATCCCTTTTTTACCTTTTACCAGTTTGTTGCCCTTCGCATTCTTACTCTCAATATCTTTCTTCTTCTTCTTCTTCTTCTCGGGTTCCACAGTTTTTATTATCGCTATTACACCTTGACAGTTTTGCATTTTATCACTTTCACTTTCTGTGTGTGAATAACTTGATGACATTCAACAGGACATTAAAGTAATGGTGAAACAATTTAAACAGTCAAATGGGTAACTTGGTTAACCATCAGTTTATTTTTGTCATCATTAGCATCATTCATTTGGACAAAAAAATTGACCCTTTGTTTGTATTGTCCAGTATGAAACTGGTTCAATTGAGTGAAATAGTGAAAGTGCTCTTTGCTTTATTTCAACCAGATTTTTAATGCTTTTCCAGGCTCATTATCATCAACATTATTATCATCATTACTATTCGTCAGTGTCACCCATTAATCGTATGGACTACTAAGGGTGACCTGTGATAGGGTAAAATTGGTCCATCTTTACTTGTAATTATGTTGAAGATTTGAGAGCAAAAGACTAACATTGAAAAGTTGTTCATTGTAAATCAACACAGATGATGTTATTACTTGAAATTACTTTGCACACTTTTGGTTTTCATCCTTTTTTTGTCTCTCAAACGTCTTTTGCCTGACTTGTTCATTACGAAATTTTCAAAGGCCAACAATGGTCATTCATTTTGTCATCTTTTTTTGCTGTCAAACCAACTCTTACCAGGGAAAAAACCATCAGCAATTTACTAAATTTTATGCAAAATTTTCACAAAGATCTAACCATAAAAGCATAACAAAATTGCAGTGAAAAAACTTTTGTCCAGCTAAGCTGAATTATAAGTAATTTGACTTTAAATTGGTTAATTACTTGGACTCATCGATCCGTTGACAATGTCAAGAGTCGATGTAGGTTGGACAACAAGGCTAAATTATATGTTAATTGGGAAGCAATTTTTAATAATTTTTGGGTAAAACCAATGAACCTTAAAACCTGACTCTTAATGGTTTCACTTGGTTAAAGATGAAGTTTTAGTAAATTACAAAGATTGTCTTTAACATTTGGTCAACGTTATTGTCATCGAATAAAAAGATGAAAAATGAACTTAAATTGATTTCTTACCTTGATCAATTGATGAGTCAATCTCGGTTTGACCGGAGGCTGAGATGATGAAAATCAATGGTATTAATAGGAACTCAATTGGACCCATAATGTTAGGCAAGTTGGAATCACAAGTGTAGATACAAAATTTGAATAAACTAGGAAGATGGTGGTTAAGGTGATAATTAAACTTATAAATTAAAATAAATTAAATAAATAAATAAATAAGGGAAGCAGGAAAAGTCCGTTTTCCTAATTTTCTTGGGCTTATAAGATTAACTGTTGAAGCAAAGATATCAATTGGCACCAATTCACCGGCTAAACATAAATCTTTCATTCAATACTTAAAACCTTTTTTACTTCTCAATTCTAGTTGAACCTTTCAGCTACCAAACCATGTTAGTTAATGTTCAGTTATCACCAAACTTATATCACTGGCTCAACTTTACAAGTTAGTTCAAGTTTTATTTCAAGATCAGACTAAAAATAGCGCTCCTTGTTTTTACCGACTCACGGCAAGTGGCTCTCAAATGGCTCCATCTGTTAGTCTATCAAGAGTTAATGTATCATCTGCTTTTCATGTTCAATCACAATACCTCAATGAAACTTGAGGTTACTTTAATTATGCCAGTACATTACAAAATGTCCTTAATTATTGATGAAACATTCGAGTAATTCATATTGGCTCGAGTTTGGTCATACTTATAGAAATGGGACAAGAGATTTCGTTGTCTAACAAGCTCTGTCAATTTCGTGAGTTACAGATGTTATAAATTCAAAGCGAGTTTAGTATAAAAAACCTCTAGAATACAATCAAACTTGATCCTTGGACTTTTAATATGACCAGATTATTTCATGTCAAACTCTGCATTGAAAAACACTCCAAAAGACTAATGTTCTGGTTAGTTTAAAACGAGATTTTGTATCTTCAGCTACTTTAAAATTCATAGAGACGTGGGCTGTTCAGCAATAAAGTGAGCAATCAAATGAGAATTGAATATTGGAGCGAAATGATCCAAATGCGATACGACTGATCGAATAGCTTCACAAACTTTCCAAGATTCCAGAGTTGCTCGGCATCAACAAGAAACATTGTCAATCAGATTATCCATTGATTATAATGCCATCTATTGATGCGATTCACAAATATTTAAACATAACATTTATTTGCATGTTTTTCGTATGTGAAATATGAAACTCAAATTGTAACATCAATCTACATTCATTTAGATTTCAATGATTGGTATAAATCCAATTAATTATGCGAGTTATTTAACTTATCAATTTAATTAAAAGAAAAATCCCTTTGAATCTGTATCGTTATCAATTTTTGGTTCATTGAATTCGTGCAATCAAGATACACAACTAAAATCGGAAGTAATTAAAGCGCCTCAATTCTTTAAGAATAAATGTTATACATTTAAAATACACTTTCACTTGATATTTATAATCAATTAAGTTAAATTGTGTCATTGTCGTGAATCATTTTAAGGCCTTAATTTGATATACTTGTATATTAAATAATTATGTTTGTATTGTGTTCCTATCAATTATAAGTTGAATAGGAAGACTCACTTTTCATTAATAAAATGGTTGGTCAACCATGAATATTAAAATCAAAGTATATAAGGAGATTCATTTACTGGTAATGTATCACAATCAAACCAACAACAGTTGAATCAACAACAAACATTTTACAACAAGTTAATCAAATCCATCAAATCAAATCAAAATGAACTCACAATCCATCAAAGCAATCTTTGCCTTCATCTTTGCCGTTATCCTCGCTTTTTCTGGTAAGTAATAACAAACATTCAACTCTTTCATGTTTAAACCATAATTTAATTCTTGATTTACATTTGTTTAGCCAATGTTGAGGCCAATCGAGGAGGAAAAGGTGGATCAATTATCATCTTGGGAGGACAGAATCAAGGCCATGGTTACATTCCTTATCCAGTTATGATGGGAGGTTGGGGATGTGGTCACTCTAGCCACGGTCATGGTGGACTTGGACATTCAAGCTTTGACTTTGGAAGCCATGGACTTGGAGGGTTCAAACGATAGAGATGAAACTAATTCTTTCGGTGCTTCTATTATAATAACTTGTAAATTATTTCAATATATTCATATCTCATATTCATCCTCATTATGATCAGCTCGAGAAATTGATTTTGTAAAGAAATGATTGAATGAATTTAAAGTTATAAATTTCAATTAAATTAAAATTTTGATATAATAATTGAGTGATTTTTCAATACTTTTTAAAATCGGAAAGAGATAAATGTCTAAATGCATGTAGTGAAGTAATAGCCAAAGTAAACTCACAATTTAACTTTACTGATCTTAGCTTGTTCCTTCTCTATGAATTATCAATGACCTGTTACTTTGACTGAATCTTTAGAATCAGAATTTCCTATAACATTTTTAATCGTTTTATTGAACCAATTGTGAAACCAAAGGAGCAGCGTTTCACTCAAACATGGGGAAAAAGTAGACTTGAAGTGTCCAAGGCAATCCCTTGTCCTACATTGACCATTATCAATATGAAAACTGGTTTTGACATTATCCACAGATAAATACAGATGCATCTTAGGTTCTTTCACTTTCACCTTAGAGGTATAACTCTTTGTTTCAGTGGTATGTTCCAGATTCACCAATCTTTTAAGCTTTAAAGACATAAGTTTTGAGTTAAGCGTTTAAGCGTTGGGTCTAAAAATTTATTTTTTAAATTAAATGAGATACAAAATCAATATTTCGATAACTTAAGCACCTAGAATCATCCTTTTTTCAACAATTATTAGATTTTATCATGGGCTATATGATATTCATTATTAAATAAATCAGCTCAGATTTTTCTAGGTACTTAGTCATATGTTATAGTCAGTAATTAAATCATAATGATGAAAGAATGATGAATGTAAGTGCTACCATTCTCAAAATATTGAGACTCAAGTTATGAGGCCGATGACGCAAAATCAAGAGAACTGTCGATTAATTTAAAAAAATGTTCTATCATTGATGAGTACCTACAATTTACCAATTGATATCGACGAATGATAAGTTTTAGCTCTCTAACACTTAGTTTTAACTTTTAACCTGAAGAGATTATTTCTTAAAAGCTTAAAAGATTGGTGAATTTGGACCAAACCGTTTCAGTTACCCAAAAGAAGCTCTACTTTACCACGTTTTTGTTCATCTTTCATTGAGGTAATAATAAATATAAACTTTTTTCTGTGAAATGGATGGAAATAATTGTAATTCTGATAAAGGTAAGTTTCGTTCTTGTATTAAATTCAGTTTGAAAACATACTTTTTCAATGTTAGTAACAATAAAAGTAAAGTTATCGGATGAGGATTATCATGATATTTCCATTGATTGGTCGAATGAGAGTTTTGATTACACAAAACAAATATTTCACCAGGTAAGTCAAAGGAAAAGTATTTGAATAAAGTTTAATTAGTCTCTTCCTTAATATTCATAGCTTGCTGCATAAACCGGGCTACCAATTCCGTACATACCTCATGTCGGGGTGTACAATCTAAATGCCACTCGCGATGTCTTAAACCCGGAATTCAAAAGACTGTAAATCTTTTTGTCTTTGTTTTTCAATTGACTTCTTTCAATTAATTCCTATCTTTTAATTGATCATTTAGAATACCTTACGAATCGAAGGATTATTATGGCCAATCCAAGGAATACATAATGCCTGTCTTAAATGATGGCGATTGTTTCCTACTTGATACAAGATTGGATTTAGGGCATTATCAAGAAGGTTCCGGTCTTTGCAGTATCCTTCGTTTAGTGCATCGAGATTTTGTTGATGAAACTGAATGTAGTCATCTACACTGTAACTACTTGGGAAGCAGAGCTTTTACAAATATAATTATTAGCAAGATACAGTCAGATTACTTACAGTCAACTCTGAATTATGATTTTATATTCCGAGATCGTGGATATTCCGGCGAGTTTCTTAATTTAAAAATTCTGAGTTTATTGCGTCTATGCTGTGGTAGACATTCTTATTATAGTGAAAAAGCCCATCGCCTCTCACGAATCCGCGGATAAATTCGAATATCAGAATAGGACTTGAAGTGTCAAGACAGTTTTTTGTCCTTATTGACAATATTCAATTTAAAACAATAAAACAAATTATGAGATTGTTAGTCTCTCAATCTCTTTGCAAAATAACTTGACTTAACGCACCCAAAGTGAATGGCCACAATATTTCTCTAAAATCATGTCGCTTCGAAAAGTATCACAATATTATTTTAAAATATTTGTTCCAAGCGAAAGAGGAAGGCGAAAGATCCAAACCCAAAGAAGCAGCGTTTCACTGAAACATGGCGACAAAATAGGACTTGAAGTGTCCCAAGCAAGTTTTTTGTCCTAAATTGAACATTGACAATATTGGATGTAAGACAATAAAACAAATTGTGAGATTGTTAGTCTCTTAATTGATCAATCTCTTTGCAAATGTTTTAACTTACCCAAAGCAAATGGCCACAATATTTCTCTAAAATCATGTCGCTTCAAAAAGTATCACAGTATTATTATAAGATATTTGTTTCAAGCACAAGTTTCAGTGCCATTACTGTTTCAGCTCATAACATTTAGTTTGAGTGAATAAATTCCGGATCTGTTCGTCTCCTGTGTAATTTTCACTCACTCTGTGTGTGGTTAAAGCATTAGTTTATTTATAGTTGATTTTAAAAGCAACATTTCTCGAATCAATTATTGATAGAAGTTAATTTGACTAACAATAGCTAATGTTATGGAACTATGCTTATTAACTAATCAAGTGAATACCATAAATGCAATCAATTTAATTGCTATTCTTTTGATTTACAAAGCGATACAAGTTTGTAATACAGAGTTAATTAGAAGAGTCCACAAATATCTGTCTGATTTCCAAGTAATGCAATTGTCGGTTTTTTGATGACTACTGTAAACATTTTAATTCAATTCGGATTTCTCTCTTTTCGGATTTCGAACTTTCTCCTTTTCTAAGTTGACGCATTTTCAGTGATTAAAAGTCTCACTTATGAAGAGCGCGCTCGCTCCGAAGCAACGTGACATTATTTTCGCTGATACGGTAAGTTAAATGGTGTCATTGCCGTGAATCATTTTAAGGCCTTAATTTGATATACTTGTATATTAAATAATTATGTTTGTATTGGGTTCCTATTAATTATAAGTTGAGTAGGAAGACTCACTTTTCATTAATAAAATGGTTGGTCAACCATGAATATTAAAATCAAAGTATATAAGGAGATTCATTTACTGGTAATGTATCACAATCAAACCAACAACAGTTGAATCAACAACAAACATTTTACAACAAGTTAAATCAAATCCATCAAATCAAATCAAAATGAACTCACAATCCATCAAAGCAATCTTTGCCTTCATCTTTGCCGTTATCCTCGCTTTTTCTGGTAAGTAACAAACATTCAACTCTTTCATGTTTAAACCATAATTTAATTCTTGATTTACATTTGTTTAGCCAATGTTGAGGCCAATCGAGGAGGAAAAGGTGGATCAATTATCATCTTGGGAGGACAGAATCAAGGCCATGGTTACATTCCTTATCCAGTCATGATGGGAGGTTGGGGATGTGGCCACTCTAGCCACGGTCATGGTGGACTTGGACATTCAAGCTTTGACTTTGGAAGCCATGGACTTGGAGGGTTCAAACGGTAGAGATGAAACTAATTCTTTCGGTGCTTCTGATAACTTGTAAATTATTTCAATATATTCATATCTCATATTCATCCTCATTATGATCAGCTCAAGAAATTGATTTTGTAAAGAAATGATTGAATGAATTTAAAGTTATTAATTTCAATTAAATTATATTTCTTGTAATTTTTGTAAGGATTCTTAAATATTTTTTAAATCGGATAGAGATAAATGTCTAACAATGTAAATGCATGTAGTATGAGAACAATATTCAATTCTCGGCTTGATTTTTACTTTTGAGTGAATGCAGTGATGGATTTCGCTTCATTGAAGTCATTAGCTGAAATCGATGATTACATAAACTTCTTGGCAATTACAAAAGTTGAGCTTCTTGGACCATTGAATAAAATTTAGAGTCAACATCAGCCAAAAGATTAGCAGGTGAATCATATTCAATTAGTTTGCCTTCACTCAAAACAATGATTTTGTCGTAATCCATTATTGTGTTCAATCGATGAGCAATGGTTATTATTGTACAGTCTGCAAATTCGCGACGAATGGTTGATTGAATCATTTTATCAGTTTCGATGTCAACAGCAGCTGTAGCCTCATCAAGGACCAAAATCTTAGACCGGCGAAGTAGAGCTCGAGCAAGACAAAATAATTGTCTCTGGCCGATACTCAAATTTTCACCTCCTTCAGCAACAATATAATCTAAACCTGAAGGATGCGAATTGACAAACTGTCTCAATTGTGTTTGCTCTAGTACTTTCCAAATCTCAGAATCTGAATGTCTATTGAATGGATCTAGATTAGTTCGAAATGAGGCAGAAAACAAGACAAGATCTTGAGGAATAACAGTTAACTTGGATCTCAAGTCATGTAAACCAACTGTGCAAATGTCTTGTCCATCAATGGATATCATTCCAGTACAGGGCTCAATCAATCTGAAAAGACCTAAAGTTAAAGATGATTTTCCGGCTCCAGTTCGTCCAACAATCCCGACCTTTTCAGTTGCTTTTATTTTCAAGTTGATGTTATTTAAAATTTTATCGAGTCCGGGTCGATAACGAGTTGAATAGTCTTTGAAAACGATTTCACCTTTATGAGGCCAAAAGTCTGATGGGCGATTAGTGTAATTTATCCAGTCCGCCTTAAAAATAAAATAGAAGAGTCAACATGTGATAAACTAACCGACACTGTAAACTTCAACTGACCTCTGATTCTAGTTCCGTATACTCTAAGCACCTTTCGATCGAAATCATATCGATTTCCAACAACGAAAAGGCAAAACTCATATAGTTGAGAGCTTGAGTTATTAACAAGGCATAACTCAGCGCTAATCCATTTGTACCTTGGTTGGTTGTATTACGAGATAAAACAGCAAAAATAGCAACAGCAGCAACAACTATTTGTCCCAAAAAGTCAAGTCTGATTGCAAGCCATCTGATGGCGGCAGCGTTGAGAAAGACGCAAGAATTATTGATGTCCACTTTCTGGTAACATTGCTCGATAAACTTATCGTTCATTCCATAAGTACGAATCAATGTTGTTCCAGTAATTGTTTCACTAAAATGAGCATAAACCGGTGATCTTGTTATCGATTGAATTCGCTTCAATTGCCTGGATGAAGCAAGATAAAATTTCTGTAAAATGCAAAATTGAAAAGTTTTAGAAAACTTTGCAACAGATTTCAAGCAATTGATTTCAATAGCAATTTAAAACTAATTCATTTTACTCACTTGAAGAATGAGATAGACACAGAAAACTATGGCTATCACAATAATCACATAACCATTTTCAATGACAATGCCAATGATGGAAGTTAATGATGATATCATGTTATTGAAAACGAATCTTACACTCATAGAAATTCGATAATCAGCGACATCAATATCCATTGTAAAACGATTTAATACTCTACCCATTGGTGTTGTATCGAAAAAGGCCATTGGCGATTGAATGATATTCTGTAGCATTCGTTTATGAATCTTAACGGCTCCATTAAGAATAGCAAAGTTTAAAATTATTGCATTGGTAATGAAAAAAATGGAATCAAGAGCACCTAATGCTGAATAGACACCCAATCTACTGAGTCTCATTGAAGTATCGTTAGCCTTTGAAGAATCTAAATAATCTTCGGACCATTTCGATAGCCATAAATTGGCACCAAGATTACATCCATTTGAAGCGATGAAAAGTCCAACTGAGCAAGAAATCAATCCGAATCCAACAGTTTTAAAATAGTTCAAGTAAACTCGCCATTTAACTCCACCGATCTCAGCCTGTTCCTTCTCTATCAACTGACCTGGTACTTTGAGTAAATCTTTAGAATCCAAATTTTTAATAACTTGTTTTAATCGATTAATTGAATCAATCTCAAGTTTATTTCCAAATTGGGGAGCTAAACGAGAAGAAAACAGTTTTAACATCAATTCGTTCAATACTCAAATTGGTTGAGGAAATTATTTACCCATTTTGTTGTTTTCAAACTCATTTCTGTTTGTGAAACAGTTAGCGATATGATATTCGCAAGAATCTTGCGATATTCGATCGTAATCGAGAGCGATCTGAGAAATACTTGAATCAACTCGAGGCTCATTCAGATACATTGTCTTATTTATATTATCGTCAAAGTCTTCACTTAAATTTCCACAATTGAAATCATCATTGACTAAATAATTGAGAACAAGTTGTGAAAATTCGCCTTTTTGTTTCAACAATTCATTATAAGTTCCCATTTCACTGATTTTACCACCTTTAAGCACAATTATCTGATCAACTTGAGGTAAAAAGGAAAGTCTATGAGTTACCAAAAGCCTCGTTTTATCCTTCAACAAACCATTAGGACCGATAACTTGGTTGAATAAATGAGATGCGACATGAACATCAACTGCTGATAATGGATCATCCAGCAAAACTACATCACAATTTGCATAAACAGCTCTAGCAAAGCTGATCCGCTGCTTTTGACCTCCACTCAAATTAACACCTCTTTCTCCGATCTCGGTCAGATCATCTGCAGGAAGAATGGCCAAGTCTGGACGAAGAGCACAGGCGTCCAAGATTTGGTCAAACTTTGCTTTACAATAAGGCTGTCCGAAGATGATGTTGTCTCGAAGAGTCGTATTTTGAATCCATGCGAGTTGAGGAACATAACCAACTTTACCGTAAACATTTACAGATCCACTAACCTTGTGTAGATCACCTAAAAGAGAGGCCAGTAATGATGATTTGCCACTACCTATGGGTCCAACGATGGCAATTAACTTTGCTTTGCCAACCGACAAGTTGATTGAATGCAAAACGGGTTCATCTTGAGTCGACCAACAGAAAGTTGCATCTTTAACAGTTATCGGCGTTTCTTCATTTGTATCGTGTTTAATCGTTTGGGAATCGAGTTCTTCACATTTTAGAAATGCGTTTATTCGTTTTATTGATATAATAAACTGAAACAATGAAATTCGAAATGAATAAAGTATCAATTTAAATGTTAACATTTGCTTACATTTGCAATATGCGATACAACCATTGGTAACATTCCCATCGGATGCCTTAAAATGTTGAGTAAGGAAAGTGATACAAATGCTTTGTTTGCAGTGAGAATGTTATTTGAGTCAATTAGAGTAAACGTCGCGAGATTCACTGTAAGAATCTGGTTAGAAAGTTGATTGTGGGTTAATCAGAAATACAATGAATATGTTTAAATCGAATGAGTGAAACTTACAATGAACGGGAAACAAAGGAACAGAAATACAGGAATTCCAGACCAAATAGCTTGTCTCTTTAGATTCTTGATTTCTCTCGATCTAATCATAACAATCAAATCTGCAAAAACCTTTTCCCATGCATAAAGCTTGAGAACTTTCATTCCATTAAGAATTTCGGACATTAACTTGGCACGTTGGTCCTTTTCAGACATTATTTTAGCCTGAATTTTCTTGATAATATTCGTAACTAATAAATTCAATGGAATCAAAATCAACATACAGATTATTCCTGAAACAGTTGCTACTCCTAATTGTTTCCAAAGAAGTAAATTAGCTATAGTTAATTGTATCGGAATAATCCAAATGATATTAACCATATTGACACAATCAACTATGTGCTGCACATCAACGGCCATTAAGTTAACGATCTGTCCTGTTTTGTAGTTGCGCTTAGCTTCTCCAGAAAGTAACAAGCTCTGTAAATAAATGCGAACAAGTTATTAATGAAAAGACAAAATTAACACAGTTGTAACATATAAACGAAATTTACAAATGGACAAGAACGGGTAAAAATAAATTTATTGCAAATTTAGACTTTGTTAGTTTGTAGGAGATTTAAAACTGATTTGAGACTTGGTGGGCTTGTAGGGATATGAAATTGAAGTATTTATTAGCACCAATGAACTCAGTTTTCTGTCCCTACAAACGTATAAAGTCTGAATTGGAAAGAAATTAATCTTTACCCGTTTCTGCCCATTTGTGTCAATTTGCGCGTAAATGTGATAATTGTGATAGTTTTGTCTTTTTAGTAACAACCTAGCGAGCATATTATTGAATGATATTAACTTTATGAAACATTACAAGCAAAAACGAATAAAATCGCTCACCTTACGATAAATAACGGAAATAAGAGCCGATCTGATCTTGATTGATGTTACTTGAATCCAAAATTCATATTGAGAATCAAAGATTGATTGAAGTATGGCTGATATTATTAATGCTTTTACAAGAATAATTCCTTTCCAAGTTGGATCATCAGACGAAATGAATGTTAACATGAAGTCAAGTATTTGTGGACTTGCTATCGCTGAGAGACTTGCAATTAATTTGAAAAATGTACAGAGGAACAGCCATGGCCAAAATTTTTTGACGAACTCGCCAAATAAGTTATACTTTAGACCAGTTGTTTGAGTCTGTTGCTTTTGTCCTTCCTTACTTTTGATTGCAATTGACTGACCTCTTGCCAATAGATTATCAAAAGTAGCCTCTAAATTTGAAGTCTCATATTGTTCTGGAATACTCCAGACATCTTTTGATTCAAGTGTTTTACGGTAACCCAAATAGGCCATTGAATTGTACCAATGAAACGTTATTCGGGATAAAAATGAGCTTGATGCATAAGGAGACATTGACTTTAACAAAAGTCAAGAAATATAACAATATTATCCATAAAGAAATAAGAAACTCAATAGTTTTACTTACCTTAATGTGCAAGCAATTTGTATTCAGTGAATCGGAGGACCAGTTAAGTAGATAAATGGACAGAATTAAAACTATTTGCAATGTTTTAAGGGTAAAATCAGCTTGTCCATAAGTCCATGGCAAGGGTACCTTCGTTGCATAAAAACGTGGAACATAATTATACTATTTTTGAACATTTTGTGTTATAATCTGTTATTCATAAAGGAATCAAACTTAATGTACCAAACTTAGGAGAGTTGCAATTACTGTCCAATAATTGATGCTGGACTGGATAACCATTGACATCCAAAAGATGAACAGTAGTCCAGAGCTTTGAATCCCCTTCCTTTTGCATAATAGCAATAAATAAGTTGCTGTTGTCTAATGAATAAATTGCAGAAAGAACTTCATGATTTAATGATTTTCTGACTTAATTATAAAAGGATACTTACAAATGAAACTAACTTTATCAACGGTGAACAGTATTGGTATGGATAAGTCTGTTTAGTGTGACGACTTTGTATTCCGACAGAAATGAGCTCATAAATGTTTGAGATTATTAAAGTGAGAGACAGAATCTAGAAGAGACATTTTAAACAATTAATAAAGTTGTTGGATTACCAAAATTGATACTTAACTAATTTAAAGACTAATTTAAAAGTCCATTCAAGTTGCAGTTTTGATGATTTAGTTGATGATAAAATAACAAAAGGAACAGCAAAGAAGAAGGCAAAAGATGGGAACCAAAGAAGCAGCGTTTCACTGAAACATGGCGACAAAATAGGACTTGAAGTGTCCCAAGCAAGTTTTTTGTCCTAAATTGAACATTGACAATATTGGATGTAAGACAATAAAACAAATTGTGAGATTGTTAGTCTCTTAATTGATCAATCTCTTTGCAAATGTTTTAACTTACCCAAAGCAAATGGCCACAATATTTCTCTAAAATCATGTCGCTTCAAAAAGTATCACAGTATTATTATAAGATATTTGTTTCAAGCACAAGTTTCAGTGCCATTACTGTTTCAGCTCATAACATTTAGTTTGAGTGAATAAATTCCGGATCTGTTCGTCTCCTGTGTAATTTTCACTCACTCTGTGTGTGGTTAAAGCATTAGTTTATTTATAGTTGATTTTAAAAGCAACATTTCTCGAATCAATTATTGATAGAAGTTAATTTGACTAACAATAGCTAATGTTATGGAACTATGCTTATTAACTAATCAAGTGAATACCATAAATGCAATCAATGTAATTGCTTTACTTTTGATTTACAATGCGATATAAGTTTGTAATACAGAGTTAATTAGAAGAGTCCACAAATATCTGTCTGATTTTCAGGTAATGCAATGTTCGGTTAACTTCGATAACTACTGTAAACATTTTAGTTCAGTTTTTTCTTACCAATTAATAAATCAATGATTATGGGAAGGATTCTATGTCCATCTTGAAATGTTTATTCAAAGTCTATTTTCGACATGAGAGGTTAGTTTATTGTAAAAACTGGTCTTTGACTTGATCCACAGGTCAATACAGTTGTATCTTAGGTTTTGCCACTTTTACCTTAGAGTTTAAAGATATAACTCTTTGTTTCAGTAACACAAAATAAGCTCTACTTTTCCACGTTTTTTTGCTCATCTTTCATTGAGATATCAATAAATATATACTTTTCTGTGAAATGGATGGAAATAATTGTAATTCTGATAAAAGTAAGTTTCTTTTGTTTTGAATAAAGTCATTTTTAAAGCATTGTGATATTTCTTTCGTTTAGTAACAATAAAAGTAAAGATACCGGGTGAGGATTATCATGTTATTTCAATCGATTGGTCAAATGAAAGTTTGGATTTCAGAAGACAAATTTTCCAACAGGTAAGTCAAAAGAAAAAAGTGTGAATAAAGTCTAATCAATCTTAATCTTAATATAGCTTGCTGTATACACCGGGATACCAGTTGAATACTCAGAGATTATCTGGGTGAACCGACACCCAATGAGGAGTATAACAATTAAAAACAGGCAATTCAATGAAGTGTAAATTTGTTTTCTTTATTATTGAATTTTTAAATAATTTCATTTCTTTTCGTTCACTCCTTAGATATATTGACGATCGATTACCAGATGAAGATTCCCAGGAAAATCTAATGAATTACTTTCACGATGGCGATTTTTTTATGCTCAATACCTATTTAATCCCAGGAGATAATGGCCTTTATAATGTTTATATAATTACTAACATTAATTTGATCGACGAAACTGGATTTACACATTATAATTGTCCTTACTTGGCCAGTAGAGCTATAAACGATAGAATAGCAAAATTGATAAAATCACATTATATACAATCAAATATGGAGGGATGGGTTAGGCGAGGGGAGTTTGAAAGGATCCAACTTGATTTGAATTTTAAGCAATATTTTTTATTAAACTGTTCGGAATGGCCGGGAGAAAATATTCCCTTTGAACTTCCTTATCTGCGAAATCGTGGTTGACTTTGCTTTCTCGAAGTGCATTTTGCTATCAAAGAGTCTGTATGATTTAACAATTGGTTACAAAAAGAAAATAAAATGATGTACTTGATTTAGATATGCAACAATTTATGTTTAATTATATTTATTATTTGTTATAATTCAGTGTTTCAATTGTCTAATTCAAATTTTACGAGTGTGACCGCTTCACCAAACTTCTTGTGGTGACCAACAGGTGGCAACCAGCAAAGTCATTGAACATTTGTTCATGCTTATGCTTGTCTATCTTCCTTTTATATTGAAAGGCAGAATCCATTTTCTGAATTTGAGGCTTTTTTTAAGTCAATCAATTCATTTAAATTTAGTTAATTAATTTGTAAATATGTCAATTCATTATAAATTTAAAGGAAGTCTAAATTTTGAAAGGATTCCTTTTGATGGTGTACACATTTCAGTTGGTGATCTTAAAAAAGCCATTTTTGCTCAGAAAAAGATTGATACATCAACAAATGATCTCATTATAACTGATTCCCAAACTAAAGAAGGTAAGTTTCCTATTTTAACTCATCTGACTGACTACCAACTGACAAACAAAAAATTGTGACCTTGTTTTTTATATAACATATATACAATTTTCTATTATAATTTATTAATCTATAATATTTATTGTTCTTTCTTTCAATATTTTTTAGTTTATGAATCGGATGAAGTATTGATTCCAAGAAATACCTCTGTTATTGTAGCGAGAGTGCCCATTACTGATGATAAAAAACACTGGCACAAAAATGAAGTCAAACCATCTTCGGAGGTAAGTTGTACTCATTGTTACTCTGTCTCTCTATTTATTTACATTTCCATATCCTAATTCATGCTTTCTTGTTTGCTTTGTGTAGAATCACACCCCAGGACATGTTTCACTTAAGGAAATAATCAAAGTAAGTTTACGGCTTTAATTCTCAACATTTGCATCTATCTTTAGACTTTTAAGCTTCCCTATTATCTCAGTAATCTAACTGACTAAGTGTTTTTATCCATTTTTCTCCAACAGTCTTCTGACCTCTCCAACTCAAATGCATCCGAAGAAGAAAAGATTCAAGCTATGTTATCCCACTCAACTCAGGACTATGACTCATCAAAATTTGTTAAAAACCGAGGAATCGTTGGTCCTTTACCTCCAAATTATACTTGTTACCGTTGTGGTCAACCAGGCCATTATATTAAGCATTGTCCAACTAATAATGTAAATATTTTCAGAAGCTGTTTTTTTATAAATGATCTGCTTAGTTGCATCCTTTCTCTATTCAAGAAACCTTTTCTTGGTGTTACTCAAAATGAAACAATTTCTTATATTTTTGATGACTTTATTGTCTACACATTTTCATCCATGATTAACATTTTTCTCAAACGAAACCATCCAGGCATTTGTCTCAATCATTAATATTTTCTATGTCCCCAATTTGTTTCCTTTATAATTTTGTGCATCTCATTTGGAGCAAACATTTTGTTCCCTCGATTTCTTTTGTTTCCTTTTTTGTGTGTTAATTTCATTATTCTTTCGTTATTCCCCCAAGATGGAAATCAAGCGAAGTACAGGTATTCCGAAGAGCTTCATGATCCCTGCAAGTGCAGAACAGAAAGGAGCTCTTCTAACTTCAAGTGGTGAATATGCTGTACCAATCATTGACCAGTAAGTATTATTTTGGTATTCTTCATGATTTTTTTGTTGCCCCTTGCATGCATTGATTTAATTCTGATCTATTTACTTTTAATTTTAGCCAAGCATATTCGGAGAAGAAAAGTGACAGGAAAGCATTACTGGAGAACCGAGAAAAGGAGGAAGGCGAAACCAAAGAGGAATCAATTCCAGACGAATTAAAGTGCTTATTATGTCAAGAACTGCTCCGTGATGCCGTTATTACGCCTTGCTGTGTCAAAGTTTTCTGTGATGAATGTATGTATTATTTTCATATTGCTTTTGCATAAAACGTTGCAATACCATTAAAATAGTTTACTAATCATTTTTTCTGCTTTTTCAGGTATTAGAATGGAAATCCTGCAGACAGATGATAATCAATGTCCATCGTGCCTCGAAACAGATCTAAGGCTTGACCATCTCATACCCATATTGCGTATACGTTCAGCTGTAAAAAAATTTATCTTGGACAGAGAAGCTAGCCAGAAATCTATTACTGATATAAATAATGTTAACGCTGATATTGATATTCAATCTAGCGGAAATGATAATTTAAATGGTGGAGATAGCAAAGAAATCAACTCTATTACTACTGACACCTCCACTTCTTCCACATCTACTTTTATTACTAATTCAGCATCACCTACCACCACAACTTCTATTAGTACATCTAATTTAGTCCTAATCTGTGAAAAAACATTCCCTAATGATTCAGAAAAAGAGGTTGAGGGAAAATCTCAATCAAGTGATGAAAATAAACTAGATTCGATGAAAGTTGAAACTAAAGTTGACGAAACTAATAAAGCTCCCTGTGAGCTTCATGAGTCTGATATTGAGACTCGCGAAAAATTAAATCAAGATGATTTTGTTTCTGATTTAAAGGTTAAAGAGGAAACCTCTAATTTAGAGGTACCTCAATCTCAAAACTTGGATGAAAACAGCCAATCTCAGGAAAGGCAACAGTTGGCTCTGGACTTTGCGATAAATGGAGATATTAATGAGAACGTTTCAGGGACTGATAGAGCAGAAGATTCAGAAGCAAGTTCTATTAAAAAAGATATTGATACAGAATCATCAACCCCTATACCTAATTTAATTACTACTAGTGATTCAGATAAGGCTATTAGATCAGAACTTCATGATGAATCTAGCAGAACATCTTCACATGATGAGCCAATCCATTCTCAACGTGAAAGTGAAGAAGACGAGGAAAGTCAAGATGCCTACGCCTCCAGTTCAGTTAGTCCTTCAAACAGGTAATTTTTTAACACCTATTTTCATTTCATTGTTATTTTGCATTATAATTCATTGCTTGTGTTTATGAAACATTCAGAGATTCCAAGGATAAAGATTCAGACAAAGAGATTGACAAAGATAAGGAAAAGGAATCTGACGATGAAAAGGATGAACAAGAGAAGACTGATGCTCCATGGACCCATGCAACGGACAAGTCAAAACCGCAAGAGTACCAGGAGACGATCAAAATTAATCAAAATCAAGAAACTAATCCAAGCTCAAATGATATCACAACACAGCCAAGTATTTTACAATCTCGAACTCTCAGACCGGTAAGGAACACTCAAAAAATCACCGTTTAATTCAATTGATTCGTTAAATTAATTATAATTTTTAATATTTACTTTACAGACGATGGCTATTCGTAATCTAATCTCTCTACCTCGTCCTATTCTACCTACTGTTCCTCCCACCATGAGCATGCATCGAACACCATTATTAGGCCATCGTGGTCCTTTATTTCCAGGAGGACCACCTGATGCAAGATTTTATCGCCCATCAATGCGTGATCCTTTCTCGATGAACCCTAACCCATACAGTTTCAGTTTACCCATGAGACCTCCACCTGGGTACCCTGACCCATACGCTTTTATGAATACACGACCACCTCACATAAACACTAATCAGTATTCACGACCTTCGCCAATGTCTAACACTCAGACGTATGATCCAACACAATCAGGTAATTTTTTTGCTCATGTAATTCTTTGTAATGGGATTTAATCATTTTCACTCTGCTTTTTATTTACAGATTTAATTAGTAACTATTATTCAAATTCAACTACAAATGATGATTATGAAGATCCTTTGGATCGTTTTGTCAAACAATTAGAATCTAAGTCACGTAAACGCATTGCTGGATCTCCGTCACGGTCAAGATCAAGGTCTAGTTCTAGATCTCGGTCAAGAATCCGAGCTCATTCTGGTTCGCCCAGGTCTAGAAATCGTTATTATCGAAGTGATTCTCCTAATCGACGTAAGTTATTTTATTTACTTTGAAAGTTCATCTTTTTAGTGCATTCATTGAAAATTAATTGCGAACTTTTCTTTTATATAGATGATAAACGACGTGAAAAAGATCAAGCCGACCGCAGTCGAACAAGGGAAAGAGAAAGGGAAAGGCTCAGAGATAGAAACTCAGACCGCCATAGAGATTGGGATCGACATCGTGATAGAGAAAGTGATCGTGATCGCAACAGAGAAAAACTCTCCAGAGATCGAGATCGTGAAAGAGAACGAGAACGAGAGCGAGACAGGGAGAGAGAAAGAGAAAGAGAAAGGGAACGAGCAAGAGAAAGGGAACGAGAGAGGGAACGAGAAGAGCGCGAGCGAGAGAGAGAACGAGAAAAGGAACGAGAGAGGGAAAGAGAGGAAAGAGAACGAGAAAGAGAGAGAGAAAGGGAGAGAGAAAGAGAACGAGAACGAGAAGAAAGAGAAAAAGAGCGTGAAAGAGAAGAAAGAAAAAGGAAGAAAAAAATTAAAAAAGAAGCAGAAGTGCTGAAGGAAGGAGAAACTGAGCGAAAGAGTAAAGGCACTAAACGAAAGAAAGATTCGAAGAAAGATGCAGATGGAGAGAGAGAAAAAGGAAAAGAGAAAAAGAAGAAGAAAAAGGAAAAGAGAGATAAAGAGCGAGAAAAGGAGAAAGAAAAAGAAAAGGAGAGAACGTGATAGTTAATTTTGGCCAAATTTTTTTCTATGACCTATTGTATTGAATGGATCCATTGTATTTAATTGTATTTTCATTGATTTTCTTCCTGCAAAGTTACAGGCACTTAGTCCACTCTCGGACAATGATCCTGTATGTGCCAGGGATGTTCACGAACATCTTCAGATTAAAAACATTAATTACATCGTAAAGTAAACCCTTCTTTTCATTATTTTCAAATGTCAATTGTACTTCATTGTATTGTTTGAATTAATACTTTTGTCTATCGACCGATGTCGAGTAAATGCCTACGTAATTTATAAATAAAAATGCTTATGCTTCTGAATCAGCAGGCATTCCCTGCATTGTCTACCGTTTTTTTAAATAACTTAACAACGAATTATCAAAGTAAAAAGTTGCTCAATTGCAATATACAAATGAGAGTATGAATTTTATTAACAAATTTGGTTGGGAGAGAAAAATGAGGAAATTGCAATACAATTGGAGTAGTTCTGTTAGTTTCAATTTAAAGCATACAGATTTAGTTAAATTTCCAGGCCCGTCCCAGTTTTGACAGTTTTAATCATCAGCCTCTAAATTAATGTTATTGCGACCGAATTTTGCATATAATTCGGTTTTCAGAGTATTCATTTCTTCCCTGAGGTGATCTACTTCTTCTTTCATGGAAGAAACTTCTCGACTTAATTCTTCTTTCTTTTTGGTTACCCAATCCAATGCTTCTTCCGCCGTAAAATGAACAAATATTTCACCTTCCATAATTTGGAAACCTTCATCATCTAAAGCAGCATACAAATCCATTTCACTGATAGACTCCTCTATGTTTTTGAGCTCCTTTTCCTTGTTAATGAGTTCGTCTTTGATCTCTTCCAATTTGGAATTGTGTGAGGCAAAACGATTGATTTTACTTTGATCTTCATAAGTAACTTGCAATTCTGAGATAGGATTAACTGTTGAAGCCATTATTAAAGTTGGGACAAACAAGTGATGTAGAAGATGTCTAATACAGATGTAGTCACAACAACAAAATACCAAATAATGCCAAAACAGTAACTTCTTTACAGTTGATCTGGTGAAATTAGATAGTAGGAAATTCAAATCTTCAAATATAAAATCAACTTCAATGTATAAAAAAACAATAATTAATTAAATACCGATATTCAATTGAAATAGCAAGCTTACAAATTTATAAAAATTCATACGATTTCTTATACAGCTCCACCTACTGAGAAGTTCATAAGTCACCGAAAACCACCTGGTGTTAGTTCACTTGTTTTGCTTTTAAGTTTAAAAAGCATTTTTCATTTTGAGTCCAATTCCTTTCATTTAAAATTTAATTACAATTCAACTGATGGATTCTGTCATCGAAAAAAATTCTTTTATACAGTCAGTGTATAAAATTAATTGTAATCTAGTGCCATCCGGAGATCCATCGACCATTGAATTCGTTTTCAAACTAATAAAAAATGTATGTGACCACATTTTATCAAATGGCATGGATCAAGAATTACTTGAAGAGTTAAAAAATGTGATTATTCACAATGATGTGAAATATTTCGTCCTTAAAGCTTTGTTACATCTTTTCAAAGATAAAAAAAAGTTGGGCGATGAAACGGAAGATTTTGTCACCAATGGTTTTGATTTATTAGTCCTAGTGCAAATTAAAGAAAGTAAATCTTTAAAATCGACTTTGTTTTTCAAATCAGATGAAGACAATTTAATTCCAAAAAGTTGCTTAACATATAAAAAACAAGCTGAATTATTTGCATCAGTTTGGTTTACATTTCTTTCTTTCAAGGTAAGGGTGATATGAAATATTAATATCTAAATCACAATCCTAATGATTCTCTCTTTACTTTCTTCACTTAATAGCTTACTGTTCCAATATATAAGAAAGTGTTGCAAATATTGGAAAAAAAGGTTATGCCACATTTTAGGAATCCATTGTGTTTGTCAGATTTTCTGATATCGTCTTTCAACATAGGAGGATCTGCCAGTTTACTTTCGCTGTCTTCACTTTTCATTTTGATGACCAAATGTAACTTGTAAGTTTCAAGAATATAATATGGTATTTTGATTCTAATCTAAATTTCTCATTTCTTTTTTCAGAGATTATCCTGATTTCTATAAGAAATTCTATAATTTAATAACACCCGATATGCTTTATGTGAAATATCGAGCGAGATTTTTTTACTGGACAGATATATTTTTAACTTCAACACACATACCCGCCTATTTGATAGCCGCATTTATTAAAAAGCTGGCTCGATTAACTTTGGTGGCGCCTGTTGATGCTATTCAAATCATACTACCGATAATTAAAAACATATTGATCCGACACCCTAGTTTGTCTTCTATGGTTAACAAATATCAACCAACTACCATGGATTCAGATCCATATGATTGTAACCAAGAGGACCCTGCGAAGTCCAATGCCATAGAAAGTTCACTTTGGGAAGTAAAAACACTTGCAGCACATTGGGATCCAAAAGTAGTTAAAGCTGCATCGTTTATCAACAGACCATTACCAACATTAGAGGTCGATCTGGCAGATATCCTGGAAACCTCTTTCAATGATATAAAAGAGGAAGTTGAGAACTCCATTGATCATGAAGATTTTGATTTGCAGGTCAATAATTTGAGAGATCCCATTAGGAAATTTTTACAATGCTAATATGTAGATATAATTCTAAGCTGTTCTGCGCTACCTTAATGTCAAATTTGTTGATAAATTTTCTAATTTACATTTGCATATTGCAATAAAGTAACTTTTGTTTTGATGGAGTGAATTTTTCATAATGGGCGTTAAATTTTCATTTTATTGTAACGCTTTGACAATTGATTCATTTAAACTATAGTTAAATTTTGTACGAAATGATCAAGGTAATCTAAATCTGTGATAATTTTTGTTTTATCCAGTAGAATACAATAAACCTGCGATTACGTTTACAATTTTGAACATAAGCAAGCAAATAAAAAAAAATGTGAAACTAAAGTGTGATTACAGAGTAATTAATAATTTTATAATTGTAACAGAGACGATTAGCATTCAGTGGATTGTTTAAGCTGATATCAAATACTTTCATCGATCACCATATGTGTGTCTCTCTAATTTCACTTATTATCATATTAGCCTTTTGAAGGGCTTTCAACATTTCAGTTGCTTCTCTACGGCGAACAGCAATATGCTCAGATTCTGACAAAAGTTCATCAAAGTCTTCCTTTTTATAGAGATGTGTAACCAGTTCCGACTGTAGATTATCCCTAACAAAGTTTACAAGGAAATACATGATAGCCTTAGGCACCGAGTCTTGAATGTTCTTTCGAACAATTAAAAAATAAGATCTAATTAATTTTTCGATGACTGTACAGTCCCTTTGTTCCTTGGATGTTAGTCTAACCTCTCTGTTGGCCGGCACATCGGGTAATAGGTTTACTGGTTTGGTAAGTTGATGGTGTTGTGACTTTCTTTGAATTAAAGCAGTTGAATTGGGCAAACTACTAGGTCCACTTGAGTCTCCTAATCTGTCGAGATCATTCATATTATCCCCTGCTTCTGATACTTGGCTAATAGCTTTTTTATTAGATGTTGACCAGATCATGTTTGCATCGAGTTTCAGGGCAAGAGATGAGCCTGGTTTAGCTTTCACTAGTTCATTGGAGCTACTGGAAGCTTCATCATCAGGAGCAGGTAGAGCATTGTTCGGAGCATACTTCTTCTTCTGGTCAATCTCAGCATTTTTCATCAACGTCCCAATTAATTGGGCCTCGTGGAAATCAGGATGTCTGGTATTGATGTAGGCCAATTCAATGAATACTAAATTGTGAACCATAGTGTTGGTAGGTGGAAGTCGACGTCGAAGAAGAGTTGTAACAACGTCAATAATTTTTTCATGCAATTTAGGGAATCGAAGGAGTTCTTGCTGAATTTCGAAGTCACAGTGTTGAATGATGGCAACCATCTCTTCATGCACCAAATCCACACATTTCAAACTTGGTTCTTCAAGTCTACGAATTTGTCTTTTGACAAGCAAATCAAAGCTCACTTCAGGCACAAAAAGTGCTGGCCTGGGTCCGGTCGCATTTTGGATAGCTGTTAAAATGTCTCGGTAGCTTAAACCTTCCAAAGGATCAACAGCATCAAGACGTTTACTAAAAACTTCATGGAAAACATAAGATATACGAGCTCCGCCAGATAATTTAGATGTTTCAATATCTCTAGCTGTACCTTCAATGGCTGAGCAATAAGCAGAAGCAAACCGTGTAATAATTTGAAGCAAGGTTTGCCCTTGATCTACAACAGCATCACCATATGAATTCAAAAGAGTTTGGAATTGAGAAATCATCACTGACACTCTTGTCTTCAGCTCAGGTAAACAGTCGCGTATATGATGCATCAACAATCGGTTGAGTGTTTTAGCTAAGTAAGCCGTTCCATTTCTAGTTGCTAATGTAGGATACTTTTTTTGTAAATAAAGTTGTTCGTCCTTAAGAGCATCTTCAATAGACTTTTTAGAGAGTATATCAGCTTGACTACGATTGACAACACCAATAATGCCTAATTTTACTGGAATAACTCGACCCATAAGAACGTCAACAGCGTCTAAAGAGGGATAGCATTTTGGTTAGAAGATTGGAGCAATATTTAATTAAAAATACAAATTTATGAAATACCTGTTCCTGCATCCATCAAATCAAGTTTAGTGATAACTGCTAAAGTTCTTCTTCCATCCGGATCAACGTCCCGGGCTAGTTTTAATGCCTCGGAAGTAGCAAAATCTGTATTTGCAGCAGTGACAGCTAGAATAATTGAATTTGGATTCGCAATGTATTTCAAGAGAAGTTCTTTGATTTGCAGTTCAATGTCAGGTGGTTGGTCGCCAACTGGAACTTTGGTAATACCAGGTAAATCAACAAGAGTAAGGTTTACTACTCGCGGAGAGTAAATCTTGAGATTGATTGGTTCAGGGCAGATACCTTTGTTGGAGCCAGACATTCGATCGGTTTCAGCTTCAATTTCAAGTCTGACTTCATCGAAATTGGAATAAACTTTGTTCTTTGTATGAAGAAATCGAGCCCATTCTACGAGGCCTAATGTACCTTCTTCTGCTGATCTTTGTACTTTATCATCCAATGGTACATTGGTAAGTTGGAGTATAAGGGGTCTTCGAGTCACTATACCTGGTCCACGAGGAAGAAAATCTTTACCTACTAAAGATTCTATGACAGAGGATTTTCCAGACGACTGATTACCAACAACAACAATCTGTGGTAACTGGATTGTGTCACTTCCAATGGTAGTGAAAACATCTTGAAGTTTATTAATTATAGGAATTAAAGCCTCCATATTCCATCAGCTGTGTACTTGGAAATAAGTCTATTAATTCAAATGTTAAAATTGAATAGCAGAAAGCTAGAAAAGGACAAAAAAACAGATAAAAAGATTAATGGGACTAATTTGGTTTTAAACACATAAACTAAACTAAAAAATTACAGTTGTCAAAAAACCTAATAGCTAAACACAGAGCAAATAGTTATTAATCAATAAAGCCTATGAAAATAAGTGAAACGAGGTTTGGATTAGCAAGGTTAATAACATCAAAACGATCTTGAGAAAAGCATAAGGAGAAAATATTGAGAAATAGCAAACATACAGGTTATAAAGAAAGAAACATAAAAGAGGTTTACAAAATATCAAAGGATAGGAAAAGATTATTCAAACAGGACAGTTTAAATTCAATTAGTTGCTAGGGATTCCATTCTTCTGTACAACAATCAGCAAAATAATAAGCTAAACAATGCTCTTCCATGAGGTAAAATTAGAAAGATAGATAAAAACAATCAAAAGTGGAAATCATAAATATTACCAGAGGTTGATTATCCTCCTTTAGAAGCGGGAAACTAGAGATTAGATGAATGTATGAAGAAAATCCAATGAAGGTTGATTTGAAGGAAACTTTGAGACCTTTACTGGTACAAATCAATCAAAATAATTAAATAGAAACTAAAATAAATAATAAATGTACACAAATTGAGACAACATGAAAGAAAATTCAATTGCTTCTGAAAAAAAACTGTAGTTTACCGTTGCTCAGGGAAACGAAACGCCTCTTTTCTACAATATGTGTATAAAAATTTGACTCAAATTATTTGAGTGTTCACTGTACATGCATTTGTGTTATCACCTTAATTACCATTTGTTAATAGTAAATTAGTTTAATTAAATAGTTTAAGGTTAGATATTGTTTACCTTAAAGAACAAATTAATGTCTTGGAATGTTTGCCAATCATCTAAGCTTTCATTTACAATTGGATCAGTCCTCTAAACTAAGGTTTGCTTGATCAATACTTGTTTATTAAAAATGCCAAGCTTTAACAACTGTTTTAGCTCTTACTCTTTCTTTGATCATTTCAATCTTTTCATTTATTCCATTTCATCTATAATATTTTCTTAATAAATTTTTTTCCATCTTCAATTTGCAGGTTTCAATATTTATCTGGTATTACTTCTCTAAAGCGTTACTGGTATTATTGTGTGTTGTCCTGACTTTCCTCGTCCCAGCTCTTTTTCTTCGTATCTTCTTATTTTCAATATTGTTGATTGTGATAATCCTGTATTTGATTAGAGAATTTTTGCTGATCATTCTTTTTCGAAAGCTAAAACTGCCACCTAAGATATCCAAGATAAAATATCATTCAATTGTCTAACTGGTAATCATGACATCGTTGATACAAAGTGTTGTTAGATTGGCTCAACAAACATTTTCCAAGCAAGTTAATGAAGAATCTTTGGGTCGACTGCGTAGCTTATTTTTTAACCTTACGGCTCGTGATGTTGACTTTAAAGGTGACCTATTAGAGGATAAAAAATGTGGATTAAAAGGTCCAACTATACATGTGCACATTTATGAAGATGACCACCAATCAATTTCTATATTTGGAATTCGTGAAGGTAAAAAAATACCGTTGCATGATCACCCTGATATGTATGGAATTATTAAAGTTATTCGAGGAGCGATAAAAATTAAGTCATTTACCAAGCTTTCAGTGAAAGAAGTTTCAGCTGCCCCAAAAGAAATTTTGTCGAAAGTTTCTTGGAGACAAAAACATCTCTTATTACCTACTGTGATGACAGGAGAGAAAATAGTCACTACGGAAAACGAGCCATGCATCTTATATCCCACCGACAACAATATTCATGAGGTGACCTCGATAGAAGGCTTGTCTGCATTTGTTGACTTACTTTCTCCACCTTATCAAGAAGGAGAACGGGATTGCCATTTCTACTCTGTTCTTGGTTCCGCATTCGATCCTAAGCTCAATCTAACTGTTACCTGGCTCTTAGAAGTAGATTCTCCAGCTTCTTATTGGTGTGATAATATTCCTTACACAGGCCCACCAGTTTGACCGTGGATTTTCGTTAATGCTTTCTATCTGTATCATGGTAATTTTCCCGATACATGTACATGACATTTAAAATTTACTACATCTATTGAAATTTCAGTGAGAAAATAGAAGTGTCAAGCCTTATTTGAATTAATCAGTTTAATATTAATAATCAAGTTTTTATTTTTACTGCTACAATCTATAATTTTTTATACTTTGATTAACAACTACTCAAGATACTTTTACCTAAACCAAAGAGTGGTTTAACCAAGTACAAATCTTTCCATCGTTTATTTTTCCTTGGCGTCAACGTATGTTATCTCTTGCTACAATCAACTAATTGGTAATTGTGATCGATCGAGTATTGTTTGCCGTCATGGTCTTCTAGAAAATCGTGAATGATCGATTGATGAATGGTTGAATCATCGCCATAGCTGGATATTTGATCTAAGCCTGACTTCTGTTCTTTGGTTTGAGTAAATAAGATGTCTCCAATACTTTTAATGGGGCTTGCATGTGCTTCTGGTACAGAGAAACGTGATCTGGAATTTTACTTTCAAGTTTCTGGATTTCACAGAAATCTCCTGAAAATTAAAAATAGAGAATCAAATTATTTAGACGTCTGGAAGACAAACTGATTGATTTGACCAGGACTTACCGAAATATTCTCGGACTTTTTCCTCTGGTTGGCTGAATGGAACACCAGTCCATATTTTGTCATCAAACTCAGTTACGAGAAGAAGATAACGGAAATCAGGTGCCAAAAGACGTTTCATAGTTTGGATGTAAAGTTTTTGTTCATCCTCAGTGATTGTTCCAAATGCTCCACGATCCCAAACGCAATCAATGGTTTTGTTGATCTTTGGACTAAAATAATATACATTTTATATCAAATATATTGGCTAAGTTCAGAGTTTCTGATTCTACAAACATTGATTTTGGCTTAAATTCTGTATTGAAAGTTTTAACTTACTTGTCAAGAGTTAAGAAATTGGTTTGGATAATGTTGAGTCGTTTATCGGGCACCGAATAAATTTGAGCTCTTTCATCCAATTTCTCACTGGTATATTCAAGCTTTTGTTCATTGAAGAAATCCTGGACAGCTTCTGGTGCACAATCAGCTCCATAAACCTCATGACCTTGTTCCCAGAAGTATTTCATGTCAATCACCTTACCGCACATTGGGAATAGCATACGAACACTTTTTCGTCCATTAAGAAGAAGGTCTTCATATTTAACCAGAGTTCTGTCGTTGGATGAAGAAAGATATTCATTGAATCAAAATTGGTCAAGCTTAATAATCTAATGGTTAACTTACGGATTACGATGGGTCAAATGCCAAGCTGTGTCCCGAGCAGACCAAAGCTCCTTCCACATTTGAGTATAATTATCAGCATCTTTGATCACTTCCAAGTTTTGGTTATTTAATTCGCAAGACATTTCAACGTTTGTATGAATTCCAATGGACTTATCAACAAAAAAGAACAAAGTTTATGTAAAGAAACTAACAAGCTTCAAACGTCTTGAATAATCTTTGGTTTGAACTCAAATTGGATAACATTTTATATTTATATCCGAAACTTTACTGAACTCCTACTCCTAAGGCGGAGTTGAGTTGGATCTCATAAACAATTCTGGTTAATCCTATTATGGGGAGGCAAACAAAATTTCAGACAATCATAACGAACGGATAAATATCAATAGTCAGGGAAAATTTGATTCTCAATTCTTAAAGTAGAACGGTTCGAGGAGCGAAATCCTTTCAGCCTTGAACTCTCATATAAAAGTTGCTAACTAGTTTGCATTAAAAATGAGCAAAAAAGGAATATATCTTTTCCTTTAAATTATTTATGATTATCATTTATATTTGCTCTTTTTTACTCTTTTTTTCGTTTCAATTATCAACATTGTTTTGGTACATGAAAAAGCTGGATAATACAATGATTGAAAGATAACTTAGTGGATAATTTTTTGGTCGAAATAACATTTGCATAAACGAGCAAACAATTTGAAATGCTCTGAATAGAGATGACAACCTCTTAGAATCGATTCATTAAAACCATGCTAAACGACCTTTTCTCTCAATCATTCATTGTTACTTTGACTGTTTCTTAAACCTTTTTGTTGCCACTTTACTTCATTGGCTGTACTTTTGATTATCTTGCTTTTTATTTATTAATCATGTCAGTAAAAGTTGAATAATCTTTTGGACCACTGACCGATTCAATGACCCACTTGATAATGTTAAAGATTGTTTATTTGAAGATTTAGTGTTTAACTCTTTTGTCTTTTGTTTCCCATTACATTTGTATTTATGCTAAATAACAAAATGATTCAATCTCAAAAATCGTAAAGATTGGAATTATTTGTTGTCATAATTTCCAGCTTATCGTGCTAATCACAATTTAAAATTTGGTGTCACCGTTAATTTCGTAATTTAACTGTTTCTAATGGTCATGCTTATCTCGGGTTAAGTTAATCTCGATCTTAAGCAAGAACTTAACTGTGAAAATGAATTTCTATTCGTTCACATTGATAAGTAAATTCACGCAATAGTCCATTGAATTGTGCCATTGACTTAATGTCAGTCAATAGTTGTACCTTGACTTTAATAGTCAACGGATGCAATTAAAGGTTACTGGCGAGATCAGTTAAATCATTGAAATTTATTGTTCAAGTTTAGCCAATTTTTGACTCTATTATATGCGAGAGAAACAAATGTTGTAAAAGGGTTTTAGTAAATAAACAAATCTTATGGTCCTGATTCGCCAATTTTGTGTTCATAACAATGATCATTAAATTATTACAATTGTGAATTTGTGCATCTGCTATTAGTATCGATAATGATAAATTAAGAATTTGTGATTCAAGAAATTTATTAGCATTGTTATTGGTATAAAAATAAACAATTTGTTCAGACAACAGTTTAAATGATACAAAAATAAAGCAAAAATATATGAAAGTCATGAGTTGTACAAATGATTGAAACGATTGCAATGTAAATGATGAATAATAAATTTCCAAAAATAATCCAAATCAGTTATAATGAAGATATCATCTTTGTACAATTATATATATCAATCAAATTATCTGAAATATACGTGAAGGCAATAAAAAGGATGATTCCAACGAAAGGTATAGCTGTTAGCAATTTCCAGGCAAAGTAAAGAACAGCAATTTGATAGATCAGATAAAGGAACAGTTGTCTAGTGGAAGAGGAAAAAAGGGTTAATAGTGTTTCTTTAACATGAACAATTTGAAGATTGAATTGAAAGTTGACTCACATTCGATATTTGATTCTTGCCATTGAGATTGTTCTGTCGTCTTCTTTAAGAAGGTATCTTCTTATACCAAGCCAGACATTCATAAGCACATCGTCAGTTCTCGGTTTTGAAATGTCCAAATCAAATGTGTTACAATCTGGGCCTTTCAAGCTGTGAATTAAATTAATGTAATTGTCACATTCAAAGCTCCAGTGACGATCAGCAAAATATTTCATCAAATCGAGAGCGTAATGCATTCTGTCGACAATCCTCTTCATTCTGCGAAAAAATTAGATTAGATTAGAAACAATAATCTTTCAATAATGATTGCTGTGGTTCAACTTACATGGGTCGTTGTCTGAATATGAAAAGTAAAAGATCAATAAAGTAAGCAAAAAGAATGTGACTGTAAAAAATTTTGATTTTATACTCCAAATTGGACATATTATGAGTCTTTGGAGGTAATCGAGGTGGCCTAATAACATAAAGAGATGGACAACTCCTCATTATCCTTTCACCATCAGCTAACATCGTATAATTGTCTTCAGGTCGGATTGTTGTTGAGCATAAATTGTATACTTTTAACTCGTTGATGCTAGACAAAAAGAAAAATAGGAAAAGAGTTTAATTTTTAATATCAATCCAATTTACCATTCACTAAACACAGGTTGGAATGGTTTAAGTGAATATAAAGTATATTTATGATTAAATTTACTTGTTAGTACTCGTCAACCATGCACTGACAAGACATGAATTTGCCAAAAAGTCAACTGGAAAAATATCCAATTGATGATTGAATTCCCAATCAGTGACTTTGGCGATTCCTAATGAAGAGACAGTACTAAAGCCTGCTGGCCCATTAAATGAATCGACATAACCGGGAACTGGATCTCGAATTGCTGGTGAAACAATTGCAGGTCTTAATATGACTGTTTTCATGTCTCCTCGATGTTTGGCAACAACATGTTCAGCCATGGCTTTAGTGTAAACATAACTATTTGGTCTTCCTTGAAAAAGTTCATCTCTCATGGCTTCCAATGTTTTATCATCGACCGATCTGTAAAAATTGAAACAAAAAAGATATTAATAATCAAAGTAATCGGTACACCATAATTGTAACAATTTCACCAATTAGTTCACCACCTTATGCATAGCACAAAGCTCGTTAACATTCAAAACAGGCTTCTGAAAATGAAAGTGTATCAAATTGTTTAAGCTTGTTAACACTATTCCGCTCTCGAACCATTTTGCATACTTTGAAGACATCAGAATGAAAATGAGTTGTCATCTTATAGCAATTTATTTGATATTGGAATTAAACTGTGATGAAAATGCTGATTCGATGTGATTGAAGTAACATCAAGTCAATCAACCCTTAACTAAATCATTTTTAAATTCAAATTCAAAACTTTTAGACCATACAAATATTAATCAAACTGTAATCATCATGAACATTAAATTGAGATCTTAAAAATTTTGTGATTTCTGAGGAAACATTAAATGTTTCTTGTTTTAAAACTTGTAACATTTTGATTTTCAAGTAAATCACTGAGAGCTTTCAATTAATTATTTAATTTGCTTACATTTATTGAGTGATTGATTGGTTGATCTATTTTTATCGGAGAAAAGGTGAGTGCTAATTATAAATGTTAAGTGAATTCCCCTAAACTGATTGGGAAATTGTTATGACAATTGAAAGTGAACGGGAAAATAAAGTAAAGAGTTAACTTTCAATTATCTAATTTTAACAGTGAAATTTAATTGTTGTTTGTAAATTGATGTTTCCATTTGGTTCTAAGCTTCTGCTTTAATAAGGATTGTAACCTGATGAAGAGAGGTAATGAAGAAGTGAAAAAAGTGTCAAATTCACGCAACATTGATTACTGTTGATCATTTAAAGTGTAAAATGTTTATTCCTACCAATCGCAAGTGTTTAACTTGAAAACTTAAAATAGTCAACATTATCTTAAATTTTCCTCAAACATTGAGATGAATTTTGAGGTTTTAATGGTTTCATTGTGATGAGCGTTGGATACATTTGATTTATTATCACAAAATTTACCTGAAATTTGTTGGTAAGTAAAAAGACTGATTTCAATCTAATGTGATTGAATTTCACTGGATGGCCAATGGTTTGGTAAACTTGAATGATCAATGCTTTCGATAGGTTAGTCAATTAGCGAACTAATGTTCGATTCACGCTATTTCTATCATTTCTTTTCTATTTAAATGTCAATTGTATGAACCTGACCCTGGAAACGGTCACTGACTTATCAAGACAAGAATCAAGAATTAGATTTAAAGGTTATATCAGTTAGATTCCGAGAATGAATGTTAATTTGAAGGTTTGCGAGTTTAAATGTTTTGATTCAAATAGTAATCGTTATTAGTTGAAAAGACAATAAAATTGGAAAACGATATCAACTGATTGGTTTGCAAATTAATTAATTGACGTTGAATACAAATGCAATGTTGTTACCTGATTTTGGCAATCAATTTGTCAATATCATCTGTTAACGGATAAAGCTTTTCCTCGATCCGATCAATCTGACAATTAGAATAGGCCGTTGAAATGTGTATGTATACTTTCAATTGTTTCATTTGTTGGGTAAAACGTAATACATTCTCCGTCCCTTGGACATTCGTCTCAAATTGTGACCTAATGAAAAAATAGGAAAAAAACCAAACACCAATGTAAATTTCATGAAAATTGCAATAAAAACGCAAACCGAGTAAACCAACAAAACTGGTGATTTCTCAATGCATTGAATGAATTCAAGAGATTATCTGTGACATGAGGATAATAAGGAATGACAAATAATTTCTTTATTCAATAAATTTGCGGATTAAGAGTGAACTTACCTGAAATTAGCGTCAAACTTGACTGAAGCAGCAATATGATACACGATGTCAATGGTTTCAATCAGCCTTCTCTTATCATCCTGTTCATAAAGTAACTCTGGGTTTGATAAATCACCTTCCACAGGAATAATCTTTGCTCGCTGATAATCAGGAATTGGATTGAACTTGAATGCTTGGGATGACAGTAAATGATCGACTCGTTGTTTCGCATTTGAACCTCGCTTGGATCTCATCATTACATAAATTTTACCAATGCCAGTCAATTCATTGAGGATCTTGGATAGCAAAATCTAGAAAATCCGATAATAAATAGAAATGAGAAACTAAATATAAAATTGATTGAAACTTACCCTTCCACAAAATCCTGAGACACCAGTGATGAACAGATTTTTACCATTGAAAAATTGTTTTATTGGTGAATCCAATTCACAAGTTGATAGATCCATTGGTCTCAACAGCTGACGATATAATCCAAATGGATAGCAAGTGTAGGAAGAAAAACACAATAAAAAATCAAATTCCCAAATAACAGGTATGTAAATCAATAGTTTGTTCAGTTGGTGTTAGCAGTTTTTGGTGAAAATAAAGTAAAGTTGAATGGCACTTGAATCGGTAAAAAAAGAAGTAACTTAAACGCTTTACAATTGATGTCGACTGTTACTAATTTCGCTTCGGTAGTTGTTAACAGCTTTTCCCTCTCAACAATGGTGGTAATGATGATGCTGATGACAACAACAGTTCATAAAATGTTATATTTTAAGTTAACAGTTTTTCTGCGCAATAGTTCAAGATTAAAAGTTAAATTAACCGATTTAATCTCTCAATTAACCATGACTTTTAACTCACCAAATCCAAAGAATCTTCTGACTTTCCATTGTTTTGCGATTCCTAATTTACTCCTTCGTTCTGTTCACTCCGCCTTCACCTTCACATAATCCTAATTAATTTCAACAGACAGATTAGCAGGATCAATCTGACCTTTTATTCAATAGAATCGAAGACAAATGTTTAAAAATTTGAAAATTTTCCTCTTAAAACCTATTCTGAAAAACCTAAATGATAACATCTTTTTATTTTACAATTTTATCTACTTTCGTTTCCTTGCAGTGAAACACAATTAAACAGCTTGAAAATTTATTTTCATGGGTAAAATTTTGCGTTAACTTGAATTATTTTGTAACATTGACATTTCAATCCTTCGATTGAATCAGGTAAATTTTATAAACGGTCAACGAGGAAAACAAAATACTTGATTCATTGTTTTTAGAAAAAGAAACATCCATTCATATTACGGATGAATTAGGTATAATTCTGGTAATAATCAATTATATCATGTGTCACTAAATTAACATTATAACCCTATTTTGAATACTTTGGGTGCAATTTCGTCTTCTTTGTTGATAGATTACGATTGTAAGGTCAAGATTGAATATTTAGAGACATGCAGTTGATCAACTTTCACCTCAAATATTTTGCGTGCTCATATAAATAACCCGTCTAGTCATTCATGTGGACTCTCGTGACAGTATTAATGATATTATTGTGAGCATAAATCTTATGATCACAAAATAATCAGCTAGTTTTGATTGAAAAAACTTAAGTTACACTTGAAAGTATAAATTAAAACTTTTTTAACCACCAGCAGCTCACCTCCAGTAGTTTATGAGAGGATCGACTGTATTAATAAGTCTTAATGCATTGATTAAAAGCTTGTAGCATTTTGAATAATGATTATGATAACTCGGCAATAGAAAAATTAATTTCCAGCTTACAATCAAGCTCTAAATTTAAAATCAGCCACTAAATATGATGACCTGGTAGCCATAGTTAGTCATGTGTTTACAAACAAACGTTAAAGTAAATCACTTGTTTTGATACCGAGGAGACAATTTTGACAGCTTCACTGTTTTTTAATTTTATATTTATCAAATCATTGTCAAACTCATTGTTGAATTAATTGTCGTTAAGTTGTTCAATCAATTTTTCAATCTGTTGCTATCTTTTTGGATCATCGTTAAATGAGCTGATTGAAATCACCATTTGGTTAGTACTCGTAAATTTTTATGAAAACTGAATCTTCAAAATACTCAATAATTATACTACAGCAGTTACAGTCAAAGGATTAATTTGTCATTATCATATTTGTGCATATTTACCTTGTCTTATTTATATACATCTTTGATAAAGGATATTTAGTGTATTATGAATGTGATTCGCATTCCATCAGAATATTATGCTTCTGTTTTTCATCAAAGATGCCTTAATTTTTTATTTGACCATCAAAATTGCATGTGCATTTGAAGCACCCAAACACTATTTCAACGCATTTCATAAAGTCCATAGTAATGTTTATTCAATTGCAACGCAACCCAACAGCTATGCAGTTTACGTGGCAGGTAAAATTGCATATCTGACCATCGCAACACCGAATGAAACAGATATTTCAAAAATACTGAACTGGCGAGCCATTAATACCGATCCGACACGTTTAATGTTTGTGTCTGATAACAAACCATTTATTTTAATCGACTCGACAGTTATTCGTCCTATGAGCCATCAAGTTGCACTAAATGGTACAATAATTGAACTTGGAAATGCTGAGGCTCTTCACATTCCAAAGATAATTAATCCCGATGGAGTCGACCCAAAAGAAGTTTGGAATTATTTCGATTTGCTGCTTTTCGACTCAAAGGATGAGAAAGTGGAAAAAATTTCTTCCATTGATTGGATTGGCGCTAAAGATTATGAGTTTATACTCGAGTACCGAGTGCTTGATCATATCCATTTCAAAAATAAATTGTACCTTTTGATGTTTCGGCAAGTGAAAAGTTTCCCCTCACCATTCAATGAAATCTCCATCATTCGCCTTTGCCTTGAAAAAGGGTCACAATTTTTATCATCTGCCGTTGAAGTTGCCTACAAATACGATTCGAAGCCAATTTCAGGTGTATTTTACTTTGATTACACCAATCCAGAAGAATGGAAAAGATATTCAATTGCACTGATTAATAATCAAGATTCATCAACAGTAACCTTCCATTACATTGAAAATTTTGAAGCTCTATTTGATGATGTTGCATACAATTGTTCAACAGGTTTACCTGGACTATCAAACTTATTCCTCCATCATCTGCGAAATCAGACACCAAATGGGTGCGTTGAAGAAGAGTATAAAGATTGTGATAATGGCGTTAGAAATATTTTCCCTTCAGGTCAAATCTCTGATAAAATAACTGTGAGATCCTTTCTAGGCCCTCAAAACGATTCGATCAAACTATTCACTCATCATCATCCTTATCCAATAAATTATGTTTCTTTCGGAATTGGCAGTGAAGAAGCGATTTATATTTGTGATTTTTTCGACTCGCTATTGCTTTGTTCGCAATCATTTTACGGTCAATTGACAGATTATTATCCACAGTTACACATGGATGTTATCCATGGGAAGATACTAATAGTTCATCGAGACAATACAGTTTCATATGTTTTAATGCCTTGTGATATATTTCGAAATTGTCTTTATTGTTCAGTTTATGCTAACAAATATTGTGAGTGGACCATAAAGGATGAGGAATGTCAATCGCCAGAACCTAAAAGTCTAAGCCCTAAAACATACGTCAACTTCTGTAATCGAATTGAACAGGTTCAACCTTCTAACTTTGTTGGAGAATCACCAATTCCATTGAAAATAATATTCTTTAGTACTCTGAACTTTATTGATCCTAATGAACTGATCAAAATCTCAGCAGGTCCAGGTAGTTATTGTACCTCTATAGAGATTAACGATACGATAATCAATTGTGATTTATATTTTCAACAATACGGTGATTTTTTCGTCACTGTAACCTTTGAAGATGCCTTTTATGCGGATGCAACTCCAGTTTCTGTAGTTTCTTTACGTCAAATAACAATTAACCCGAAACCAAAAGTGTATGGCAACTCAATTTTTGTATTCATCTTTTTCATTTTAATAGTCATTATTTTACTGGCAATTATTTATTCACTTTCTTCACCGATCAACCTTGATTTGAGCGACAAAATTTTTTCCAGACAAAATTCACACTTAGAAGGGTCCAAATTGATGTCAAAACCTACCTCAAGATCGAGATCACGATTCACTAGATTTTCACATTTCTGATGAAAATGAATGCACAAAATGAGGATTGAATGAATCATGTTCAATGGTGAAAGCGAGTGCTGCTACAAAGTGAAATATGGAAGATTAAACTCAAAGAGAATTGGGTTTTTCATATTTATCAGTTTTTTATTCCCGGCATTCATTTTCCGGCTCGACCATGATTAAGGGTTTGTGAGGCCTTTTCGTAGTGTATTTAGTTTTATCAATCCCGATGTTATTTCTTCAAATTACAACTGTAAGTAGAAATGATAGATTTTACTCATTTCAGTGTTTTTCTCGTATTCGCTTTTTTATTCTCAATTAAAATCATGTTCTATAACAATCAGTTTTTTAATATTTTTATTTTATATGAAACAATAAAATGATTGCAAAAAATTTTGGCATAAGAATGTTAATCAATGATAAATTGTATTACAATTAAACCTATCAAAATGAAATGTAACAGTTGAAGATCATTTTCCTAATGACTTTGCTCTTTCAGTTGATCACCTTGTAGTCATAAACCAGGATTAAGAATGAAAAATTTATTCCATTAATTCTGACCCCTAATAATATCTTAAAGATTAATTTTGAATTGGTTTGTAGCGATAAATCCATTTCTAGAATAAATTTGGTGAACAAGTTGAGATAATAATTGATAGTGTTCAACAACAATGAACATCAGATTGATGCATTAAATTGTTTGATCAAATTCAATGAGAAAAGGGTGTAATTATTAACAACTGTGACCCTAAAAGAGATTAGGTGAGGATCATAAAAAGAGGTTTGTCAAAGCCGCGGAAAGGAAGTATCCGGTTTCCTGGATCATATGACATAGTAGATCAGGTTGAATCTATCCATAATCTTACATTACAGGTTTGACAGTCTTTTACCCAAGTAAATCAACTTAATCCAATTTGCTCATTGTTTTACACTTTGACCCTTCTCATAATATGACATAGAATAGGATTCCTTTGAATGGCGTGAAAATTAGTTTATGTTGCATGAAGACAATTTAAAATTTATTGCATTCCGAGTTAGAAGGTAAGGGTGGAGTTTTGGTAAACATGATTAGTAAACATGAATAAAAATCAACTAGAGAAAATAGGTATCGATGTTGTTCACAAACAAATTTGTTTCTAATATTTTAGATCGGAAATGATTGGATTGATTTCTTTTTTTCTTGAATGTGTGGTTTTGATTGAAAATGGTTCTCTTGTTTTTGGGTTTTGTGTCTTTATAATTGTGGTTTCATTTAAGTTTTTGTTTTGAAGTTTATCGTGATTCAGTTGGTTGTGGTCACGGTTGTCTGAGCGCAGGTTTCTCATTTTGCTTATAGATACTAATTATTGGTGATTTTCAATCTTTGGGAATGATGACCGAGTTAACCATGCGTAAGTTGTTCAATGCATGTATGTATTCTAAGTCCAAGTAGTTAGAATTATTGATGAGTAATCAACCAAATTTAATTTCCATTTGAATGTTTGCCTAGATGCCATGATTTAGACTCTAGTTAAATGAATTGTATGTGCTTCAGCATAAATATATATTTTTATATAACTTGTTTTTATATCAATGATTAAAGCAATTAAATCCACATTATTTGACACTTTATCAGTTTGTCCGTGAATTATAATGATGGCTTGCTATCACTCTCACAACACAATTAACTAAAAATATGAGTCCTTAATTCTCATTTATTAGATGTTCCGGAAATTTCAGGATAATAAGGTGTAGGTACAAACGTTTTGCCACTGTGAAAATAAGATGAAAAAGAGATCTCATTAGAATATTACGCCCACGATTATTTTGATTTTGTGATATTTAACTGATAATATCACAGCGACGATTATACATTATGAAATATATAAAGAACCATGATCTTAATACTTACGTGATAGTTTTCTTCTCTGTTTGACGTTCAGGACGAGCTCTATTAAGAATTTTCAGGAATTCGGAAGTTTTAGCTCTCATTCTAGAATGTATATAAACTTTTGAGCATTTGATGTGATAGTGCAAGTAATCACGAAAAATGTGTATCAGATTAATTGTATTATCTCGGGATTTTTTGCTTGTATGTCGAGGAAATAAAACAAAGGTAATGTAACCAATTTTATCACCGGCAAGGGCATCAGTGTCTTGAAGTTCCATAGGTGGTTCTTTGTGACAGAACAAAACATGGGGTGCAGTGTGACTTGCTTTACGCCCTTCTTTGAATTCTTGCATAAAAACCTAGCGAAAAGACAAAGAAAAAGAAAAAAAGCAATTAAAATCTTGTTTTTAAAGTTTAACACACTAAAGACTTGAAATGAGAAGAAAAAAAGAAAAGAATTTCAATTTGGTTGGATTAATGTTCATTGACTCTTATCGATGTTGAATAGAAAGTAGAAATTTCATTAATATGGAGTTGTAAATTCAATAACAAGATAAGAGATAAGAGAGATCGAGTACATCCCGTTATCCTGAAAAGGTGAGGAAGAGAAATCAACATCCATACAAGGTAATGTTGAAGTCTCTACATTACCTCGTATTACACCAACGAAAGCAATCGGAATACAGGTACTGACATAGACTTACAAGGAACAGAAAGAAAAAATAATAAATACAATGAGATAGATATTTAAATATACAGTTAAAACAGTGAGTTGATTCGATTCTAGCAACAAATTTGCAAGGAAATTTAGTTTAATAATCAATACTAGGATCTAGATAGAGACACCGGTTATTTAATGATTCATAATTTCTACTCATTGATAGCCTTATCAGAAATGACTGAGTAACAGTATGTAGGATGTGAAAAGATGATTTACATACCTTCCCAATTATAACATCGGACTCGTCTTTGAAAACGGTGCTGAAAATAACAGTGACCCTATCAGGTTTGGCTTCAACATACATTGTTTCATCCTCTCTATAATGGATAACAGCTCGTTTATTTCCTTCAAGACCCTTTTCTTGAAATTCGAAGTACTTTTCAAAAACTGAAGCGAAACAATTTCTCTTCAAAAGTCCAGCTTTTTTAACTAATTCCTGGTGATTTTCGGGAAGATTTTTCAAATCAAATAACAAAGTAACGTTGTATCCTTCCTCCGGAGGCAGTTGCAGTAGCGAACCATACTCTCTTTGAAGTAAATCGTCAGCTCCATGTTCTTGCAGGTCTTTATAAAATTTTAAAGCAATGCTAACCCGTATTTTATATTTGTCATCTTTCAAATTTGAAATATGAAAAATAACCCCATCAAAATCAGCAAAGGTAACATCAACCAGTTCTAATTTGGTATTGGACCTGTGAGAAGAGAAAAATATGAAAATTAACACTTCGTGATAAATAATTGAACGAGATAAGAATGTAAATATTGTCAGACAATATTGTAATTAAAAAACATAAACAGTAATTAGAATGGACAAAATTAATGCAAATGAGAGATTAAGTGATAGGCAGAGAGTAAATTTAACTAAATCAGTAGATAAACAGTTGTAAGGTGTGAGTGTTTGATAGGAAATATAGAGAGGAGAGGTGAAAAGGCATAAGCAATGCTTTTGGTACTTACTCGACTTCACTAATTTTGTAACTTAAAATATCTTCAATAGTTCTGTTGTTTATTTCTAACAGGATCATTTTAAACAAAATTTAACTAACTCATAAAAAATATATTAACAATACAGATGAAAACTAATGAAACCAAAATGAAGTATCAAACTGATTGCCAATTCAATTGCCGGACAAAAAATACTAAGTTTGTCTGCCCTCTGGTGTTTTTTTCAAATGAAATACATTACCCGCTCAATTTGATCCAACAATTTATTCAAAAAATTATTGTAAAGATTTTAAATTTATATTTCTGAAAATCATGAATAAAGTCAAAAAAGTAATCAATTCCTGACTGATTAAAGCGCTGATTACGTCAAGAACTACTTTGTGATGCTGATATTACGCCTTGCTGTGTCAAATTTTTCTGTTATGAATGTATCTTTATTTTTATATGGCTTTACATAAAAATTGCGATCCCAGTTAACATAGTTTAATAATCAATTTTCAGACAAATCAGTGAAATCCTGCAGACAGATTACTCTACTTACTCTACCCTTTGGTAATCACACAGGTTGTTTGCATTTAATTTTAGCAATGAATTGTAATTTACAATGATTTGCAATGCCAGCATCTTTGATGCTCGAATCGTCTTGCAATTTTTGGCCATTGAAACTTAAATCGTATCGTTTCCAAAAACTTTTCCAATTAATTTTGGTTTTGATTTGTTGTTTTACTTGCAAACTGTAATAAAATTGAAATGATTCTTTAGGCCCTTTATTGTAGCTTCTTTGTCGACATAAATTTCAACCACTTGATTATCGTATCGTTCAATTATTATTTTCCAAACTCGACCTTCTTTGAAACCAACGATATCACGCAACTCTTCTAATGAAATATCCTTCGGTAAACTAGTTAAAACAGGGTCATTTTCTATTAATTGTTCAATTTTTTGTTGAACCTGGAGTAATTGATTGTTGATGTCCATCCTTCTCAGTGAAACCTAATTTTTGCCAATCTTCAGGAGACATCAGTCCATTTTCCATTCTACATTGCAAATAACTTTTGATTTCATCTCGACATTCCAAAGTCACTGAATCCTTCTTTCGTAAACACTTGAGATAGGCAATTAAAGATTTATGGCAGACTTTATCATGATCAAGAGGAAAACTTCCTTTATCAGGAGCTTTAGGGATAGCTCGGCCACTACCAAAAGGCACAGACATCAGATGAAAAAATTGAAATGAAAGTGTGCTCCGAAATGTACAATAAATGCACAAATTAAAGTCACAAAGATAACACTAAATTACAGGTGTATTTCAGACTTTGAATTCAATTGACTTTAATTACAAAAATAAACAAAAACACGAGTTTGGATTTTGAGAATCGTGAGAATAGCTTATTCACACTCTGAAGTATGAAGCCTATTCCAACAAAACATTCTTTACTAATAGCATTTCGTGTTTACTCATTGATTGAAACAGTTTGCTTTGATTAATTTTAAAGTATTTCTTGATATTTCTGTTTGACATATAGTATTGTATTTTTTATTCATCTTTATTGCTATCAACAATTATGCTGGAAATTACTGTCAATGATCGTCTTGGAAAAAAAGTAAGAATTAAATGTAATTCTGATGATACCATTGGGGATCTGAAAAAACTTATCGCCGCGCAAACAGGAACTCGAGCTGAAAAAATAATACTTAAAAAGTGGTACACCATTTACAAGGACCATATCACCTTGGGGGACTACGAAATACAAGATGGAATGAATCTTGAACTTTATTATCAATAAATTTATTGAACAAATAAAATTAAGTATTGAAACATTTTTTTTTGCTTTTCATTTTTAAGGTTGACATTAAGGTAGTGCAAAAAAACTTCGCGTTGACTCTACATTTTATCCATGAAATTTTCAGTAAACGCCTTGATGCTGTCGATCCTTTGGAAGGTTTAAGCTACCGAGACATTTTAACAGCTATCCAAAATGCGATCGGGCCCAGGCCAGCACTTTTGTGCCTCAAGTGAGCTTTGATTTACTTGTCAAGGCAAATCCGTAGACTTGAAGAACCAAGTTTGAAATGTGTGGATTTGGTACATGAAGAGATGGTTGCCATCATTCAACACTGTGACTTCGAAATTCAACAAGAACTCCTTCGATTCCCTAAATTGCATGAAAAAATTATTGACGCTGTTACAACTCTTCTTCGACGTCGACTTCCGCCTACCAACACTATGGTTCACAATTTAGTATTCATTGAATTGGCCTACATCAATACCAGACATCCTGATTTCCACGAGGCCCAATTAATTGGGACGTTGATGAAAAATGCTGAGATTGACCAGAAGAAGAAGTATGCTCCGAACAATGCTCTACCTGCTCCTGATGATGAAGCTTCCAGTAGCTCCAATGAACTAGTGAAAGCTAAACCAGGCTCATCTCTTGCCCTGAAACTTGATGCAAACATGATCTGGTCAACATCTAATAAAAAAGCTATTAGCCAAGTATCAGAAGCAGGTGATAATATGAATGATCTCGACAGATTAGGAGGCTTGAGTGGACCCGATGTGCCGGCCAACAGAGAGGTTAGACTAACATCCAAGGAACAAAGGGACTGTACAGTCATCGAAAAATTAATTAGATCTTATTTTTTAATTGTTCGAAAGAACATTCAAGACTCGGTGCCTAAGGCTATCATGTATTTCCTTGTAAACTTTGTTAGGGATAATCTACAGTCGGAATTGGTTACACATCTCTATAAAAAGGAAGACTTTGATGAACTTTTGTCAGAATCTGAGCATATTGCTGTTCACCGAAAAAATGAACTCGATATTTTTACTGATTGATATCATATAATTTAATTTAAGTAATTTTTCATGAAAGACAAGATTAAGGAAAGAATTGCTTCAAGTGAAAAAGCAAAAATATGTTATTACTTTTCTGCTTTCAAAATATGTATTTGGTTAAAATACTTGTCCAACCTTTACTTTAAGAAAAGTAAGCAAAGAGTTGATTAAAAAAGAGTACATCAAAATGGACTAATCATTCATACACAACCGAATAAATTAAATATACAGAATGATTCGCATGAAAAGTGACTGTTAGAGGATGGCAGTCAATAGAGAGATTGCCAAATTACAAAAAATTACATATCATTATTATACAAATGAGATATCCATATATAAATCCTTTATTTTTTGTTTTGTTTCGCTGAGTCCATTTGGTTTCGTGCAAATCGAATGAAAACTTGATCCAAAGTAGTTTGAGTAACTGAGTAATCGCTTAAAATACCAACCATTTTTGCCTTCTCGAGTTCAGCAAAAATTGATGAGATTGAAATTTTAGAACCAATTTGATATTCCATTTGATTTAGATGTACTTCTTTTAATGATGCTTCTTGACCAAAAGCTGTATCGATGAATGATTGAGCTTTCATTTTACTTTCATCTTCTCTATCAACTCTAATTGTAACCGTATAACCTTCACCAAATTTATTTTTTAGATGCTGAGTACTTCCTAAGCATCTAAATCGACCATTAACCATAATGGCCAAACGTGTGCACAACGCTTCACATTCCTCCCTATAATATGAAAGGAATTTAAAAAATAATATTCAGAATAAATTAAATTGAAAACAGTTAAAATTGCAAATTAGCAAATTGAAATTGGTTATTGACTTACATGCTGTGAGAGGTTAATACAACAGCACATTTATCTTTGACAATATCAATAATACAGTTCCATAAAAATCGTCTCGCTTTCGGATCCATTCCTGTTGTGGGCTCGTCTAAGAATACAATTGATGGTTGACCAACTAAAGCAATTGCAGTTGACAGTTTTCTTTTGTTTCCTCCAGAATAAGCTCCTGCAATCACATTACTGTATTCACTAAGTCCTAACTTTCTAATCGACCATCGGACAACTTTACTAATTTGTTCTTCCGGGATTCCACGAAGACGAGCATAAAATTCGAGATGTTCCCAACCAGAAAGGAAAGAATCTAAAGCATCAAATTGTGGACAGTACCCAATATGTTGACGTGCTTTGGTCATTTCAGTTTTAACTCTTAAAAAATGAAGAAATCATAATTTAGTTTTAATGTTTTAGCTTATGTTGGAGCAAAATAGTTAGAAAATTAAAGGGTTAAAATAATTACCTGAAACCAGCGATATAAGCTTCACCACTACTAATTTTTATGTCTCCAGTTAACATTTTGAAGGTACTTGTTTTACCAGCTCCATTAACACCTAACAACCCAAAACATTCACCAGAGCCAACACTCATCCATAGTTTGTTAACAGCAGGTAATTGTCCTTCTCGGTAAACTTTAGTTAAATTTTCCACTCTAAGAGCATTATCTGAAGCCAAACCAGCAATAATCTTTTCTCTTTCAGCCGCTACATCATCGTCTTCCTCGTCATCGTCAACATTAGGTGCTTTAGGCTCTCTGTTGTTCGATAAATTTGAAAAAAGATAACAATTAAATTACATTGATGATAATAAAACATCGAAAGAAAAACTAACCTCATCCTCCACCAAAGAATACCCGATTCAAGCCATAGAACAATTCTAAAGAAAACGACTCCCTGAATAAACAGGGCCAACATATTACGTCCAATATAAGTAAAATTGAAGGGATTTTTTTCATATGAAACACCAAATTTAGCAAAAGTTCGAGAAGCTAAGTGATTTGCGGACATTTCCAGTAAACCTCTTCCCAAACAATATTGAGGGAAAATGAGGAAAACCTTTTTTAGCAAATTACCAACATATTGAAGTCCCTGGAATGATAAAAAACAAAAATTTCATTTAAGTTAATAAAATATTAACAGTCAATTTTTCAGACAAGCAATTCAAAAAAATACTTACATCATCATCAAATAATTCGAGCACAAAAGTAGAAACTGTGCTAACAGTTCCAATAAAAAGATTGACTGATGCTAGAACGACAAAAGCCGAGCTTGGAACTTTAAAAAGATATGAAGTAGGATACATAAGAGGAATTGTGGCAAACCTGTAATGAAAACAGAATGAAAAAAGATTGTCAAAGAGCAATTTAAAAATCGTATAAATCAATCAAAGTTAAAAGAAAAATTCTTACCCGTAAAGAATTAAAAGAGTTATAAACCCGTAGATATTTGGCGATTGTATGTATGCTTCAACATTGAAAGCTACAAAAATCATAACACACAGAAATGTCGGAATCATATAGTTGGCCTTTAAAAGAAATTGAATTTGAAAAGAATTATAAATCAATAACAATATTTAGAATGTTTTTCATGACATTTTGTTCATTTTTTATGTAAGGGAAAAATTCATTCAGAAGCTTACCATATCCCATAAAAATGTTGAAATCCAATAAACATTTGGATCAACTCCACTAACGAATTGCAGATGTTTTGAGCCGGAGACTCTATCTTCAATCAGGTACAAAACAAAACTTGCAGGAACAAAAGACATGGCAAACAGTACAGTTATGGAATGCAAAAGCGAAAGGCCACCGCGTTTGAACATTTCATCCTTCAACTGATCCTCAGTAAAATTCATGGGATGGTTAATCGCAGTGATACCATAATAACGTTTGTCCACATTATCTGGCAAATTGGCTCGAAGGATAACATTATTCGCAGCGTTCAAGTAAGCCATTGAAGCAGCCCATCCCTTATTATTAAACCAAACTTTTACATTGTTCCATAACTCTCGTCTGATTAAAGCTTGTGTCAAACTTGAATAAGTTTTCATAATATATTCACGATTTTCACGGAGATCGACTAAATCGATGAGATATGAAAGTAAATTCTCGACAGAAGTGTAATTGAATGAACCCATTGTGCTACTAAAAGCAAAAGAGAATCCACCATACCTGAAATATCAAGAAGAATAAAATTATTAGGTTAAATCGCAATATAGTAAACTTTTTACTTACATTTTCTTGTAATGTTGTTTTCTAGTTTTAATTAACCAATCTGAAACATTTCGTCCAGTAGCATTGTACATTATATCGCCAGAAATAATTGGAGTAGAGGGAGGATCAAACCCATCCACAAGTTTTGGACATTCCATTGTTCCTGTAGTACAATCACATTGGACGTATTTATTAAGTAGCGACAAGCTTTGTGGTGAAGTTAGATTTCGGTCTGTTACTTGAGAATCACAAGTATCAGACCATTGAGATCTTTTAATCGAAGAAAATTTATACAATCTGTTGAAATAAATAGGAAAAAATGAGAATCATTTCTTGTTTTCGAAAATATTAGGAACATTCATTTTTTTTAACACATCAACTTACTGAGGTTTGAGTGAACGATACTTTTCTGGAATTCCTTGGACACACTTTGTGCCTATTCCTGGGTCACCAAGTAATTCATTTACGTAATTTTTAGCAACAGGATTGCTACCTAATGAATCGTCGGTGTAAAATATGTAATTAGGCGGTCCATATAACCATGGTTTGAGTTCTAATTGCGGTTCTTCTAGGATTGGAGGTACAATGAGTGTGAATAACATGGACACACAAATGAGCAAAGCTGGTAATACAATCTGATAAAAATTGGAAATTAAATGCATTGGTGTAAATATAAATATAAAATATTGATAAATTTCTGAAAATTCTAGATGTCATCTCACCTCACAAAGTAAAGCACGAGTGTTACGACGAGTATGATGGAATCGCTTTCTTTGTAGTGCCCAGAATTGTCGTTTTTTGAGTTCCCAGCCTTGAATCCTCCAAGTAGTTAATGGATTTTTTTCTGTGTTGTTCAAATCTTGCATTGGAATATAGCAAGCATCTCGACCAGGTATATAATCTTCTTGGCGGTCACTTCTACTTCTTGGCCTACTACTGACTGAGTTATGAGAGTTGTTAAAGCATCTCGTCGGTTGAAATAATCTTGTCAAATTATTACAAAAAAAGCTGTTTAGTCTTAATTTCGAAGGATAACGACCACCTTCTGTAAGTTTTTCCACGGCTTCTTCCAAACTTTGCGTTCTTTTTTCATCATCTTCAAGAGTACCGGTAACTCGAAGAAAGACTTCTTCTAAAGGAGTATCTGAGATTCCATAGCTTTTTACTGGTAAATCTATAAGTTTATCATCTAGTTCTTTCAATAACTTTTGTAATCTTCCCGATTCTTGAGAATTGGTTGGTAACAAATAAGTTGCTTCACTACCAACTTTTTCGATCATTTGGGCATCAGGTATGTGATTTCGAATAAATTCTGTCAGTCTTTTCATAGAATCTGAAAGATCTTGGGTTGATCCATTAATGTTTTCATTGCTACTATCTTTGGATGAATTGGGTTTACTTCTTCGAACCATAACACAATCAGTCACATCATTGCCGGAATTATTTTTCGAAACGATGGGCGTTTTTTTGAGTGAGTTATCTTTTGTGACAAAAGTAAGATAATATCCACTTCCAAATCGAGCTTTCAAAAACAAAGATGATCCAACGCACCTTAACTTTCCATTCGCAATCACAGCAATTCTGTCGCCGAGCAAATCTGCTTCATCCATATGATGAGTACTTAAAGATAAAACAATAAAATGAATAATTTAAAATAAATTGAACAAAGAGAAACTTAATTGAATAAAAAAATAAAATTAAATTCTTACGTTAATATAACAGTACGGCCAGCCTTGTATTTAATCAAAAGCTCCCAAATTGATCGTCTTGAATAAGGATCAACTCCAGCTGTTGGTTCATCAAGAATTACAGTTCTTGATCCTCCGACAAAAGCAATTGCAATTGAAAGTTTCCTTTGCATTCCACCAGATAAATTTACAGAAAACTCATCTCTTTTGTGAGATATTCCTAAATCGTTTATCAAATCATCAATTTCCTGGTTAACTTCAGCTCCTGAACCTTTTAGTGAAGCATAAAACCAAAGATGCTCAACAACTGTAAGGTGATTGAATAAAACATTATATTGCGGGCAAGTTCCTAAACTTTGTCTAACTGAGTCCATGTCAGTGGTAATATCTTGTCCATAAATATGAGCAGTACCAGAGGTTGGTGGGAAAAGACCCGTTAAAATAGATATTGTAGTTGTTTTCCCTGCTCCGTTATGACCGAGAAAACTAGTTATCTGGCCTTCGTAAAAATTTAGACTTAAATTATCAACAGCAACTTTACCCCCAGAATAAACTTTCGTTAGATTGGAAATTGATATTCCGAGTTTCAGATCTTTAGGCTCTTCTTCAATATGGGAATTTTTTTCTGGATAAAAAGAGATACAGAAAATTAAGAACAAATTCAAAATCGTATGAATTTAGAATTATCGCTTCGAGATCATCAATTCTTACCAAGCTTGTGATTAAGCAAAAGATCATCCTTTACGATTGTCTTTTGATTTTTGCACCAATAAGAAGGTAATAAGAAAAAGTAGAATGGCTTTGGAACTCCATATTGACCTAACAGAGGAAGAATAATCAATACAATGAAATTTAGAAAAAAATAAAAGATATAAAAATGGCTGAAATTTACCAGGGAAAACGGCTTCAATGTAAGCAGTGAGCAAGATATTAATAAATGAATCGAACAGCAGCATATTCAGAATATTCAACATGTTAAAACCATCATTTGGCATTGGACTACTGGCTATGTTACTCCATTGAATGCCAACACCTTCCTCTTCAAAATGTGCAAGATATTTACATCCAAATCCAAATGCTACATTCGGCAAAAGACATCCAAGAGCTTTTTCGTGAGGAAGTAATATTTCATCCCACATTACCAAAAAAGTATACGGAAGATAAGTCATGAAGAATATCATTCCACCTCCAGCAGCAGCCATATTAGCTTTACCAAAAACTGTGCTAATGGTAAAACTTGATGTAATCACAGAAATAGAATAGCAGATTAAAAAAATAAAGACGATCACTGGATCACTGTAAGTTAATACTTTTCCATAATGCAGAATCAAAACCAATAGAAAAGAGCTGGCAATAAAAAATATAAACGATTCAATGAACCAAGAGGACCACAAGACACTATTACTGAGGCCCATCACTTTCATGACTTCCTTTAAACGTCGTTCTTTTTCGTGGACGATACTTTTGATGAGCATTGATGCATTGTAAACCCAAGAGAGGACCATAAACATAGGAAATGAACGTGAAATAGCCATGATGAACCTAAAAAATGGAAAAAAGTAATTTAGAATGAAGTTTTTAATTGATATTAATACGATTAATAAAATGTGAACATACTGGTCGTAAATGTGACATGGGTAAGGAAATTGTTGCAGATAAATTCCAGTGTCAGTTGACATATTGGTGTGCTCTCGAATAATTGATTTTTCAATCAAATCTTGCAGATAAGCAAACCCAAATGTAAGATATTTGAGATCAACAACGGGACGTCGACGTGCACCAGGAGTTGGTATACGATCTTGAATCTTTTTTGTACTATCGATTTTGCTAGCATCCATACGAATCTTGTACCTCACATATGGTGGTAACACATCTTCATCATCAGTAACATTTGATGCAGATGAATTTGAACTTGTATTTTCAAAAACTAATCCTGCCCATAATTTGTTTTCAGCAATCAATTCCAATCCTCGACGGACAATTTCATCTTCAGTATTGTAACTTTCTAATTTGTTTAACTCGACACAATCAAGATAAGTGCTGAGCTTAGTTAAAAAAGCATCCGTAGTTTCCAACATAGAAGGACCATTCGTTGATAAAAAGGTTGAAATGTTTTTTAGTTGATCCAGAATAGAGACAACATTATTTTGTTGTTCATTTGATTTTATGTTGAACTCACGAGAAATCCAATCAGTTAGAAAGGGAATGTTATTGGAAAGGATTAATTTCTGAAAGTCAATTAGATAAAAGTAGATTTAGAGTTATTAAGAGATCAATTGAAATAATAAAAGATTTAATAATTGTTTCAATATGATAAAAAGTCTTACAGTTATGTTGTTTATTATGGAAGATTGGTCTTTGAGACTTGAATTAAGTCGTGGACTGAGATCGCTAAGCCAAACTTTGGTGAAATTGTGAAATAATTTAATTGGCTCAAAGTAATTTATTACTCTGTTCAAAACTCTTTCGATTGAGGCACGTTTAGGAGCGTAGATAATTTTTCCTCGGATAAAAGGTTTCAATTGTTTCCATAAAACTTTAGTGATGCTTCCACCTTCTAATGAGTGAAATAGTTCGTTACACGCAGGAGCTGAATGAAAAAAATTAAAGTTAATAATTTGAATTATTATGGACTAAAAAGCGCAAAAATAACAAAAGCATATTTTCAGAAGCAGAAATATATCTTACTGGTTGAATTATCATAAACGTAATCTGTTGTATTAGATTGCCGGTTGTGAATTAAATGTTCCTTCATCTCATCACCAAGTTCCTCTAGTCTCGTTCCAGGTTCGCCCGAGAATCTTTCATACAGTACGGAGCTATTGCGGCCACAAATCCATAATTGCACAAGTCGAATGGTATTGTTTCCTGGACTATCGACGGCATCTTTAAGAGCATTCCAGTAATATGAAAAATCCGTCGAAAAATTGCTGAATTGATTCATCCTGGCCATATCTGATACAATGTTACCAAACGTTTGACTAATTCCATTTAGCTCCTTTATATGTAAATTGCGATCAACAGCTACTTTAGCAACCGAAGACATCTTATCGAAAAAGAAATGAATTCAAAATAAATATTTTGTAACAAAAAATTGAGAAAAATAAAGTATAATGCAATAATTACCTCATTAAGAAGGACTTGTCTATCAAATATCTGTAAAGCTTCAAATGACTTAGAAATAGTGCTTCTAGAATTAGTATTATCACAGAATTTTTCTTTCAACTGTTCAACCATTTGTTCATGATCTAAATTATTTGATATAAATATATCTGCAGAAACAGTTTCTTCACTACAAAAAAGGTTTAAAATATTAAATTTTTGGTATTTAAACATTAGCGGAATAAGAGTCCAATTGATTTGTGTTGAGTCTAGAAAATCAACTTCCTCGCTGGTTAAATTATACATTGAAAAGGTTGAATTTATATCACTTTTCAAAAGATCTTTCAATCTGACCGAGCCTGTAAATAAAAATGAAAATTAAATCAATAAAAATATACAGAATATGTAGAAGATGTGATAACTTACGGTTAATCTTTGCATAAGGATTTGTGAGAACTTTGGTTAGTTGGCTAATTGTCTGTAAATCTTTGTCTACAACTTCAAAATTTTTCAGATTCTCAGGCGTCAGATGCGTCCTGAGGATGCTTTCAACTTGTTCATAAGAACTAGGTGACCTGGGCAAAGAGAGGAAAAGATCCAATTATAAACTGTTCAATAACTATAAAAATCGATTGGAGCAAAACTGTAAAACATATATAAATATATATAAAGATTAATGTCAAATGAGTTCTCATTGATTTCCCAGAATGTTCATTTTCTGTGAGTCATTTAGAACGATAACCTTTCATTATAAATGATTATTTAAATTGATGTTGCTTTTTCTCGATTTTATCTATTTTTTGAAGAAGTACCTTTCATCGAGAGGTATTGCTGACTTTCCATCCGTTATTTGTGGATTGCAAGTATTGTTGAATGAACAAACTGTGCTCTTTATAAACTCCGCAAGTCCAGCTGATGGCAATGCTTTTTGGTCAAAATGACATTCATGGACAAATGTACGAAGACCTCGAGTTCGAACCCACATGAGAATACCCATCAACAGAAGAGGCCAAAATATCTCCACAATGACTCGGAGCTAGAAAAAGAGCGAGGAAAATAATAAGCGGAGTCAATAAATTGATGGCAAATTATGGAAAATTTTGACAAAAAAATCAGCGCCATTCAACGAGTTTCATGGGGAAATTTCCACCCATAAAGTAATCAAAGATTAATTTATTTTTGAATAATGGGAATCGTCCAGATAATCAACAGTAAAATGCGGGATAGTAATGAACATTCTTCAAATAGCGCTGTTTTTTTGTTCTAAATGTGATCTTTAGTACATAATTACCTTTTGCCTGCGATGTGACACATAGTTTTTCCATAACAGCAGTCGTAGCTGTCTCCACCAACTCATTCTTGAATCAATGCGATGAAATGATTAGATTCTGAATGAAAATGAGAAAGAATTTATCATCCATTAGCAAGATAAACAAACAAGATTATTCCTTAATAAAAGTCTATTGTTGTTAACAAATTGTTTTAATTAAACGGTGAGGACCTACAAGAGCTAATCAAAGTTGATCAAAGGTGAGAAATTTATCCGTCATTTTTTATCGTAGACAACATCTGGTTTCAACATTTTTAGATTATATAAAAGTTCTCCCATGTTTTCCTGTTTTAACAATCATTTTTTCATTACGATATGATTTTTCTCGACTTGAAATGACTTTAAATAAATTAAATTGATTCGAGAATGAAACATTAGCGTTCACTGAATAGCTCAAATGATTTTCTTCGATCTGAACAAAATTTGCTCAATGTATCATTTGAGTTAACCCTTAGGGCTTTAGTCATAATGAAGTTTAGCTATTTCGGTGCTCAAACCCATTAAATAATTATGTTTTACGAATTACAAACCTTGTAGGAAAGGATGAAATTCAATCAAAATTAAACCTTCGGTTCATCAAGATAAATGTCGATATTTATTACAGCTTGGATTGCAACTCTTTGACTACCTATGATGTTTAATGTCAAAGAATACACCTTCGGAACCGAGGTAAATAGACGATCTTAAAGTTGACAGGTTTTGGTTGAAAACGACAAGTTCAAAGCGAAAGGAAATTTAAATCGATGACCAGAGAACACACAAATGAAAAGAACTCGAAAAGCTTGAGAAGTCAATGATTTTCAAGAGTAAGAAAGTATGATGAAATGGAAGAAGTGTCACTCAAGGGCTGACTTAATTAATATGGCAATACTGTCACTTATTAATCCTCATCTTGGTTGATGTAAATATTCAATAAGAACAAAATAAAGCTGGTGTAACTAGAAGGTTGCACTGAACACAAGATAATGATGTACCAATGATACTTTAATATTGCAGTATTATTTTTATACAATTTTACACGATAGAGGTGCAAATATCAGATAGATATAAACAAAACAACAAATGAATACATTTGAGACAGAGAGAATAGAAAGACACGAGAAAGTCGGTTCATTAAAAACGAAGGAGCCTGAGATAGACCATAAAACCGGTTACCTCATTGATTTAATTGAATAACATTCAGATTTAAAACGACAGGGAAAATTTGAGAAGTTAAGGTGAACAAGAAAATGTGTAACTTAAGTAAAGGGTAAAAGAAGAAACAATTTACCTATTTCTTTCAGTTCCTTGAATGGTTACTCGCAAGTTAATGATGTGAAGAGAAATCATGGTTGAAAATTGTTGAGTAAGAACAATAATGATAAATAAAGAAGACTCTGGAAGATAATCGATCCTATGAATGGCAAAAACTAATTAAAAGATTGCTGTTAAAGATTCGGAATAGGATTAATTAATTAAAATATGATAATGTTGAGTTTACTGTCCCTTTTATTGTCATCCTCGATGTCTATTATCATATTTGGTTTATTATTTGTTTGTCTATCTAAAAATTATGTTTGTAGGGACGAGTCAATGGAACAGCTGTTTACTCTCCTTTTCAAATCATGTCTCGCCATTACAAAGAGTCGGACTCTTGAATTAAATCTTTTTCTTTACTTTCCTGTGATTCTAATTAATTCACTTTCAACAATTCTAAACTTAATCTGATGATTTATAATCACTTTAATGCAAGAGTTTAGTTAAAAATCAATGTATCGATATACAATTTATTAAACAGCAGAAGACAGAGCCATCTAGTACAAGAGTGAATAAACTGTAACTCGGAAAATGATGTAAATAATTCAAAGAAACTCTGAAACTAACTTCTTTTTGGGCGATGATGGATTCTAACCTGAGCTTGAGTTAAATGCTAAATAAACACCTTTTTACAGGATGATTTTTTTGGCAATTCTAATCGGAATCTATTCGAAATTTGAATGATAAAAGATATGAGCAAAGACACAGCATCTTACAAGGAGAGGTAACTAACAAAAGTACTAACTTGTAAGCTTGTCTAACAAAGTAAGTGCTACAATTTGATTTCTCTGATAAATTGATAGAAGTTACCTTCCCTTGTTGGGCACTCAACGAATTTGAAGCATTTAATGTTGAATTCACGTCTTAATGAGGAAAATTTAGTGAAGATTAGCGTATATTCTGATACATTATTTCTATTAATGGGATTTCTGTGATTGATCAAAATTGTAAAATGAAACCAACTGGTTTTAAAGCAGAGCTCATTCACAGAAACAGATGAATCAAATTGATTGCGACGGGTAATTCATTTTAATTTCTCCTGGTCTATTAATCCTTTTTTCCTTGATCTCACTTAATTTATCGACAAAGTTAACCTCAGTTTTAACAATAATCAAATTAGCAGCAAAATTATTCGTACAGATTGCAGGCTTCAGTAAAGTGATTAAGTGCCACTAAAGTTAAAATCTAAATCACCAGTTATGAGTCCAACAGAGAAACCAGTATTTATCCAGGTAGAAAGTGATTTACTCGATTCTCAAGGAAAGTTGATTAATCCATTGGAAATTGGTAACTGTTTAAGTGAATTGTCCTTCATCGAAGCAACTGCGATTCAATTGTTATCCAAAAACCCAAATCATTTGAAAATATACGTCGCCATCAAAGAGTCAAATCAAGGAGGTAAGCGGTTTGTGGGAAGGTCAATCCACAAAAGGATTGAACGATTCAATTACAATGGATTCATCGAAATTTTGGGATTACCGATGTTCCCATCAACCGTTGATTCATCAATTGATTGGTCATCATTAAGTGAACTACAATCATATCGATTGTCCAATGAACCAATTTGCCAAGGATCAAATGAAACACAAAATGCCATTTTAAAATGTTGGTCTAAATATCTAAACATCCCAATTGATTGCATAGATTTAGATGATAATCTGTTTACTCTTGGAGGTAATTTATTTCTGATTGGACGAATTGCCCACCAATTATACCAACTAAGTTATCCAGTAACAATTGAAACCATCATTGATAACCCAACAGTCCGCAGTTTAGCCTCTAAGATTGATTCGCTCAACAAAGCTGGTGTTGACGATGAATTACTTGAACCAATTCCAAAATCAACTAGTAGTAATGACGAACGTAAATCACTTTTATCATGGACTCAGCGATGGGTTTTTATCCATGAACAGTTTTTAGGAAAAGGCAATTTCTACTATTTAGATGTTAGTTATAAAATTAACCAGGGATTAACCTATCAACTCATTGAATCAGCTCTCAACCAGTTGGTTTCATTGATTTCATTGTTGCGCTCATTTGTCCGCGTTCGTGGATCCAGCTATTACTTGAACATTGCACCGACTAGAAAGTTATCCATTCCAATAATAAAAGTATCAAACGATGAAGAGGCCAGAATGAAAATAGATGAAAGGAAAAACAATTTTAATGTAGTTGTCAGCGACGATTCATTTCTGTTTGATGTGGTTTTCATTGAGACACCAGAGGTTAGCTGTTACACTTTGTTCATTCATCATTTGATTGTAGATGATTTGTCTTACCTTTTACTGGAAGAGCATCTATTACATCTTTTGCAATCACAAGTTCAGTCAGAATTGGCGAAGTCCAGTTCTCATCAGATGGAGAACATCGATTATATTGATTACTCAGTCTGGGTAACTCAGTTTTTCCAGCGCAAATTAGAAATAATTGATCCATTGGAAAACTATTGGCTCGATCGGATGAAAGATCTGCCCAACTGTTTAATTCCAGTAAATTACGATGAAAACAATCCGCCAAAAGAACCGAAAGTATCGGGCAAACATGCACTTATTAGTTTAACTGTTGAAGAGACGAATGGCGCTCGATCACTTGTTCGATCAGTTGGTACCACTTTCGAAATCTTGGCCGAAGCCTTGATTAAAGTTGTTCTTTATAAGCTAACCGGTGTTGGTGATACAATAATTAAACGAATGATAAGTGCTCGCTTACACCCGATGGCTTATCAAATGATTGGACATTTCAACAACATGATTTATTCCCGAACAGCAATCAATGGCAATTCGACATTTACTTCTGTTTTGAAAGATTTTCATTCCTCATGGCAAGCTGACTTCAAGTGTCGTGGTTATCCATGGATCAACTTGATTGCTCAAACGAATGTTGAACATGTTTGTCCAGCTGGAATTTCAATTATTGGTTTACCTGAAGAGAGATTCGTAGATGATGACCAGCTTTCTGTTAAGACATTCAATGTTGACCAATTCACACAAGTTTCGTTTGAACTGATTACTTGCATTTATGGTTTTCATGAAGGTAAACTTCATTATTGTCTCAATTACAACGAAGATTTACTGCCACCTGAGGTTATTCAAGTATTGATAAATGCATTTGAAGTTTTGGTCAAAAGAGTTGTCACCTATTCTGATCGACCAATTTGGGATTATTTTAAAATTGAACCAGCAGTTCAATTTGATCAATGGCCTCAACAGGTTAATCAATCCGAATAACAGAAATATTAAATTGTCAAGTTGCTAGCATGGAAATCTTAAATTTCACAGTTTCAGATGTGAATAAATTGCTGTACCGTTTAATCAAGTTATTTAATTTGCAAATCTTGGTAAATCTAGAAGTGCATGGTTAATTAACCTAAATTGTTTATTGAAAAATAAATCAAACTTTAAATTGTCAACAGTTTTAGTGTTTTTCCTCTATTTCCGATTTGTTCTGTTCTTGTTTTCGTTCTCGATTTCAAGAGCTAGGAACAATTTTACGTTATTGGTCCATGGAAGTATCATGCTCATTTGTTTATTGAAACAATACATCACTAGCTCATGAAGATAACAACCAGCAATCAATGAATTCAGCAATAAGCCAGACTAGGTTTTTAAAACAAGAAGCCTGGCAAAGAGACAAAAAATCAAAATTAATTTCAACCAGACAGTCGATGTTGTTAGTCAGTCAGTCGATATGTTTATGACTTTGAAAGCCAATTTTTTCATTTTGTAATCGATAGACTTTGAATTGGGAGGGAAATAACCACGATTGCTGGTTAAATGAACATTTTCGGGTTAACACTCAACCACCTAACCCAGTAGCTTGAACCCACCTGAAAACTCATGTTAGTATATCGATACCTCACTTCAATGGCGTTTTATAAAATTCAAGGAGCTTTAATATGAAAAAACCTTAAATATTGTATGAAAAACTAAAATTGCGATTGTTTTCACTACAAACAAACTAATGAATTTTAAAATGAATCTCAGCCAATTCAATTATGAGTAGAGTAATAGTAAGTCGACTCAGTGAGTCAGTTGTTCAATCTACTACGATATCTAATTATAACTCACCCTAATTGGGTGAATATAATTTAGCAACAAGGATAGATGGAAGAAAATGTCTTCAATGTTAAAATAAAGGTTTGATTTTAAACAAATGAAAGAGACGTAAAGGGAAATAAAATGATTCGTAATCAAGCGTCAATTTAATCCAGTGTTGATTTATAACCATCATGTTAATCATAAACAAAAGGAAATACTCATGAATTAGAGAGATAAACTGTAGAAGATCAATTTACTCATAAACCATTGTAACCATAACTATCATCTTGAAAAGGATTTTGTATAAATAGCTCTAACCCAAGTTGGGTTACCCAACCGTCTTTGGATTCCTATGGCTATTGTAATCCCCCTTTTGTTTCTCCCTCTCTCTCCCTATTTTTCCTATCCTTTACTATTTCCCTCCTTACAATAATGGCTAACATTGTTGATAATATTAAAACTAATCAATCTGATTTTGTTTATTTGTCTACATTGTTTGTTCATTTGTTTTCAGGTCAATCGACAATGGAACTTTCTAAGATTGTATAATTGGTATTCATTAAGGTGTTTTTAATTGATTATTGTGATTATGTTCAGTAATTGTTACAGTAAATTCAGATAATACAAGATTTCTCTCGTTTACATCTTTACCTTTCCTTTCAACTGTGGTTATTGTTTACTCTAACATTGTAGTATCTTTAAATTAGTTGTTGTGTTATCCCTGATTGTTTTTTATTTTGTATTTTCAACTGTGAAAGTGGTGATAAAAATATGCTTAAAGGATGATTAATTTGCCGACTTGATGACCACTGGTAGGATTATTTCAAATTTACCACTGTCTTACCGGAGAGATGCTACTCCATACTGTTATCCCAATTTTGATTGGAAAGTGATTGACTTCTGTGAACAACAAAGGTTAATTACCGATGATTATCCGAGGACGGTTAAATGTATTGTTGTTGGTGATGCTGGGGTTGGTAAAACTTCTTTAATCCAACGTTACAGAACCAATGAGTTTTCATTTGACCATAAAGAGACCATTGGAGTGGACTTTGATATACAATCATTCTCAATATTAGGTCTACCATTCAATGTACAAGTAAGTCCAATGAAAACTCTTTGTAATTAGCTTTTGCTGAAAATATGAGAAGTAATCTATCCTTGAGTTTCATTCATCAAGATTACTTCAATTTTCAATACATCACGTTACTGTCCTAATTATCAATGAAAACTTCGAATTCTTAATATTGGTTTGAGTTTAATTCGCTTTCTTTTGAATATTATTTTTACAGATATGGGACACAGCTGGACAAGAGAGATTTCGTTGCCTTACAAGTTCTTATTACAGAGCAGCTAATGTGGCTTTAATAGTATTTGACCTTTCTAATATTAAATCACTTGCTAATACTTTGAGATGGCATGCAGACATTTTGCGAATTACGGATGATATTATTTTATTTCTTGTTGGTTCAAAACGAGATTGTGTGTCTCCAGCTGCTTTGGAGTTCATAGAGACGGAGGCTGTTCGTTTAAGCAGTCAAATGAGAGCTGAATATTGGAGTGTTTCCGCACAAAATGGTGACAATGTGATTAGACTGTTTGACCGAATAGCTGGACTAACCTTTCAAGACACTATACTAACCCGAATACACGAGATCGAGGAAGAAAGAGTTTCCGGAGATCTTAATCAGACTTCATTATATAGTGAAGGAATTATAGCTCTTAACCAAAAATCTAAAGGAAGTCACCTCACTAAAAATTGTTGTTTTAAACACCATTGAAATTTTTAAAGCATGTGGAACTCAATGTGACTGATTCCCATATAAAACTGTCCAAATTATCAGCTACGATTGTTAACGAAATTAAATGCACAATAGTGATCCTAATGCCATCTATTGATGAGATTTAGCATATGTAAACAAAATAATTTTTGTGAAATAAACTTCATTGGAAAATCCAATTGTAACATGATCATATGTAGATTTACAGAAATCTAATCAATTATGAAAGTTGATAAACATTTCATAATAATTAAGAAAATTATTCCAATCTAGATCGTTGATTAAACTCGTGGTTCATTGAATTCGTGCGATCAAATGTATCAGCTTTAATCGGAAGTAATCAAATAATCCTAATATTGATAAATAATTGTCATACATTTTAAATATACTTTTACTTGGTTAACAATTGAACCAAATCATGTCATCGGCGTGAATCAATTTAAGGCACCAAATTTGATATACTTTTATATTAAATAATTATTCTTGTTTTGTTTCTTGTAATTAATAAGTTGAAAAGGAAGACTCACTTTTCATTAATAAAATGGTTGGTCAACCATGAATATTAAAAGTAAAGTATATAAAGAGATTGATTTACCAGATTTTATATCACATTCAAACCAACAACAGTTGAAACAACAACAACTAACATTTTTAATCAAGTTAAATCCAAACAACCAAACCAAACCAATCGAAATGAATTCCCAAACTTTCAACGTTATCTTTGCCTGTGCTTTACTCGTTGTCTTAGCTTTTGCTGGTAAGTAATGAGCCTAAAATGCTTTCTCAATATCAATAATCATTTGATAAATTTATTCAATGATCACTTGAATTGGAAATTAAGACTTGATATTAATCTTTTGTTTTTCATTTTACAGCCAACGTTGATGCCAGAGGAGGAGGAGGTGGATCAATCATCATCATGGGAGGACAAAACCATGGTCATGGTCATCATAACTACATCCCTTACCCCGTAATGATGGGAGGCTGGGGCTGTGGACATGGACACAGCGGCTGGGGCTGGGGTCAATAATAGACTATCAATATCATCTTTCATCAATTCAATCAGCCATCCAATTGAAAAATTGATTCCAATCATTTCATCATCTACATCATCAGCTTCAAGCTTAAAATTCTCAAAATAAACTGGTAAATAGGAAAATAGTATTTGAAAATCTTATAATTTGTTAATTTTATAAATATATTATCTAAATGAATAAAGCTATATCTAATTAATTTACAATTAAAATCTCTTTCAATCATTTAAATCAAAACTATCGGGTAAACAGAATAAATTACTCACCTTGATGTTCATAGATGGCAGTACTTGGTATAATTGCGATACAATAAAAAATAATTCAGTCACAAGAGTCATTTCAATGCAATTATCGTACTGCACAATGAAACTTGAAGTTATCGACTAACTATCCTGAAAAACTTTTTTAAAATTCTTCCAAAATTGAATAAAGAGAAACCTAAAATAAAACGAAGCAAAAGAAATTAGAGAAAATTAAAGAATAATTTCACTCCAAGCCAAAGAAAAGTAGCCTTTTAGGTTCATCGAACCATTCAATAATCTAGAATCCAATTCAATTTATGAATTAAATAATTGTTTCCGTTATTTATTCTTGTCACTCTATTTAAATTTCTTGCTTCTCCCTTTTTCAATATCCATTTCAATGTCCCAACCACTTGAATCCCTAGCTCGAGTGTATTTAGTCGGGTTTAGGTCCATCATTTATTTTCCGTTGATGTACCGATACTCTTATTTTATCAATAAGACGAAAGAAATAAATTGAAGTTAAATTGAATAAAGGTTGATTGAAAAATTGAAAAAACTTGATTTCAGCTCTAGATAATTTAGATTTAAGATTGACTTGTAAACAATGAAACGAGAATATTCAATGAATTAGTATATTATATAAAGAAGACAGAGAAGAGAGACTTTGATGAGAACTTACCTTACAAAATGTAGTGTAAAGGCAATCAATCAAGTACATTTCAAATGATATTTCTTGATTATCTCTGTTGTTGATTTGTTAGATGTCAGTCAAAAAGAAAAGAAGATTGAGGCTAAGAGAAGAAATAGAAAGAAGGAGAGAGAAGATGAAATGAAAAAGAGAAGTAAAAAGACATAAAAGATGAAGAGAATGCGAATTAAAACTGGTACGAAATAAATGAGATAACATTCAATCAATGAAACTTGTATGAAAAAAGACCAAGTGATATTAATTAACAATAGCCTTTTGCATGGTTAGCCTCTTCTTAATTCCCTCATTGTGATCTTGATATTATTATTAGTTGAGCCTTTTCGCTTTGAGTTAATTCAACAAACTTCATCCAAGCAGATCTGCTTAGCACAAATCAAGATTAAGCAGTTATGTTATACATTTTAATGCCTCTTAATCCGTAAACTATGATTTTCCCTAAATTTTTTCATTTTTTCAACTCGTTTTATAATAATAAATCAACTTAAAGAAACAAATCTTGACTTTTTCATTCTATCTTCACGCAAACATTTATCCATAGTTGGTCAACATGAGCATATGATATCAACTACAAGACTCATGTGGCTGATACAAATTATAAATATGTACATTGAAGAGTTTCCAGGACGTTTAGTTTTACTGAATTATCCAGCTTTACCTTTGGACAGAAATCGTTCGAGTTTTCAGCTGTTCAATTCTGTAGGTTTCCGTGAGTCGTTTGCTGAATTTAACCTTCGCCCATCTTTTCTGCTCTTGAACTTGACCAATCAGAACTGGATGTTTTGATTACCAAATGACCTGAAGGAAGAGGTAATAGCAATAAAAAATAAAGAAAAGGAAATAAAAGCAAGAAAGTAAATTTTAAATTTGATTTGATTCGATAAAATGATATTTTCGCATCTTTTGCTATGAAATTTCAAGTTAATTCAATTGATTATATTAATTTTGAAAAGATCAGATACTTTGAATAGAAATGATTAGAAGAGGAAAATATTAAAATGAAAGGGCAAAAGAAATTAAAATTATCGATTGCATGCTAGTTAACTGGGTAATCTTAATCACTGTGAAATGAAATTGTAATATTTACCTTTCAGTTGGATCTTTTTACCTTTTTTTACCATGAGATTTGTTGAAAAGATAAGCAGGTAAGAAACTGTCAAATGTTACCTTGTCAATCTCAGCTCGGGTGTGTCTTGATATTCAATTGATTCCAAAAATTTGGGAAAAGTTAATTGATATCTTTTGAGGATGATTTAATTTTTTCTGTAAAAACAGGAATCTTTGCTTTTCTTGCTAACAAATTACCATGAAAGTCAACAAGATGATCCAGAAACGGGTTTAGATCAACTCATCCATCAAAATATATCCCTGGTGGTGGCAGACGGTCAATCTATCTGGACAGATAAAAATACCTGTCTAATCATAATTATCAGCATCTTCATCAATACTTTTCATCTTCATGGAGAGTGAGAGAGTGTTTGTATCTTATTTAATCTGGAGTCCGATTTGTTGAAACAGCTTTTTTGGCTCTTAATCATTTTACAAATTAATGATGAAGACGATACATTCTTGATTGATGCATTTCTCTTTCTCTGAAATTCACATTAATCTCATCTCAATCATTTCATAAATCTGTCTCCATTCAATTTCAACATCAACAATCTAATTGAAATCTGATAACTGTAAATACGACCAGAAATTAAATCACATCAGCTGTCAATCTTTGATAACTTTGAAGCTTAGCAAAATGAAGTCTCATCAAAATATGTAAAAAACAAAAAGAGGATAATTAATAGTCTGATATGAATATGCAGCAAATCTTCAAATATAACATAAAGTGTGACTCGAGTAGCATTTCCAGACAACAAATTGCCTGACAATGGTGAGTTTTACAATGGATCTGAATACAACAACTTTTATAACATTGATGAGAAAAGCTCATTTTCCCTGTTCGATAGCTAGAAACGAAGATGAATAGTTTGTTAAATCATAAATAAAGTGAAGTAGAAAGAGAGAGAAAGATGATGAAAGAAAATGCAAGTGCAGATGAGGACATCAAATGATAAAAAGGTTGAAGATGAATGCAATCTAAATCACTAATTAATTAAGTATGTATTTATCAAGTCAAAGTAAAGTGACAACAAGAGCAAAATAAATGACTCTCAATCTTTTTAGCAAAGGGTAACAGAGGCAGAGAAGAGCTAAAAATGACTAGAGATGTGACTCCAATTAAGTCAAGGTAAAAGTCAAACAAACTGTCAGAAAAAGGTATAAAAATCTCTTAAATTCATTTTAAGAGGCCAAGTTAGCTTTTTTACAACATCTTTTTCTCATCTTGTTGTCCTTCCAAGTCATTCTCGCTTCCCTCAAATTCAAGCATAAATGTATACATACACACTTATAATATATGATAATATAAATAAATTCAAATGTACACATTTATGCTTATGTAATATGACATTCCGATAGGAAATAGGGAAGAAGCTTGTTGTCTACCAAGAAGTAGCAGAAGGTTTTCCCATAATTTGGTAAAAAAGGCTAACCAGAGCCACTTGGAAGCGTCAATCAAAGGGACATGTAATCAAATTAACTGGTTCAAAAAGATTGCAAAAAAGGAGAGGTTGAGAAAGGAAAAGTCTCTCGTAACTGAAGATGAGTCCATCGTTACAATGCCTTTGGGGCCAACAAACAACAGCAAACAGACAGCAGAAATGCAGTTTCTCCTTGTCTACATATTCCTCGATATACACAGGTTGCACTTGTGTTTATATCATTTTGTTGGTTAAATCTTCTTTCCTGTATCAATAATTACTTTACGGGTTTGTTGTTGGTGATGATCTTCTTGTTTATCAAATCCATCATTCAGATTAAATGGGCTGAAAAGAGAAAAGATAGAAATTTTAACTGAGATTGATTCAATCAGTTGGAGTAGATATACTGTCCAATTGTATCACCATCACCATCGTCATCATTTTCAAAAAATAATCTTTTTGCTTGCCTTGTGATTCTTTTTTGATTCTTTAATTGTTTTGCCTTCAGGCTTGACGTAATTCGTAAAAAAACACCTAAAACTGTTCAATTTTTCTTTCTTCTTGTGACCAAGAATCCTTTTTTCACCATCGTTTGAGAGTTTCACTGCAAGTTAATGGTAAATTGAATTATAAAAAAAAGAATTGGCTCAGAATTCAAGGTATAGTTGATATGAAGTTACCCTGAAGGGTTAAGAAAAGATGAGGATGAGGAAAAGGCAAAGAGAGAAAAGGTAAAAGCAAACATTAAATGTACGAAGTTGAAATTAAGACAGGCAAATAACCAGGTAAATAAAGAAATCTAAAAGTATATACAAAACTGAACCATTTTGATAGTGGACAATAACCGGAGCAAAAAAAAAAAATAAAGTTAACAGAAGCCTTAGGGTTGATTTGATTGAAGAAAAGTAAACGGCGTTTGAAACTTCTTGATTCCAATTCATTACCAAAATCTCCAGAGAAATCAGCTGAAGATCCAGTGAAACTTGTTTAACATCGTTTGATTTTCACAGAAAATAAATACACAAAAAAAGAGGTAAAATTGTAAGTTTTCACAGAGGAGAAGAGAATTAACTGTAGAAGAAGAAGAAGCAGGACCGGAGATAAGTGAAGGAATCGATTATACAATAGCAATTTTTTCCTGCGAATTTCAGTTAATTAATGAAACAAAAAATACCGAATAATAGAGAAGCCAATCGTAAACAAAATTAGTGATTTATTAGGTTGTCCGCTAACCGACGACCCATTTTTGAATCAAACTCTAGAGTGAACAAATGGCCCTGTATATGTGGTTTTGGTATTATTTGGTAGGTGAAAGTCAGACACAAAATTCGAAAAAAAATTATGAGCAAAAATCAGTGATTTTGTTTATTAAATTTAAACTAATAGCAAAAATGAAAAATTTGATTTCGCTAAAAAATGAAGGAGAGACAAAAAATCCCATGTATTTTATGACTTTTTTTGACTTTCACAGAAATTGTGAAAATTTGTCATGCAAATTAATTTAACGTTAATCACTGATTTTTTCAAAATTTTTTTGTCAGAATTATAGTTTAACTTTTCAATTATTGAATAATACCAATAACTTACAAAAAAAGCAATCCGTTCACCCTAGAGGTCAATGCAAAAATGGGTCGTCGGTTGCCGGACAACCTAATATACAGGATTAACAGGTCTCATTCACATGTGCTTAAGAGACGCTTAGTCACCAAGGTGATGGGTCGTCTCTAATTTACAAACTGTAACTACAGTATTTTTCAATAATCACTAATTCTGTGAAGATTTCTGATTTACATTGATAATTGGATTTATCGTAACCCAAATTAATCTTAGATGAACAATGACTACCTAACCAGCCAATATTGATCAACAATTTTAGCATTTTCAGCCTGGGAAATGCAACTGTTCATTAATATGCTTTAATCTTAAATCTATATCAATGTGCAGCTAGCGACAACCACATTTTTGGATTGAAGATGGGTTAGTGTTATAACAACTGTTCAACTGATTTCCTCAACAATTGGTAAGTATTGAAAAATTAGATATTCAATTGTGCTTTACATTTTTACAGTGGACATCAGAAAAGGTAACATATAAAAATATAAAATGTATTTCCTTTGCTATGACAACTTAATCCAATTTGATGTAATGTTTACAAAACTCGTATTATTCATTTACAGATCTCAAAATTAATCAAATGTTTGTCAATGGAAAAGGAAGCAAAATTGTGATGAATGACACCTGAACATGGCAAAGGAACTGGAGTTTGGATTGACAAAGAAAAATCAAATCAAGAAATGATAAACTGTTTATTAGATCCAATAATTGTGTTTGCTAATAAAGCCAACTTGACGAGGTGTTAATGAAGATGACAATGGACAGCAAAAAAGATTCATCATTCCAGAGAGTTGACTGTTTTCTCTATTCTCTGATAAATGAACAATTTTACAATTATATTTGAAATTATGGGAATCATAATATTGTAGTGATTAATGTGTATTAATAGGCTAAGCAGATTAACTTGGTTTGGATCACAATTTGAACCTCTTATCAACACTAATTCATACTGACAACAGGCAAAATAACAACAAGCATTCTGGTGAAATTTGATTGCAAAGCAATTTGAATCAACTTGATTCCTGTGAATATTAACACCATTTATTGTGTCTATTATTTGCTTGCAATGACTATAGCTAATACAGAAATGGTTACAATAAAGTAACAGCAATCTCAGTGATTCCGAATGAATGTGAATCTTTATTCTTGAACATTTTCATTACAAGTCACACAAAGATTTTACCAAGCAAATTATATTTAATAATAGCAATAACTAACATTTTCATTAGAGACTCGACTGATTTAATTGATTTTGTTCACTCTTCTCAATTGACTACTTGAGTTTGCTTTTCACTTTGCCTCGTTTCATTTAATTTGTGCTTGTCAATTAAGGAAAATGATATTACTAACTGTTGTGTCAAGCATACCAAATTGAAAGTAATCAACAAAGGTAAAGTCAACTCATTGATTGTGTTAATTTGGGTCAAAATGTTTTCAGTCATCATCAAGGATTTACTTTGAAAGTTTCACCAAATTAAGTTATAATACAAGAAGTTGCTTGAATTAACAAGTAAAAACAAAATTCAATTGAACCGAGCAAAAGCAGAGACTCAAATTTAGATATTGTTGTTTCCATGAACATTAATATAAATTGTCTTTAACTCATTAAACCTTTAATAACATGGATTGAATTAAAAGGTTCATTTGTTGATTGAGATCACAATAAGGTTGATGAACACAGAAAAGAGGCAAAAAAAGTTGAAAAGATTTCAAGTGATTCAAGATTATACCAAAAAAAGCAAAGCATTGTATAAATTATATTGTCAGGTAAATGCTTTATCAAAGTAAATGGTTATTCACCAGTTTTATGATGTGCAGGATAACAGCGATTCAACTGATCTACTCTGATTAAAATTAGACAAAATGGTGAAAACGGAATGAAATCTCTGGAGAGATTTGTTGTAACTTGAATAATGTTCCCAAATTATCAAGATATTCAGGTTTTTTGGGTGAAAATTGAAATAAAATATAATTAAAGCTCTTTAAAGAGCTTCATCAAAGTAACAAGTACAATAAAAGTGAACATGATTTAAAAAAACGTAAAATAATCACCATTTTTTGATTTCAACTCTGCAAATGTTCACCAACATTTGGCTGAATTTAAATTAGCAAATCATTCCTTTCTCTTTTCAGCAATCAGTTAACAGGTCATTTTCAAAATGCCATGAAATTCAGCATAAAAAATTTCACCCTAATTACTATCTTATTTAAATTAGATCTTAATTAACGTAAAGGGTAAATTCAATGTTGCTGCTTGAAAATGGTTTCAATACATTTTACAGGTTATTTGGTCTTCACTTTCAAAAGTCAAATATTCAATTTAGCCTTTCATACTTCAAATTGTGGATCATCTTTAATTATTAATCAAATAAATAATCAATTGATTAATTCAAAGGTTATATTGAAGTTGACTTTAACGGCCATATTAGATAAATGACTGAAACATAGATCATAATTTACATTGACTGTGTTTACATCTTGTTTCTCATTTCTTCCCATCAACCTGAGTAGCAACATTTTTATCCCAGAGATTGTCACTTTTCAGACATTAAATTAATTATAAATGAACGATTAATTATAAACACAAAACTAGTTTCAACTGACGATCATTAGAGATTTATGAGTTAACCGTAAATATCACACAAATCATGAAGGGATCGCAATATTGGAGTTGAATTGAATGGAGAAATAAAATTTGTTTCATTATTCGGATAATTTTGCCTCAAAGTGAGGTGAATTTGTTGATTTAATTGGCTTTCCAACATGATAAACAAGCTGAAATGTTATTAAGATTGTTGCTGATTGAAAATGCCTATTTTCCCATTGAATTCATTGTCTCAATCAAATTAACAATTATCATACTTTAACCCAACCGTTTGAACAAAACTACAAAAATGGTTACAAATTGAAGTAAATGATTAAACAAGGTTGTAACTCATTGTTTGACAATTTGATTATTCCTCAAATAGTTTACACTCAATGCCTAAGGTATTGAATAATTTTATGCATTCACATAAAATGATTAGCAATCTTTTTGGCTGTTTCAACAATTGTTAAATTGAATTCATTTTCAATCAATACAATTGGGTTAAAACCATAATAAGTCGGGCTCCAATTGTTTCAAATCTTGAAGCAGAGACAGTTGTTAGCAATGGTGATAATGATTCCTTGTAATAACAATTTGAAGAGTGAATCTGATCTGGAAATTTAAAATCCATCAATGAAAGAGTTGATCCATGATTAAACTTGAAATCCTTTCCATTGAAGATCCATTGAAGCAAAAGTCAACACCATTGTCTGTGGAAATAAAATAAATAAAATGAAATATATTTCAATAACTGGACCATTTGAGCTTAAAATGAGCTCTGAATTTCAACAGATTCATCTTTTTTTACCCTTAACTGGATGATTGTCATCAAAAATCATTATCATCTTCATCATCTGTAGTTGACACCAAATAATAAGCTAAAAGAAAGTGAAGTCTTTACTCATTTCAAACAAGATTCAACATGAAATTGGATATAATACTGTATAAGGAATGGGGAAAAAAGCTGAAGTTGATCAAAATTTCAACAGTTTAAGATGATGATGAAAAGTTTCATTAAAACAATGGGAAAAGGTAATGTTTCAACTAAAAATATAAAGTTTACTTGTCAATGTAAACATCATTAGTATGTTTTGTTGATTTGTTGATTCAGCAAGAAAACAGAGTTGTGTATATTTTGTTTCAATCAACAATAAACTAACATTTAATTCAACCTTTCTCCTTACCTCACCCATTAAAATTGAAATAAGAGTGGGAAAATTTGTCAACCGTGAAAATGAGTCAAGTATATGGTGAAAATAGTGAAATAATCATCAGATATACCATACTGAGTTTCGGAGAAGAAATAATTTGTCCAGCTACTAGTTTTTTTCTGAGAAACTGAGAAAAAATAAGATTCTTACTGAGCTATTAATAAGGTTTTATAACTATGATTTGTTTAGTTTTCACTGTTAAGGAAACTGTGGTTAAGCGGCTCGGCGGAGGATGAGGAGTCAACTCAACATGGTATCAGGCCAATTAGTGAAAATCACCTTGAAACAAGGAGTGTTTCCAGCTGAAAGATGCATCCTTACGTTATCTTAATCAAAAATTATGCGAATCTAAGAGATAAGTATAAAGATGAAGATAAAGGTTCTTGCAGTATAATGATTATGATGTGGTGGTTGATGATGTAGAGTAAGATGATAATGAGGATGATGAAGGAGATTAGGTTGGAGACGGGATTTTTCACCTGATTGTGCCACTTCAACACTGATTTAAATGATGAGATGACAATCAGTCAACAGTTGATTTTAACCAGAAAGAATTAGTTGATTTAAAAGAGTCAGTAAAGTCCATCTTATACCTTATACGTATATCTTATAGCATAAGTAGGAATGAGTTTAAGATAATCAGGATTAAACAGCCATACATTATGAGCTTATCATTTGTAGAGATTTAGTTTATCATTGAATCAATTGACAAATAACTTGGCTTAATCAATAATCAGCTTCTTTAACAAACAATTTTTGTAGACACTTCAATTTACTTTGTAAGCCCACAGGTTAAAAGATCAAGCCTTTTTTTCCTGTAACATAACAAAATAAACATAAAATGGCGTACAAATAAAAAATGATCAACCTTTCCGAATGGCTCAGCTTCCATGCATTTGGTATGGAATGAGAATCATCCAAAAGGTAAGGAAGATGATTCGATACTTTACAGACCATCAATCAGTTTGTGACTAATGAGAAAGGAAACGAGGACCAGTTTTTTGACATGTTACACTTTGCCTTGATTTGTACCGGTAACATCGATCTGACCTTCAACCTTAACAAGATTGCTGAAACGGGAGAGAAGATGATGATTATGTTCATGATTGAGAATGTGAAACAAAGTTGGAAAATGGAGTTCCTTTAGATGAAGATGGTGATGATGATCAAGAGTCCGCAGGCAATTCCAATGGCGTCATCATTAATCATGGAAAACATGGTCTATATCAAGATGAAGCTGATGAGATAAAAAAAAGTGATTTTAATGATTTTTTACCCTTAATTTTGTTCAATATTGTAATCAAAAGTGGAAGGAGCAAAATTAAATGAACATTGGCCCATAGATAGATCTGTAATCTAGGAGATGTCAGGTTGAAAATTTATCAAAATGTTGGCAAATTGGTTGCCGCAAGAGTTATAAGATGGATACAATATTAAGACTATTTCATTATCACCAAATTATCTTTTTTACCTTTTTTCCTTTTTAATTTAATTCAATAGCTGGTAAACTGTTTCTATTTTTTTGTATTTAGACGAGATTCATAGACGATTCTGTAGGCTATTTCATTTGAAGAAAAGTAGAGCAACATTCATCATGATCAGGTAAAGCAAAGTGGAAAGACAAACCATCAATCCATATAATATGATTTGCTTTAAGGTGAAAGATACTTAAAGGTAATCATTTTATACATTTTTTCAGTAAGATTGACTCTCTATCTGTTTGGGATATTATTCCGAAGCACCAAGGCATGGAAAAGCTGTTATCAAAACTTATCAATTGCTATTAAATGTTTAGAAGCAAATCTACAAATTGTTGGTAAAATTATCTAAACTATTTAATTGTTGGTACAATTGAATGGCTTTAAGAAAGAAACAGAGTCCAACTTGTTCATCAGATTTTGGCTTATGAATTAAAACTACCATGAAATAATAATATATGATAGACTCTGCAATATTCACCGAGAAGATAAGAAAAGGTAATGTTAGTTTGTTTTACTCTTACCTCATAATCAAGATACACAATTAAGTTGATTAAAGGGTCCAAAATTTAGAAAGAAATTCTCATAAAAGGAAGCGTTCCTTTAATCAAAAAGGATAAATAAATTATTAGATTAACAGTTCATGGCTGCTGCTAGGTTATAGTTGTCTTAATAGCATAAAGCTATAGCTGGAGAATGATGATAATGTTGATGAAAATGGGAGACTGCAAGAAGGGTAAATCATCTGCAAGATAAAATCTCCAAGGACTAATCCATCTTTAAGAATGAACATTTTTTTGTCTTCAAGTTGCTTCCTTACCTGTAATACAGAAAATAGGAAAAAAAACAAAAATTTATCTTACAGGTTTTTATTACAACTGTAATGGTAGATTAAATGAGTGACTGACACTATGGTTTCTGATAAATTATATCTCACCTTATGACCAGCAAGTTTAGCCTTTTTTACGGTATTTGCTGTCTTTCCACAAAGCATCAGGTTCATTTCAAGTTTTCTGGAGCATAATAGTTTATATGGTGTTTGTTTTGAGCCATCCAGGGAAAAATAAGATGAAAGTAAAGGTAAAGAAAAGATGATGATGATGATTGTAAAAATGGATTGAGAAACAAAAATCTTATCCAATGTTGCTTTATGATGATGATGACCAACAGAGTCTGAAAATATTTCCCTGAGTAATAATGAAAGAGAGAAATAATGAAGTTATTAAACAATATAAGTCAACATAAAGTTGGCCAAAGAAATGAAATAGTCAAAGGAAGGAAAGGGTTTTGTTTGTTGTTTAGATTCATCCAAGTTAAGTATTGTAATTTGATATGGCCATGGTAAGTAATTAAAAAGGTTAACATTTTGCAAGAAGAACACTGAATGGGAAAATAATTTAAAACAGGTAACTTGATAGTTGATGAATACTGGTATTAATAATTCAAAGTAGTGACAATACTTTACCATTTGACCTTTTGCAGGGTGAAATAGATTCAGTCTGTTAGCATACAAAGAGTTGATTCAACGTGACTTTTTAGGTAAGAAAATATCATAATATTAGGTATTACGAGATGACTCTTATTGGCCAATTATCTGTCAGAGACAATAAAATGGGAGAGAGGAAAAACAGGGGAAAGATAGAGTTCTGAGCTGATTAATGTTATCAAAATTATATGGTACATATCACATAATATATCTATATATACTGTACGGTCAGGTCAAGTACTATTATTTGAATGAAGAGTAATCAGATAAAGACACGGAAACATCACTTTCACCTAGCAATAATTTTTGTTTTTAGATGTTGATCAAAATGAAGATTGAAGGAAATGGCTGAGGGAGGAGGCAGTAATGGTCAGTGTTGGCTATAAAATCAAGCTAATGAAAGTAAAGGGAAAAAAGAAGGATTCAATCATCTTCAATCAGATTGATTGGACATTATTTTGGCAAAGAGATGAATTTGTTTCAGTAACTTAAATTGGACTTGCAATAATGGACTTAGACTAAAGTATAACAGTAAGATTCACAAAAATAAACAATGAATAGAGAACACTAAAGTGGCGAGGAAAAAATGTCAGATCAAATATGAAGTTTATCGGTCACTGATTGCTTTGGAAGAGTTAATCAACTGTTTGAGTAAGATTAAGAGACTGTTTTGTGTAGGATTGTTAGTAAAAATGTGACTGCACCAGAAAAGTCAAATGATATGAAAATAAGTTCAATATGATAACCATGGTCTTTCTTGGCCTGAATTATTGGCACAGTTGACTTATTATGCACTTTGATCCATTTGTTACTGCTTGATAAAAAGTCCTTCCACTTTTATCTAATAGATACTTTAGTGTCCTCCACACCATCAAGATGATCATCATCTTCTAATTTTTCTTACAACTATAGCTTCAAGATGTTCATGATCATCATGGTGATCATCATTTGAGAGGCGTAAACAACTCATTTAGTTCATCTTCGTGACAAAATCTAGTTGATTCACATTTTCCCTTTCCTTTGGTCATTCCTTGGTCCCAGTGCATCAAATGTATTGCGATTGATTGCTACAGATAAACAAAGAAACAGAGAGACAAAGAAAAAAAAACAAAATTAATTCAATTTTGGTCACCGAAAACTTTTTATCATTGATTACCTTTCACTTTGACCATTTAAACTTGGTTTGTTTTCGTTGAAAGGGTAAATAAGAGTGAAAAAAGGCTCAAAGTAAAGCAAGCTGCAAGGTAAAGTCAAGAAAAACCAATCAATAGCAATTTCATTGTAATTATCCAACATAAGGCAACTTAATAAATGATTAGAGAACCTTAAAGAGAGGAAATAATAAACTTTACTCACTGTTTAAATGGTTACATTCAGTTTGAAGTCAGCTGTTAATAGATTGATATTCAATGAAAGATTAAGAAATTATCGCTATAAGTAATAAAGATATCAAATATTAGTAAATATCATGAACGCTTGAATATGAAAACGTCAGACAAATTGACTCAATAGTAGACAAATATTAAAGAAGATTAGGAGGAAGGCAAAGAAAAAAACTGGATTAATAATATCAAGATATATCATAATTGTGTTTCTTTTAACACCAACTGAATGCGTTTTTAGCTTCACAGGTAATAGTAGACTCCCAATATTGAGTTATTAATTTATCTTCATCAAAAATGACAAGGGATTAAACAACAAATCAACAAAATAAAATGTTAAGAAAACTGATTACAAACCTTTTTGGTAGCCAAGTAGCATTCACCGGGCAAGAAAAATCTGGTTGATTGTTTTTGAATCCTTTAGGTTTGTTTGTTTTTTTAAACAATTGAAAGCGAGAGAAAGAATTGTTAGGTTTTATTATCCGCCACAAAATGACTAACAAGGCGAAAAAGAAACCGTCACGAGATTAACAAAAGTAATTAGCAATAAGGTTAACAAGAGTGGGAAATAGAAATAGAAAGAGAAAGAGAAAGAAGAAAGAATGGAAAGGCGAGAAATGAAAAATTTCTGTTATCCAATGAGAATCAATCACAAAAATGAAAACAAAGAAAACTGTTTTCAGGCAAATATATTTACCAGAGCTTAATTTAACGATTGCATGTTGATCTTTTGTATTGATTGTGAAAATCTCTTCTTTTTCTTCCATTGGTTTACCAATTCTTGACCTGGTGATTGTTATCAGTAAATCATGATATCTACGGTCATGTTGATTTTTTATCATAATCTTGAAGGAAGTCATGGAGAAGAAGAAAAGTGCAACATGGAAAAGTAAGGGAACCAGACGATCATTGGACATTGAAAGTCAAATTAACTTGGAAACTCAAGCTTAATGGTAAGATGATACCTTTTTGACCGAATAACTAAACTTGTCTCATTCTCTTTCTTTTCTTTCTCCCTTTCTTCAGTTGGATACCTCTTTCAAGACCAATATTGATCGTTTGAATCTCATGCTTCTTCTTTCTTCATCTCCTTTTCCAGATATAATAACACCATGGATTTCATTTTCTTCATTCGTTGCTGATCGACCAAATAATCTTTCTCTTTCTCATACTTCTTTTTGTTGAATGATTTCCAGATTTCCAGACTTGCTGTAACGTTACAAAAACCAAGTCAACTAATCAGAAAAACCTAAGGAAATAACAATGAAAGATAAAGAAATCTCGACCAAGTGGCTTCAAGAATTCAAGTAGCGCTGCAATGACAATGACTTTTGAAAGAGCAAAAGAGTATGGTAAAGAAACATTTGATCATTACTGATTGTTTTGGAGTTTCAATTTTTGGTGTTGATAGCTACAACTATGTATAACCTTTAGGTCTGTTACATCGTTGACTTTTCCTTCCATCAATACTCCTGTCTTCAACATTTTCATTGCTTTCATATTTATTTTGCCTTTTCCTCTTCACCATATTGAGTTTTAAGAGTCATCACACTTATTGCAATAATCTTTGTAGTGCTCTTTCATTCTAATGTTTACACCTTCTCAGTGTTCCAACCATCAATATTCTCAACTATTTCTTACCTTTCATTGATTCAATTCCCTTCAATAAGTTTCATTTCATTCTCTTTCTCTCTCTCTCTCTCCTTTACTCATTCAGATACGTTTGTTTCTTGGTGACTTTAGTGTATGACGTTAGCTCAGCGATCTTATATACTTCATCAAACTTATGAAAAGACATCACACAATCATATTCACAAGGATTTATCAGATGTATACATGACAATCATAAGGAATATAAAGTATTACCAAAATGATCGTCTTATATTCTTGCCTCATTCACGTTTATGCTTGAAAGGAAAAAAGAAAGATTGAGCAAAGTTTGGATGCAAAATACATTGCAGGATATAACACAAAGCTAAGTTGGATATAAACATTGGAAGAATAATAAGGAAGAAAAGGAAGAGGAAAATATGAGTTATACGTTCGCCTTTTTCGGTTTCATAACAAGAGCCTGGAAAAAAAGATGAAGAGACAGTTATGACAATTGTCAAATCTCAAAATGGGACTCTTCAGGAACAAAAAATTTGAGGAATGATTTTCACTCCTTTTTCTTCATCATTTTCATCATTATTATCAGTGTATTTTTTTCATCTTCAACTCAAGTTTGTTCCTCTGTTTTCTCCTTTTCTCTCACTATTTCTTAAACTTTGCCTTCACTGACAGTGGTAGTGTACAGTTGACTGGAGTTTAAAAATTCGATGAGATTGAAAGAATGAGACCCAGAAAAGGTGGAGAATAAACTTGAACATGGAAGAAGAAAAGAGGAAAAGAAGAAAGATAAAAGAGTGAAAAGTTACTTAAAATGAAATTTGGCAACACGGAAAAACAGTCAAAAGAAATAGACTCGAATATTTCCTCTTTCAGGCGATTCTCATGGATGTTTTTCAAAGGCTCAACCCAATCTATCTGTTAATATCAACTTTTTTTCATCTGAGACTTTCTTCTTTCTCTCTCTTTCAGTAAACTACATTGGTAACAATTTTCTTCTCATGTTTACCATGAAACCTGACTTCACGAAAGAATTCAGCTCAAGTTTTGAGTGAGCATAATACACAAACACACAAACACATACACTCAATCAGAATCCGTAAACATATTTCCAGGAGCAATAAAAGAGTTGATTCCAATATGAATCATTTTCTTTTTTCATACGCCTCAAGAGTTGCAAATATGGTTCTATTTTAGCATGGGATGTTGGTTTTATACTCAAACAATTCACAACCAAATGTATCATCATAATCAACATTATGATAACTTTCGAGGTAAACTAAATATTTTCCTTTCCTGTTAATACTTGTTCCTTTTCAGCATTTTTTCACTCTATTATCCATTACTTCATGATTATATTTGCTAACTATTGAAACATATATATTTTTTTCACTCTATTTTCATCAAAAGGTAGAGAAGTGTAACAAATTTTTCACAAATTCCAGATACAGATAACCATTAAATTTGTATTCAATTACTTTTGCTTGAAAAATTATCAAATGACGAGGTTTCAATTGTGAAAGTTTTGATGACATGATATGACCAAGAATAGGATGTTTCAAAGATGTGACAAAAGACGAGATGAAACATGAAAGTGAACAATCAAAGTAACCATAGAAGTATACTGTAAGTTATCGTCTTCATCTCTTTTTTCTTGTTAAATATCAATACGATTCTAACAGAATTTTGTGCATTTTTTGTTGCAGATTGTCATGATGATGAGAGCATAAAATGCCATTTTGGCAATATTGGTTTCCAGTTGAGCTCATCTCAAATATCAATTTGACGTATTCGAAGGCGAGAGAAAATATCAGTCAACTTCTTATCAGTAAACAAAGATTTCAATCATTAATTATTGATCCAGACCAGAAGGAATGATTGAATAAAGTTGACAAAAAGTGATAAAAGTGAAAGGAAACGTGCAAAGGCAAACATGGCTCACAGGCATTTGAATTATTATCGTTTAATATCAAGTAAAAACGGAAATGAAATGTTTTCAGATGCAAGGGGAAAAAGTGCAATAATAAACTGAGTTTGCCTGACAGAGCTGTTTACTTGAGTATAATTTTGACACGGTATACAGTGAATAATATGAAATATATGAGAAAAAATGTATGATTTTGTAATAGGATTGGAATCACCTTGAGGCCAAATCAACATCTAAATACTTTCAAATTGACCCAATTTCCTGTCTAATGGAATAATCAGAATAATCAATATTGAAATTGTTTAAAGTTTGACTTGGAATAAAATTTAGAAGCAATTTCTCTCGTTTTTTCCCATGCTTCACCATGAAAACAACATTTCCATTTTTATTAGATTATCAATCGATTATAACATTATATGACCCAATCAATTGACGATGCTTCATTTTGGTTTACAATTAGATAAATCATTATCCATGTTGGAGAGCAATTTGTTAAAAAATAACATCGAGTACAGGAAAACACCATAAAACATTGGATAACAGCATGATCATCATGAAGATCATCATCATAATCATCATCAAATGATTTAGGAACCATTGTGGTAATCATACTCAACTTCAATGATAATGTGAGTGTAAAAAGTCTTTCAATTTTAAACGTAACCAAAGTTTTGATTATTTTCCTTTTCTTGGTGATGTTATTATATAATCGTGTTTACTGTCCAATTTATTGTCCCTATCATTAACAATACCCAAGGTTTATAAACTAACTTTGATACTATCAGTAATCTCGTGATTAAGGTTAATTTTTTTAACTTAAGCCTTCATTGATTTGCAATATTTACTGGCTAGTTAATGCTAAAGATCAGCAAGGGGCTGAATAAATAAGGAAAAACGTTAAGAGCTTTTTTTTAAATTGAACACAGCAGTAGCAAGTATTACTAATAGTAGCAATGTTTATTAAGTAATGAACATTGAATATTTGAATTTTCCAAAGTAATTAATAAACTGCTCAAGGCGATGAAATTAAACAAGTGCCAAAGTTTTGCTTTTTAATATAAAGGAGAAGAGGAATGCAGAGAAAAGAAGACAAAGTGATGCATAATAAGTGAAAAGCTGATGATGATGGTGATGAGAAGGAAACATCAATCTAAATGTTGTCGTTTTCTTAACCATCTTTTTACTTTCTTCATCCACTTAACTAAACTTTTTCTCTTTTTTCTTTCCTCAGTTTCATTCTTTCTGTCAACCCAAATCAACAAATTTGATCATAATAGACATTGGCCAAGACCAGATGAAGGATCAAAACACATACACACTCACAGTCACACATAAAAAAGATGAGGCTCCAAGCTTTTAATGGTCCACACTATGCAAAGACCATTAGCGAATTGTTACAATCAATGACACCTTATATTGGATAATAAAACAACCAACACCAAGTCCATCCTTAATCTTTTCTTAACTGTTATACCATTTCTGTTCACAAGGTTAACAACCATCCCAAATGGCTTTCTCCATCTTCATCCTCTTGTTTATCATCTTGTCAGTTTCTGGAAGAAGGAAGATGATTACTCTGATGGCGAGAAGAGACTCAGCGATTGCAAAAAAAGTAAAAGAAATGAGAAGAGGACAGAAAAATTATAACCAAACAAATTAAGATGAAATTGTTACCCTTAAATTGAATACTTTCAAGTAGGGCTAAATGTTTGCAACCAATGTTACAAAAATAGTTTGGATAACACTTTTTTTGATATATAAAGTATCATTATCATCACCATTCCTCTGGAAATGGAGAGAGAGAGAGAGAGAAAGAAAAAAAATAAGATTGAATTGACCTTTAAAGGAATTGGACATGAAGCAAGTGGACATTAAAAGAAGCAAAACTTAATAATTGTTTCTAAGTTGTTTCTCCTTTTAATCACATCATTCTCCACTTGACGTTTGCTTGATTAACTATCCTCCAAATGAATTGAGTCACCCATTGAACGGTGAGATGCGATCGATCAGCTTATAAAGTCACAAACTTTCGTCAATAATCAAAGAGAAACAGTTTCTTCTGCTATTAATGCAATTATTTATAAACTTATCTTTTGTTTTCCATTTGAAACTCTTTCAGTTTAAATCCAATTCCAAATTGATGCGACTTGTTTTAAAAAACACTTTTATTAATATTTAATCTAAAGTGAATCGTTAACCAAACAAACCCAGATAAACCTTCAATTCACTTTTTTTCCTGATCCATTTTGCTCAACAGTTACATGAAAAATTTAAAAACACATTAAGCATCAATTAATAATCCATTTATTAGATCAAATTTATGTTATCCATACCTTTGGTGATTACCGGTTAACCATAAGTCTCTTTTTCAATTAGACAAATGTTTTCCGAGTTTTACTTTCATTACTATATTATATTAATAATTGGTAATTTCAACACTTTATTAGAGTGAAAATTCCATCATAAACTCTGAATGTTTCTTCCAGAAATCATCATCTCCCAAAAGTACCAAAGGTAAGCTGCAGTTATTGCAAAACGAAGAATATAAGATTCTAGTTGAAAGATGTTTATAGCTGCTGATTTGATGAGTAAAGCTTAAATTGTACTTTACAACTTGAATCGAACCGAATGCATTGTTTTGTATTGTTCGTCTGCATCTTTTTAGATTATCTTTGAAACTGTTATGATTGTATCTCATTTCACCACCATCAACCTGGGATTATATTCAATATATGTCTCAATAAGATAAGCTACGTTAGGTTTGCCTCTTTTTTATTTCTCCTTTTCTTGATGATGAAAACGACAATTTTCCTTGACTTTCAAGTGCGTCATCAAGCAATTTGATCATCTTTTCTCTATTTGTTTCCGTGACTCTCTTCATCTTTTCCTCTATCCTGAGTTTACCACGTTTTCAGGTTCATTTGAAAATATCTATCGCTTTTTCTCCAATTTCACTGAGAAAATAACCGCTAAATTGAAAACTCACATTTCAAAAAGGTAATGATGATAATGATGATCCAACAGTCCAGGTTTCCATCTAATAGTCTCAACTCTCTTTTTCATTTGGACTAAAGATGATAGTGATGATGATCAAGATGATTAGTTCCAAAGAGATCCTTCTATTACTTGCGTGCAAGGAAGATGAAGAAATAAAAAAGATAAGATTTTTTCTTTAACTGCTTGCTGTAAACTTTCCAGGCTAATTGTATCAACACATTCAGTTTCAGGTATTCCAAAACAAGAGAGGAAAGGGAGAAAAGTCAGAAAAGGTGATTATTGATGATTGGTGATGATAAACTAGAGGCTGATTCTCATCGATTAACTCAAAATCCGAAACATTTTTTGCCATTTTCCTCTCTGTATACATAAATTGAATCATGTTGACGACTTTTTAAAACCAATCCTTTTCACCATCCAGCTTAATCATTAAACCAATCTTAGAGTCAGTCAATATCTCTTTGTTGAGTTTCCTTTTCTTTACCCCATTTTGTCTCTCATGATGAAGTTGCAATTGTGTAAAGAAATGAAAAGAAGCAAGTGTCTGTCAAAACAGTGTTGATTGATGGTCACTCTAGATTCAATGGTGATGATGATGGAATCATCAGCTCAATTCAAAATGAAAAAAAATCATTCGAACAGCAAAAATATGATAAGCAAAAGAAATGAATTAATGACAGTGCATACAATTGAACCCAAATGAGAATTAATAATTTCCAAAACCATGACCATTGTAATCAGCTTTTAAACATAAATTTTATTGTCAGAAATATAATAGTAGATCCAGGGAAAGAGTCCACAAATGATTGTGAATTTTGCTCAACTTTCAAACAAGATGGAGGTGAGGTTTGTTGGTGGTTAATAGAGCTGCATCCCACCTTTTTGGTAACCAATCTGGTGAGTAATTTGGATGATGGTGAATGAAGATTCTGTGTTGAGAGAGAAAAAGCAGACTAAAGTTAATTTTAATTCAAAAGAAGTGAATCAAAATCACATGATGATGATGAAAAACATTGATTGAAGGGCGAAGACCAAGTGAAAATAAAGATGGACCAATTATAATTGATTTGATCGATCGTTTTCACATTGAATAGTAATGAATGAAGACACCAACATAATCATTTTGAAAATCTTGTGAGCTGTTGGTGAACAACGAAAAAATTGGATTCCTAATCAATTTATATTTCATATTTAGATTAACGACCATAGTTAGCTATTCGACTAACCTTATGGATAGTCGACCAGATCAATCATGTTTTCAAAATTGAAAAAAGATGTACTCACAATTGGTCATTGAAATAGTCAAGATGATGGCGTCTATGGATGATGAAATGTTATCAATTTGTTGGCAACAATTTGCTAGAGAAAAATTTTGATGGAAATTAAGCAAGAATGAATGGAAATGTTTATTGTAACCAACATTGATAATAATGGAGAAAGACTTACATGGAAAAGTTAATGGTTTAACCGAGAGTTTCACTGTTTGCTTGATAAATGATTTGGACAATCTTTTTTATACGATTATTATTTTTTGGTAACATCAAAGACTGAACAATTTAAATTATTTGTGATGAAAGTAATTTCATGGTTCAACATGATGACAATAACAACACAGAAGCAAAATAATGTTGAATAGAAAAAAAATATAATCATTAACATCAAATTTAATAAAGATGGGTAACACTCTTCATAAACATGATTGGTTTGACAAGCAAGGGAGACAAAAAATGGGTAAAAAGATGTCTACTTGAAATGAAAAGAAACAAAGGCATTTCAAATGCAAAACTGTTAACTCAATTTTCAATGATAATGATGATGTCAGGGGTGATGTTGAAGACGATGAGAAAGAGTTAACAAAGTCGGTTAATCGATTGGTTGGAAAATTTGGTTTGATTATAAAACTGATAAAAGATTGAAATCTTTTTGACAAAGAAAACCAGACTTTATGCAGACTGAAGGACTAACAGTTGACAAATAGGTTAACATTTTGATTGTCTTATGCGATTGACTAGATAAGCTTGGAAACGACAGTTTACACAATTTTAGTTTATTAGAAACACGAAATAAACGGTAAATGAAAAAATTTGAATTTACCAAACGGTCAAAATCATCATGTTATTTTCATTGTCTGGTGAATAATCCAGGGATTGAGAAAACGAAACTTTCAGTGTTGAAATCATGAAAATTATGAAAGCCACCAACACAAAATTATCAACAATCCTCTCATCATAACCATTACAGTTAGCAATAACAGCAATTGTTGTCAAAGTTGCATGAAAAAGGTTCAATGGGAAGCAATGTGAAAGCTCTTTATCCTTAGTAAAATGTGACTTGAATACAATTTACCCCTTCACATTCAATTGATCATTAAGATTTCATTGTTATCCACATCATCATCATCAGATTAAATATGACAAAATATTATTACAATAACAGCATCAACAACAACTACAATGCTGATAACAATAATGATAATCTAAAAACGTTAGCTGAATTATCATGAGAGCACAGTAAAATCCAAGAGGTGCAAAAAGGGTTACAAATGTCATTTATTTGCACCAACGAAATTTCCGCTCCAATAGGTAATCGATGTGTTATTTGAATGAGAAACAAAACCTACAAAAAATTAAAATTGGACTCAATATAATAAATTGGTAATTTAATAAACACTTACCACAGAAAATCTAATCGAGCAAATAATTATTGACTTCATTATTAGTTGAACATTAGTTAATAATAAAGACTTCAGGTTTCACATTTCTTGACCAGCAACAATAGAGGCATCCTGTAGTGATTTGTGGTTATCATGGGAATAGTTGAAAATTGGAAAGATCAGAGAGAATGAGATTGATTTATAATATGATGATGTGGATAATAATCTATGTTAATATACATATTGTAGCTAATCAATCAATCACTTGGAACCATAAGTGAACAAAATTTAACCAAATGGCATAAACTGGAAAGGTGTCTTTCAATGTAATAGTATCTGTGCCATATCGAGTGTAAGATTTCATCTTCAATACAGAAATCCCTGGTTTCCATTTCCGTTCTCAAACCAACAGTTAAACAATATTTTATTAAAAATAAAATATTAGACTTTTCATTTTCGTTGCTAACTGGCAAGTGGAGAAGGCAAAAGCTGAGATATTCATCCAACCATGGTATGAAAAGAAGGCAAGAATGAAAAAAAAAACGATGAACTGAAAAATGTTGTTCTAAAAGAGGAAGAGAAAAAAGAGGAAATGAATGCATCTTCATCATGTCAATCTGAATACATTGGCTGTTATGTTTTTTTCTTGGTGAACAACAATATTCAGCTCCAATCACCTCCTTTTCCTCCTTCGCCTCCTCCTTCATCTCATCAATGATATTGGCTTGAAAGATGAGACAATCATTATAACTATTAAAATGGGTTATGTTTTGTTTCCTTGGCTCTTTTTTTGCATAAATTAGATCAATTAGATGAAATCACTGGTTCTCTCTGGTTCCAATCCGTTTCAAGAGTTGTTTTATCCTTCAATTTCATGATGGATGAGTTTGAGATAAAAACCAAATATCAATGGTTATCACCATCATCAGCCTCGCTTCTTATCCTTTATTGAATTGATACATTCCTTTGGTTTTGTCATCACATTGACTTGTCTTCTAAGCCAATCCATCATTTATCATTTTACCATCCTTGTACTCATCATCTTCTCCTTGAGAAAAATAAGATAAAATCTAGGTAAATAATAGCATTACAGAATCTTCAAAGGTCAACAAGATAAATGTTTTACTTTTCAAGAATTTTCTTGATCCAATCAGCTGTGATAATTTTCCTCTCAACATTAAACATTGCCATTTGAACAGTGAAACTGTAACTGCTAGAAACAATGGTTAATTAAAGGTCAGTCAAATCCAATGAGCAGTCTAATTATCTTAATAACGATTATACAAAATAACAATGAATGTAATTCTCACACTTGAAGATTAATTGACTTACAATTGATCAAGAAAATGTAACATCAAAAATGATCACACAGATTTCGATCAAACCAAGACTGAAAGATGATGAGATACATGATAAAACGAAACTGTTGACCATTTGATTAAATTGTTATCGGAAGTTGATGGTGGAACACAAAAGATTAACACTGTTAAATCAACCGACATTCACCAGCAGCACAAAAGCAAAAAACAAACACAAAAGCAAGCCAAGAGAAGACCAATGAACCAGATAACCTTTCACAATTAATCACCATTTCTGTAAAATCTGGACACAATTGAATATCTTAAAGATATCAATGAACAACCGCAAATGTATCATAAAAATCAAGAATAAATTAACAGATAAAAGCAATTAGCAAAAATAATCAAAAGAAAGTCAGAAACCAAACCATTAAAAATGAACCAAACATAAGCCTTTGTCTTACAAAATGAATCATTACAAGCAGAGGGAAAATAAAGAAGCGCACAATTTAAACCATCTATTGAATATCAACTTTCAATGAAACAATTGATTGTCAAGTTAATGATTAAGATATTTTAACTGAAATCAAATCGAAACCATCATCATAATGATAATCTTTAAAAAGCTTGTGGCAGATAAAAGTAAAACAATCTCTTAATCGTACTTTAATCACTGTTTAGTCTTGTTCTCATCCTTTTCTTAAGGTAATCATCATCAGCATCATCATCACTTGATCCTTTCCTTTTATCCTCTTTAATATTATTTTGACAAGCAAAGAAGAAGAAAAAAAGCAAACAAGAAAAAGAACAAAAAAAACGAAATCAAATTCTCTGCTTTAAACGTCATTATTATCATCTAAATCATAAGAATTCAATTGATTTCTTTGGATCATTAGATGGTTCTCATTATCATTATCCAACTCCTCATCATAATAATCATTATAAGCAAAAAAATTAAAGTCAGAATAACATAAATAAAGATCAATGATTTGTCATTACATTTGTAATTCAGATTTATCAAGTTTCCAATGACTGGGAATAAAAACTCCAAGTTTACCTCTTAATTGTTTTACACTCTTCAAGTTTCCATTCAATTGTAACAGCAATTACTTTCTCTATAAACATCAATTAAAACTAATAAAATTTAAATGCTTGTTAATCAATGGTTTATTTAAGATGAGCACAAAATTTGCAAACCAAAAGCTGGCAATTTTGCTATCAAATTTGCTGTCCAATTTTCCAGTTTCAACTGAATGTTTATTAGCTTGAAATGAAATTGTAAATTCAGTCTGTTCAATATTATGATCACGCAATCAGAGGATTCAACCTTTGATAAGAATCTTGAATAATAATAAAAAGTATAACTAATATGGAAATGATTATTATTTCATTTTTCATTCCCAATTTCAATGGCAATAAACAAAATAACCATTTGAAATGGTCAAAACTTAATCTAACAAGTAGACTTGAAACAAAAGATGAATGATGAGATCCCTTTTTTAACCTTAAAATCCATTTATTTTACCTTGTCAATTGAGATATAATCGAGTTTTAGGTTCATTTTGAACCTTTTACTTTGTGCCAAACATTATTGTGTTCAAAATTTTCTAATAATAATGATGAGTGATAGAGCAAATTTGAACACAATCTGTTTGGTTCTCGTAAAACAGGGAAAGTAAAAAGGAAAATCTCGAAAGTTCTTGACCTGAGGTTGAAGGTTTTTTGTTTAAAACTTATTTGTGACCAATAAGGTAAATTATTTGCTCGTGATTGATTCACTCATTTTCATGATTACAGCCATTTAGGAGAGCAGCCAGTTGCGTACGACATGATATTTACAATGATAAATGAATTAACCCAATCGACCACAGATTTGGTGAAAAATAAGCCCATGGAAGGGGATTAACCTTGAAACATAAAACTGTCAAGTTAAGATCACAAATAACTTGGTAACCGTTAAGATCAAAAACATTGAACTTACATTAACACAAATTGCATTCAAATTGTCACTGTTTCTCCCAAACTAAAAGCTTTGGTCGAGCCAAGCTAACCTCAATATTCAGCTAATTTTTCATTTTTTAAAATTCTAACGCAGTTAACTCTGGTGATAAACGATTATCAAAGGCTAAAGGCTTCTTGTTTGGGTAACAATGCTTTGATTTTTAATGCAAACCAGTGACTATTTGAATTACTTGATATTCAGATTGATGTTTGATAAACATCATTGAGTTATCTTGCATGAGCTTTGACTTATAATAAGCAAATTAATCGTAATAATTAGCGATTGAAATTGATTCAAATCATACGAAAGTAAACTTACATTACTTGAATCTCACTCTTGGCTAATCAATGTTGAGAAACGTTTGATTCAATCTTGAATTCTCATGAGCTTTTGCTTTCAACATGCAAATATAAATTGAGCCAAACAGTCTGAATAAATGAATAATAAACTATTGAAACAATATAATTTACCCTTTCACTTTACCTTTTCAATGGAATGAAAGGTCAACTGCAAATCAAAGATTGAATATAAAAGTGATTCAAGAGAAACCTAAACAATAGCTTTGCGAAAACTATTAAACGAAATAAAAAATGGGTTAAAAAACTAAAATTGGAAAGATTCTGATTAATTCTCAAACGCTCCTGAAACTCGGAATATTCCTGCATTTCGATGTTTCCAAGTTGACTGTCAAAGCAATAACAAAACAGTGAACAATCATCATTAACCAGAAAACATTTTTCAAGTCAAAAGTTAACCAAAAACCAAAAAAGTGAGGAAACCTTTAAATTACTTTTAAACTCCCAAAAGACGTAAAGTTACCAATGATATTGAGCTTATCAAAGATGTTGCTTATTCTTAATATTTTTGTCTCCATGATCATGATGAGTTGCAATGAGAAACACTGGAACCAGTGATATTGAAGAGTAAAATATTGATGCGAACTTTTGTTTTGGTTCAATTTGAAAAGCGATATACATCATTAGGAATGGTAAAAGTTGATTGAAGATAAAATAGACAAGTTGATGAGCCTGAAAATGAAAAGAATCATTTCTTTGCTTCTTTCAGTTCAACTTTTACTAACTTTGAATTTGATTGCGTGCTGCAAATTGTTGCCATCAACAGTGATGTTAAACCATGAACCAAGGATGGAGACTGGAAAAGGATGAAACAAGCCTGGATTCACGGAAAGGTTCAATTGTACGGAATACCCAAGAGGATGATGAACAAGATGAAGATGAAGAAGGAAAATGAGAAGATTTTCATGTTTTTTTTGTTTTCATTTTGTTTTTACTTTTTTCTGGTGAAAATAAGAAAACAAAAAGTCCAAACAATTTCACATTTTCCCGTTTATCTACATCAATTTCATTCTCATCTTCATCTTTCAGTTTCATTTTCTTTTCACCATTTCTTTCCATTTCTGTGTTTCGCATTCACTTGTTCATCATCATCATCATTATCGTCGTAATCATCATGTAATACTTTCATCCTTTTTGCTCATTTTTATGAATGAAACATTAATTTTCTGTGTTACAAAGGAAATGTGTAATAAAAAAATAATTGTCCAAATGAACCTGAATAAGTTAATTTGATCAAAATTTTGCCACTTTTGCCCATTAATTTTAACTCTTTTTTTCTTATTATTTTCTCAGTTAATCAACAAACACTTGAATGATAGACTTTATTCATTTGGCTGATTATAAGTTGCAAAATTTGAATCCTTTTCAGTAATGATAATTACGAAAAGAAACTGAAATACTGAATGATAAAAATATTCTCGTTATTGATTAGAATCTTCATTGTCATGATTTTGCATTCTATTATGGCTTTACAAAAGTCTATGTTTAAAATGTTTCTAAGCAGTTAATCAAACTATGTGTAATCTAGCGTATTCAACATCGTCTTCCAAGTATTCCGTTAAAATATCAGAGAAACAGGATTCTATCCGTTATATAAAACAATAACATCTTGTGCATCTACAACGTTTGAACAACAATATCTGTACAATATTTAGAGTAAAACTAAAATTTTTGATTTTTGATCAAATTTTCATCAAACTGAGTGAGTTTTAAGGAAAACTTTTACACAACATGAAAACCATGATTGGACTACTTCCACGGAAATTAATCAGAACTTTATCTGAGCTCATGCTATTAAGAAAATCATGTAATCATAGAGCCAAGAAGAAATGTAGAATCCGTATTTTAAACTATTGATTTTGGAGGAAAACTTTGTTGGTTATTCAGGTTGAACTATTGTTGGATTAGGTTTATACATGTAAGTTGAGCTTGGTCTTTCGAGTAAAGAGTTGTTTTTTTGTGCTTGGTGGTTGAAGTTTCGTCTTCGAACTCTCTTTCCTCCAAAATGTCCATCAGAGTTTTCGGCATATGGACGATGGACTCAAATGCCCACACGAACCAACAAAATGTTTTCGTTTACTTAAGACTAAAGAAAGGTCAAGCTGAATCTCATCAATTTGATAAAAGGTAAAGATCTCATTTTTGAACCCTTACCCTGACATGGTTTTTCATTGAGAATAGGGTCTTTCCCATTTAGACTGATTGTATCCTAGCCATTAAAATTTACGATTAGTCATGATCGACTGAGGTAACCACTTGTTATGCTATTAAATACACCTTATTTAAATATCGGCCGAACATCAACTGTAATGACGGAATAATTTTATTTCACATGCTGATCATTAAGGAGTTTTTATGATGTTTGTAAATGTTTACTGGGATAAAACAATCAACATAAATAGATCTCACAAACGTCTTTTCAAGTCATACTGTTACCAGACAGTGAATCAGACAGTAACAGTAAAATTGTCACCTAAATTGATTGACTTCCCAACACACAACAATTAACCAGAAAATTGATAGTCTGCATGAACCTTGCCCTTATTTCATGATTCAATCTGAATGAACACAGAAAAGCCACTTAAAACCTGCCAAATTGATTAAATTTCTATCAAATCAACAATTAATTACACTTTGCTCCATCGAAATATCAGATTCTCAATAAACCCACAGAATTTCATTGAATCTCATGAGATTTCATTTCTATATATACATTTATTATTTTATTATTGTATTTACATTAATTGAGTAAAGGTTAACACTAAAGTATGTATTTCAACAATTGAACATGGTTAATATAATTTGAGTAAATTGAGTCTGAAAAGTTGATAAATTGTAAAGGAAATGAAGGAATCAGAATGAATTCCCAATTGTCCAAGTAAACAGTTTTCCCAATGTTTTCCAGGTTAAATCAATGTTACAAAAGTAATACTCATTTTTACTGGTGACAATTCCGAATCATCAGAATCAATATCAAATGAAGATTGAGACTTTAGTTATTATTTTTCTCCACTTTTTTCCTCTTCTTTTCAGATTTTGTATTCTCATCTGCTTTGGACAAATATTATTTCAATGTAATTCAATTTTCAAGACAAACATAACTGACACAAATAAATTAAGGTAACATATAAATACAACAATATCAACAGCAAAAGCAAACCGAAAAAAAAACTAAAAGCAAAAAGTAAACACAATAACTCTATTTATCTGCACTATTTCAGTTTCCCCTGAAAATTGCGATCAAACAAGTCGAAACAGTTTTACATCAATTCATGAAAATCAATTGAAACTTTAAGTCCATCAAAACTCTGAATATTGACCAACAAAACGTGGACAAAATGTAAAGATTCAGGTTTGATTCCTTTTGATGGTTTCTTGAAATTGTTGACATTTTTATGCATTTTCATTGCAATTACTCAATCATCTGAACCAGAAATGAAGGGAAAGGTTTAACTTGATGAAAATTCAATGTTAATCAATTAACAGGCGAAAATCATGAACAAACCTTTCAACATTTTCCGTTAATCATTCTGATTAATTTGAAGATTGAACAATCAGATAAAGAAGCAAGAAAAATATGAACTTTACCTTTCAAGTTAAGAGCAATTTTTGTTTCTTTAATCATTTTGTATCTCAACTTGATAACCTGATGTTAATTTGTTTTATAAAAACCCAAGAAAAAAAACTTCTTTTGCTTTACAGTTTAATCCAAAGTAAAGTTAAATTGGTAAAAAAACAAATGTCAACATTTCCAAGATAATCTTAAGTATCATGAATCATGATTAATCTTAATCACAGTCAATATTGCCAATGAATTCAATCAACATTTAACAATTAAATCCTCTTTAAAATTGTCCAATGAAACTGGAAGTTAAAAGCAGAAAAAAGTGAATAACAAATAACTTAATCTGACATTTTGTTATTTCTCAAGTTAATCTGGAAAGTTCAGAAAAAGCAACTTTGTTTATCGATAAATTAATTGAAACTCATCATCAACCATCTCATCACAATCAGTTTCAACTGTCAAGATTATCCAAACAATTAAACCATTATTTTAAACTGTTGAACGATTTTTCAATTTTCACATTTTCTAACTTTGATATTGTTATTGTTGGATTAGATTGATTTGAACCTTTTCATGTTCATGGCTAGTCAGTGATTGATTGAATCAATTGATAAATATTTAAATGATTGAATGATAAATTGTGTTGATTGAGAAAAAAGTGAAATCAATTTTAGTTTAATTCATTATCACTGATGGACTACAATGGATTCAAGATTACGATTCTTGTTTCACTCCAAACATTGAATAGCAATTTTGAAATGAACTTATTTTTTCTCTTCTTCTCATTCTTTACTGATTCAGCCTTTTTCACCTTTAAATTGATTTCTTTTCTTTACAATTTTCGATGATATAACTAGATTGTTTCCAATAACGATAATGATAATGATAATGAAATAAAAATGAAACGTCTCAAGACACTAATTCATTAAGTGAATGATGAAACTTTGAAAGATTTTGGGTTTGAAAAATGATTCCCATGTTGATTGGAATCTTTTTGTGTCTTCTTCTGGTTTTCTGGTTCTTTTTGTCGTTGACTGATTCCAATCACTTTTAAATTGTAATATTATTTGAAGCTTTCGCAAATTGTTCAGAAAACAATTTCATTCCCAACAGAGACTGCAGATCAATCTTTCATGATAATCGGTTAACTTTAATTGCTGGTTAAATCGTATTCGCGCAAACCTTCGAGAATTAAATTAAGAGACAATTAATTGTCTTCATGTCTTATTTACAGATAACAAAATTATCATTCTCAGGTTGAAATTAAAAGCTACTAAAAAGGCTCATTGGCTCTTTAATCGACTTAAAATATTGTCGATTTCACTTGCAAATAGATCAAAATTTCGAAGAAGAAGGTTAATGAGGTTATTACCCCATGAAAAGTGAATATTAATTAAGATCGAAGTCATTAACTCAACCAATAAGTCACAATAAACTGAAAAAGGTCACATTAGGCTTAACCTAAACTCAAGTGAATTGAAATTTTACATTGAATAACTCCATATATTGGAGTAACCATAATAATCGGTAAATTTGTTTGAAGCCAAACCAAACTTATTGTGACAACATGAAGTGATGAACAAGTTACAAGTTTGCCAAGAGTGTAAGCCTTGGATGAAGACTTATGAATGAAATGATGAACTAAAGCACCGTTATGACAGTTATTGTAACTACTGCCAAGACCATTGTTTCACTAGTTATCTGAGTTATCGTAGTAAACCTAAGTAACCTGATGATGCGAATAAACAGATTTAGTTGCCAAGTTGGTTAAACTTGGGATTCAAATCTATGAATGAAATGTTGGGATTAAGTTTACAAAATTAGTTGAGATTAGTTATTAGTGATAACTTATTACAAGTATCGCTTTTGCCAAGACGGTTGTTTAATCATCTTGTCGTCTCAATCTTAATGCATAATGTTGCTAATCTGATAGTGTTTTAAATGTTTGAATAATTCCAAGTGAAGCAGTTTGATTCAATGTTGAATCTGTGATTTGGATGAAAAATATTCATCTTAACTGTGAGCTCTGATTTGTTTCACTTTAATCAACAATTTATCATCAAGAGTAACATTTTTTTCTGTTGCTCATTTTATTACCATGAGATTGGTCATGGAATGAAGAAGAAAAAAATTGCATTTCATTGGAATGAAGAAAAGAAAGCAAAAAAGATATTAGATTTCATTAATCCTTAATCAATCATGGACAAATCATTTTTTTCTGCCTCATCTCTTCCTCATCACTTAATCATCCTTCACGACTTTAAAGGTGGCATTGGTCATCAAGAAGGAAACGCAAAGTGGGTGGACAAAATATTCCACAATGACAGCATTAAAGGTGTGTATTTTGTGTGTGAGTGTGAGTAAGCATTTGCAATGAAAAAAAGAGAAGAGAAGAAAAGTCTGAAATTTTACATATTTTCTCATCTCAAGATTCAGTAATTTTCCCTCTTCAGTTCATTTGACTGTTGTGTGTGTGAGTA